CGCCATTCGTTGTGTTCTAGCTGATAGGAATGTCACCTCCACGATACGCTATGAGATTCAGACTGGGAATCTGGGAGCAGCCGTTACTTTGTTCGCATTCAGTCTGAGATGTAAGATATCCTGGCGAGGCCTTTGAGCGGCTGAGGCGGTCGTGTCGTATGCTTTGTTCATTGCCTCGAAATGTGCACATTGGTTTTGCTCGATCGTGTCCATGGCAGTCGTCAAATGCCCATAGCGAGATGTCGCATTATTCTCGTGCGTGCTGAGTGCATCCATAATGCCGTGGTTCATGGTACTCAAATTTGAAGTAAGTCTTCGACCTCCTACGTCCAGGGTAGACATCAACGTGGTGAGGTGAGATACCAAAGTCTCCTCGCTCACACCGACTGCTGCTATCACATTGTTTGTGTTGGTACCGATAGAAGTTTCGAGGTCGTTCTTGATCCGACTGACCATAGTATGCTCTGCATCGACATTGGTACCAATCGGGTTGAGCTCCAGGTTGGTGTTGTGGGCGTTAAGATTGGAGCACACCGTATCGAACCCTGCACTAGTAGCTCTCGGATGCGCACCGATGCTGTCGTGTAATGATTGGACTTTTTTCTTCGGTCATTGTGCAACTGTGTAGTCAGCTCTTGAACGTGGTGTTCAGCTTCCGATGCAGGATCTGATCAGTGCTCTAAATGGATCACTTCCCCTTCTGATGACCTAGTTCCCCTTGGATCGAAACATGTCTCTATGTGCTGTTACCTCATACAAGGGAAAACCCAGCTATGTACAGAAATAGTAAGTGAAGCAGCTTCCAGTCAAGAGACTCGATACAAACGATTACCCCCCAAACATTACTCTACAGTATAGTAGCTGCTGCGGGTGCTTAATCGAGCGTCTCACTCTACTACACCCCGGTAACGAGACTATTTAATAGACCTCCCAGTTTGTAGCCCTAAGCAGCTCGATCTCCTCCGCTAGGCTCGCTCTCCACACCTAACGTCTACCTCGGGAGCCGAACAAAGGTTAACTTTGACATTGCATCGCATTAGACCCCGGCAGCGCGCATACAGAAGAACTAACAGTGTATGCAGACGCTCTGCAGCCGTGGAAGATACTGCCAGAGTCTACATTAGCTCATAACAAGAAACCTCGTAAATTTTAAGAGTATTGTAGACTTCTAGGTTTCCTATGTATATCTACAAGCTTTTAATATACTTCATTCTAGTAAGAAGAAGTAATCCTTTCTAAAGGTATGTTTAGTTTTTCTCTTTGATATACCTAAATTGGTCTCTTTTCTTCGTGATCTTGAGATGTCCGGTTTCGAGGACATTTTCGGCGCTTCTGAAGCAGACATAGCAGCAGTGCCACCACCAGAACTCCCGGGTGAGCTCGTAGCCGCCGTCTGCTCCTTGTGCGAGGTGAAATTAACTACCTTCTTCTTCACCTGTACTATTGTCAAACATTATAGAAGTATGCACTAGTGCCGTGGCTCTCCTCAATGTACTTGGTACACAACTCCTCCACTATTGGAACGACGGGAGACGTAGTTGTAACTCCGTGTGTGTCTTCGTTGATGGAACTAAGTATCTTACAATATACATAGTCAGTAGCGATTGAGACAGTGACACAAGGAGATTCCATGCTTCTGTGCCATGCGATGATATGTTCTGATTTTAGGCTACTACACTAACCCCTGCATGCCGTGGGCCCTGTAAGCTATTATGACCCTCAGACACGAGTGGGTCTCGGTGTCTCTACCATGGATTTGGGCGTTAGTAGCGGGTACAATTATGCAGGGAAGAACGGCAGAATCCGATATAAAGATAGACGGGACATTGTTTAACATTGGGGCTACAGCGGGCTCTTGCATAATTCCTAGCTTAACAAGTCACCCTCGCATTACGGACTTGGCCGAGTGGAGATAACTGTGCGTGTGTGAAGGTGGTACTGTGTGGTTCGATGTAGCTGAGAGGCAATAGAGATCAGAGGAAATGCGAGAGAAGAGCTTTTGAAGGACCGATTGCAAGCGTGACTGGCTTACCTAACACGGCGTTTGACAGACGACCCTCTACGCTGTCGTACATGCTTACTATGAGCCTGGAGCGCGGAAATGTCATCGTTGGTCTTCAGCTCGCAGTAATTTTTCGCGATGTCCGTGTGATAGTCTTCCACTGAAGTCATAACACCTACTCAGTCTGGCCGATCCCTCTCTTCTCTTACGTATCAGGGCAGTCATTGCTAGAAGATACAACACATGTCTTCAAGTAGAGGCTTGGACTGGTGGACAAGGCTTGCCTCAAGACATGGCGGCACCGAAGCACGACGAAGGCTGCCTCGGCAATCCTTGTCAGGCTTCGGCTGGCGGGCGGGAAGACGGCTATGCGGCACCTCGAGAGATAAATTCGTGCAGTCCCCCCATACAATGCCTCATCCATCATCAACTTTGTCGCACGCTGTGAGGGCGTGGATCTCCCACGGGGTATGAGGAAGAGCTGTGATTGGCTGTGACGATAGCGCATTCGTGGGCGGAAAGAGCGATCTGGGGTTGTCAGAAATTTCGAAGGAATGAGGCCCGTCTTGGCCCAAGCCTGGGCGGACTGGGCGCCAAGGGAACGTGGTACAGCGATAGACTCTCGTTCGCTGATCTGGACCACGTCCGACCATGGCGATGGCGAAGAGGAGCGACGAGGCACGGCGGAGACTTAACGCGTCAAAGACACGCCATTCAAGTGGGCCGGTTCTTGGAGACCCATTACAATCTTCTGCGCCAATCGCGTGACCTGTTGCCCAGTATGGTCAGCGCGGAGCGGAGCTGGAGGGTCCAGAGAATACCCATCTGTTAGGCTTCAGACAACGACCAGAGCCGAATAGCATGACACTGTGGCTTCGGTGATCCACCGCGCCTCGATGGGGCAGGCCATACCGTCAAACGTCCACAAACGCTCACTGCTAGTGAAATATCATCTCGCCGCCAAGATCCCACCTATCGGAATCCACACTGCCTACTTAAACTCCCATGCACTCGACCGGTTGAACACTTCCTCTCCCAGGACACCTCACAAACACTCAGCCTTACTAGTCGATCGGCGCAACTGCTCGCTGCCCTTGTTCCACAATGGCTCCCGCTTTGAAGAAGTACGACTGGATCCTAGCTATCACCACCATCGCCTTTGTTGCCTCGTCAGCCTCAAATGGTGCCAACGATGTCGCCAACTCATATGCCACGTCCGTGGCTGCGAGAACGTTGAAGATGTGGCAGGCTGGTATTCTGGCCTGTTTCACTGAGTTCTTGGGTGCCGTTGCTCTCGGATCCCGAGTCACTGGAACTATCAAGAGTGGTATCTTCGCCCTCGACACCTTCAAGCCTGTGCCTGCTACTCTTATGCTCGCCATGGGATGTGCTGAGGTCGGATCCGCTGTTTTCCTAACTGTTGCTACCATTGCTGGTATGCCTGTTTCGACTACCCAGACCGTTGTTGGAGCCCTCGCTGGTGCTGGTATTGCTGCTCAGTCTCCCCTCAGCTGGGGCTGGAAGAAGGGTTCCATCTCCCAGATCGCCGCCTCGTGGGTCATTGCGCCCTTCCTGTCCGCCGCTTTCGCCGCCGTTCTCTTCTTGACCATCAAGTTCGCTGTCCACAACCGAAAGGACCCCTTCAAGTGGGCTATGCGCCTGATTCCTTTCTACCTCGCTTTCACCGCTGGTGTTCTCGCTCTCTTCATCATTGACGAGCTGCCAAATGGCGAGTCTCTTGAGGAGATGGGTGCTGGCAAGGCTTGCGGAATCATTCTTGGAGTCTTCTTCGGCATGCTCGCCATCTCCTACATCTTTTTCATCCCTTACTTCACCCGTCGCCTTGTCAAGGGTGACACCAGACTGAGGGCGTGGCATCTTCCCCTCGGCCCTCTTCTGTACCGTGAGAACCCTCCTATCTACTTCCCCGGCAAGGGCGACCAGGTCGTCACCGACTACTACGCCAAGTCAGCGCCCGTCGCCACAAGCGAGCAAGAGAACCTCAAGGGCGAGAAACCTATTGGTCACTCAACCTCCGTTGACAACAAGTCCTCCGGTGACAGCGACAACATCGATGTTGAGGGTGGTCGCGGTCTGTCCCGTCCTCTTCCCCGCGATGGTGCCGTTGCCCACATCATCCCAGCTAAGCCCGAGCCCGAGGAGCGCTGGTTGAAGCCCGTCGAGCACCTCCCCTTCTACTCTTCCAAGAAGATCATGAACTGGACCAAGTTCATTCTCCTCCAGGGTGTCTCTCGTGACGTTGTTACCCAGAAGGGTCTCGCCGATGTCCACTCTCGCGCTATTGTTTACGACAACCGTGTCGAGCATCTCTGGACTTACGCTCAAGTTGCCTCCGCCATGATGATGTCTATTGCCCACGGATCGAACGATGGTAAGTCAAACTCCTGCATATTCCACCTTGATGTATCTGCTAACCTCACATCACAGTTGCCAACGCTGTCGGACCCTGGGTTGGTTCGTACAACACCTACACCACTGGTGTCGTCACCAAGGAAGCCGACACTCCCATCTGGATCCTCATCGTCGCCGGTCTTCTTCTCGGTATCGGTTTCTGGTTCTACGGATACCACATCGTACGCGCACTCGGTAACAAGATCACCCAAGTCTCTCCCACCCGTGGATTCAGCATGGAATTGGGTGCCGCCATTACTGTCCTCCTCGCCTCGCGTCTCGCTCTCCCTGTCTCCACTACTCAGTGCCTCACTGGCGCCACCATCGGTGTCGCGCTTTGCAACTTCGATCTCAAGGCCGTCAACTGGAAGCAAGTCGGCTTCATCTTCTCCGGGTGGATCATCACCTTGCCTGGTGCAGGTCTCATCTCAGGTCTTATGATGGTTATGGCACTCAACACGCCCCATTTCTAGACGCTGTTTGCAATTGTTTATAGTTTTAGTTTTGACGTCTTTCTTGTAATGCGAAAAGAACGCATGGTTTAGGGTGCATGATATGGGACGGATGATACCAATCGTTTACTGTACCAAATTGTAATCTATAGAGTACACACAGTGAACTTCTCAAGACTGATTTAAGTGTGATGACTGCGCGACGTCGAAGTGTACTTGAGGAGGTGTTGTCTTTCGGCCGAAGGCACCGTGCCTAACGTTTGATGTACAAAGTTAGTAAATGTTGATGTGCAATTCGTACATTAAAGTTACCTACCATGCTAGCAACATATCTCTAGCGGACAACAGATCGACGAACCGGAGCTCCACGTATGTTGTTGCCTACAGTATTGTTGTATACAGTGAGAGTGAATGTTCTTGTTTTGCACGTCAAAACACTGTGCTAGATATACCAAGCCACAAATTAGGCGTCTCAAGGAACGAATGTAGTCGGCGGATACTGATTATGGTTCAGCGGATACGAAGAGTCGGTCTTACTCTCGGTCTTTTCCTTGTCCAGAAGCTGCTGATTCACTTTCAAGACTTCTTGATAAATAGTAGAGCTGGGTTTCACGTTGGATGCAGAAGTGTAAGGGTAGAGCAGCAAAAAGCTGCAAGAGATATCGGTATTCCCGTAACGGTACAGAAACCTGTACAACATATCATGGCCCAGTCTAGCTTGACCATGCATGTATGAAGCAACTCCATACGCCCGTCGCAAAATACCACCAGTCCGAGCGTAGACAGGCTTCAGGGTCTATGCATTACATCGTAAGAGAGAAGTGGGAGAAGCGGATTAAAATAGTGATAGAATAGTAAGGGAAGCGTGGCTGCTATACGGCCTGCTTGCCCGACTGCTGAAGCTCGTTGACGAAAGCGTCGTAATCAGCGGATGAACCTGAGCCTACTATAGCTGTAAGCCATGGATCGGACTGGCTGCTCTCTCAATAAGCGTTTGGGTTGGGATAGAAGGAGGACGATGACTCAGGGTGCTGACCTTGCGGTGACTCGTCGACCTTTTGGCGCTTCTCTGCATAGTCGTACGAACCTTCAGAGCTGGCGTGCTTATTGCCAGATGCGCCGTGTTGGGCTGCCGCTGCTGCTTGCGCCGCCATCTGCAGCTCGCCAATCTGGCGCTCCGAAAGCCCGCCGTTGTTATTGCTGGAGGCTTGTTGCTGCTGCTGCTGCTGTGGTTGCTCGGGCTGTTGGGGCGGCTGTGGTGGTTGCGGTGCTTGGTGCATGTTTGGTTGCTCGTGTGGTCGGTTGAGATCTACACCGGCCGGCGCAGGTGGTATCTCGCCTTGTGTCTCAAGCAATCGCGATTGCAGATTGATGATATAGTCGCGCAGTTGGTAGTTCTCGGTTTGAAGAGTCTTGTAGAGTTCGCATAGCTGCTCGAACTCCTTGACCTGATCCTTAAGCTGTTTGATATACTCTTCCTTACGCTGGCGGAATGCGCGCTGGCAATGTTAGTGTGGAGCATAGGAATGCGCGGGCGGTGGGCATACCTGGGCAGCGCGATTCTGGGCGGCGCGCTTCGAGGTCGACAACTCTCGCCGTCCCTTGGAGCGGCCTTCACTCGTGTTCCCATCGTCGGGGCCGCCTTGGCTCATGTCGTAGGCGGAGCCCCCAATGGCTGGGTCGATGGCGTGTGGCGGGCCAGCAGAGTGCGGGTGCTGGGAATGTTGGGGATGTGGAGGATGCTGGGGGAGAGGCTGCACGCTGGGCTGTCCAGCGCCGGCAGCGAGCAGATGTTCTCTTAAGCCTTCATGACGATACGTGTTAGTAATCGGCAGGAGGGTACGGATGCGGGGGGGCCACTAACTCATCTCTATGGTCGGCTTGGATTGATCCTGAATTGGCATGTCAGCAGCGCAAGGCCTGAAACAGTCAGCAGAGCTTACCTGAGCGGCCGATGCCTGCATGTTATACCCAGTGTCAGTTTGGCTCGAGGGATACAGGATTTGGCTCATTCAAGGCGCGTCGGACGGGAGCACCGCGGCGAGGGTGTTGTGGCGTTGATTAGACAGCAGCGTGCAAACGGGCCTGGGATGCTATGTCGCTGTACTAGGCCAAAGCGAGACTATATGCGCAAGAGGGCAGCTGGGTGAAGCGATGTTCCTTCGGCGTGGTCGGCCGGTGAGGGTCGTGATGGTGGTGACGTCGCGACAATGGGGCCGTCGACTATGGGCAGGCTGCAGTGCGTGAAAGAGGACGCCTGTGCTGGAGAGTCAGCTTCATCCGTCGCAGGCGCCAAGACATGCGCGCAGTGTTGCGACAGCATCTTGGTTGCGCGTCTCGTGTTGTAGGACGATGGGGCAGCTCACCTGTATTGTGACGATGCAGTTGGTCGAAATGTGGATTACGCAGCTTTGACTAAGAAGAGACAGACCTCGGGGCGATGGCGCTATATGTAGGGCGGCACCGTCGGCCTCGCGGGATCTCTCCACGACGACGACAATGCAATGCCTCGCTGCACTCCGCCCTCCTCATCACGACTCGCCGGAGCCAGCTGCATGGAAATGAACGCCCTGCTGCCACATGCTGCCAGACTTCGGCAAGGTTCCGACGAGCTGTGCACTCCATCCGACCATCCACCTGCTTTTTGCGACGCTGATTGCTTACCAATTCCCCGACCCCGACCGTCTGGTAGCTGTCGAACACACCTTAATCTCTTTGGGGCTAGTTTCGCCATGTCTGATTACTGTATACGGGACATATATGTTTTCAGATCCGAAGGCTCCGTAGATACCAAATGCAGGAGTTGTTGCGCCCTGAGATCAGGATATCTGCTGCTGCATCACGGTTTCTTGCTGTCAACCCCCCTTTTGCTGATGCTTTCTTGCCGTGATGAGTGCTGTCACGACTCCCACCTGCCCCTCCAAGCGCACATGCAGCATCAGCAGATAATTCACTCCCAGATTCTTGTCATGCTCCTTCCAAGTTACCTAGTTCCCTGCAGGAGCTTTGGCATTTCACAGCATCAAGCGTCCTGCTGAACTTATTGGGCAAATATATGGCCGTTGGGCAATTTTGGAGATGCTTGGTCCAAGCGCATTTGCAAGGCGCATCGCAGCGATCAACTCCCACTCCGCTCCTGATTCCGCAACGTCTTTGCATCTGCTGTGCATCTTGCAGTCAACGATTTCCTGCTGATCGTACGCTATTAATTCATTGACCGCTGTTTGCTTTCCATCACAGAACAAGCCCTTGTTCATCTACACCCCGGTATCTGCGATCAAAGCCGTCATCAACACCAGCAAGTGCATCTACACCATGACAAGGCCTCAGAATCTAGCTCGGGCAATCCCGTAAGTCTAGCAATTACTTTTCCGCCACTGATAAACAAGCCAATCCCTCATCTGACCTGCGCCATGACACCCACCTTGATGACCTCAGAACTCAAACACGTCTAACCTACGAGTCACAGCCAATCGTTCCAGGCGTTGTGCGAGCGTCGCTGTCGCACCAAAACGTCTTTGCTGATCCGCCGCGAAACAAATGTCCGGCCGAGACAGGCTATTACCATACCTCACACGAAATACGCACTCGTTACGGGGTTCCGGTCACTGTCCTCAGACTCTCGTCCGCCATCTGGTCCGGCTGAGCAGCCCAAACAAAATACACCACACGACTCAATCTATGCCGCCAGCCAACCCGCTGACCTGCCTGACCGAGTACAGAAGCTCTCTTCTAGATGGAAAATCATCAATAAAAGGCAGAGTATTGAGCGCAAGTTCCAATTTGCTGGTTTTACAAAGGCTTGGCAATTTATGTCGCTGGTTGCGGACGAGTGCAAAGTCAAGAAGCATCATCCGCGTTGGACCAACGTGTATAACAGGGTCTCAATCGAATGGACTACTCACGATCCTAAAGGACTGAGTATCAAGGATGTTGAGATGGCTGAATTTTGCGATCGAAAAGCAGCCGAGGTTGAGTTGAAAGAGTCACCATTTTGATGTAGCTTAGATCTAGATAGATCGACGATTTTCCGAATAATTTGCACCAAGAAAATGCCGATGGATCGACGAACCCGACATTACCATTGGTCAGTGAAGAGGACCGTCGGACGCGGAGATACCGTACCTCCATGCTCCAAACGAACTACGTGAAAGGGCCGGCTTATCGAACCCAATGGCGAAATGGCACTTGCTCAACTTCTTACATGCTTATCACTATCTAACATGCCGTTTTCTCACTGACCCACGGGTCCATTGGCACTATTGACACCCAGACTCCTGTATAGCATTGTGATGACTGATCAGAGTTTCACTTTTGTAAACAACATAGTTATATAATGAGGCGATGGTGGAACAAGATGAAAGGAAACACGTGGAACGTCAAAGTAGTTCTTATTTTGTAAAGCTCGCCAACCATACACCTTGCTTACTTAGGAAAGACCGTCCTTTAATAGACTGGTCTGTATTAACCCAGTTCATGGTGACCAGCTATAGTCTGCTTCCTCTCCTCTGAGCTACCCTCGTCACTCAAGTCATGTCTGTCCTGCCACTTCTCTTCAGCACCCAACTACCACACCGACATCGTCCACAGCCACACTCCAGCCACTCTCATCCTCTACGCCATCACCTTGCACACTGACCGCAACCGAATGGCCAACACCTGGAACCACATCTTGTACCATGACCTTGCCGCCGACCCTCTTCCAACCTTTGTTTCCAACTCCCAGCTGAACCTCTTGTCCACAGCTGACCCCATCTAGGAAGATCTCAACGCGCGTCTGTCCACTCGGCCTGCTTCCCCTGACCCATGCGTAGCAATCCACCGTCACACCGGTTGGAAGATCAATGTAAGACTGCGATAGCGTAAGTGTTGCGGTCACTTCCGAGCTATTCGATGTCGCAGCATATACGTTGAAACCCGAGTGTGCGCCAACATGGGAAGGGGAGGTGGAGATGCCGCGAGAGGACCATGAGCCTGTCACCATGTCCATCCATGGGGTCAACAAAGGAATCTCGAAGGATGGATTGGTGAGGGCGTTTGTACAGGCTCTTGTAGAGAGGGTCTGCTGCGGCGACGGAAGTGGTGTGGCTTGAGTGGATGAGAAGGCGAGGGTGGCGCATACGAGAAAGACTACGAGCCTTTGAAGAACCATGATGGTGAGTGTCGGTTGTGAAGAAGTTCTGTACGTCTGGCAAACGTTTGGAGACCTTATGTCTCGGTTGCTGAGTGGACTCGGTGGTGGTAGTGTTTTCGAGTTCGTGAGCGTTACCGATAGTCAAGGAAAGGCGATCACGAGTGAGACAACGCTCAGATGGCTTGTGTGACGTGACCAAGGGAAGCCTATCGACGCTTTCCAAGTGCCTTTACTTGAGTTTGGCTTGATAATCTTTCGAGGATTCGCGTGGAACGTTGGCGCTAGTAAGGATGGGCAGGTGTTCTGCAAGTGAGTCGACAATCAGGACGATTACTGATTCCGTTTGCTTGAAGGCCGAATTGACACAAGTGAAAGGTGAGGAGAGAGAAAAATAGTGAGACCCATTCAAGCCATTGCACCTGCTGCAGACATATAGCATTGCTGGCTCTTGTTACATTCATCAACACAAAAAGCACACTCCAGTTTGCGATCATGTCGAACAAGCTCCAGCTGGCAGGGCCAAAACCTGATCGAATGAAGCTAAGCCATCGCGCAACGGTTTTATCTACGGTACGGTGCAGGAGTAAACACAAAGGAGATATTACTAGTCTTGTAATTGATAGGGTTGGACGGCTGGTTGAGGCGAAGGTGGCGTAAGTCTAAGCGAAATTCACGAGGCCGTTGCGCAGCCGCTTGGCACCACTCCCTATCACTGTACGGGTAAACACAACAGTCGCGCTATGTTACAGCCCAAAGCTTGCTCCAGATATCGGAGATTTTGCTGGCAAGCGATCGAAACAGGTGGGAATGATTGGCGAGGTTGGGGAGTTTTGATCAGGTTTCTTCGAGCCTATGGGGATGTGTTTCACTGTATTCCAGCAGGGACTGGGTTATGTGAACCGAGACAGAAAGGAGATCTAGAACTAAGAAAAGAAAAAAGGAGAAGTGGTGATGTTTGGTCGGAATGATGTTATTGGATCTTTGTTAGGCCTGTGGGGGTTTATCCTCCCAAGCCTTTGCTCATAGCGGCGTACTTTTGGGGTATATAGAGAGCCACCGAAGTCAACCTATATGGCTGTCGAGGGCCGCCGGGTACGCTTCTGTCGCATACTGATGCATTTTCAAAGTCCGCCTCAAACGCCGACCGTGCAAACCGTAGCCTCATGTCGTCATACTGTAAATCGTGTCGCTCATGCAGGCTGTTCGTATGCCCTCTTAATGACCCTTGCGAATTCTGCCAGGTTTGTTAGCAGCTGATTGGTGCTCAGTATGTAAATAAACTTACGATCAAACTTGACATTCTCGCGGACAACGGTGCCCTTAGCCTCGTTGTCCTTGTTGATTGGTACCTTGATCTTGGCACCATCGATGTTCCATCCACACACGCTTCCGACGAAGTTGTCAAACTCGCTTCCGGAGAGGTTCAACCACGACTCTAGGATGCTTCGGTCGACCTCGCGTACCGCTTGGCTGACAGTCGCAGCAATTCGTACGCGCATCAACTCCTCAAAGCCTGATACGTCGGCAATCAAGTCGGCGTACAGGTCGTCAGAGTCAAGTGTGGACCAGAATGTGGCGTAGTCTGCACCTTCGAGCAGATTCCTGAGCTCGTTGAGCTTCTGGACAGCTTCTGATAGCGGGGCATCGCCAGCAGCTGGGTTGTGTAATGAAGAAGAAAGAGGAGCTAGGACGTGTGGGGGGAGGAGAGACAGACCCAGGGAGAAGTCGGGGCTGGGGAAGACGGTGAGGGCCTTGACGAGGATGTTGGTGATGGTCTCGTCACGGGCGAGGTGGGGGTTGAACTGGTAGCTGCAGCATCGTGGTTAGTGAGATGCAACGATGATACTGGAGGTACAATAGCAGAGGCAGAAAGCTGTCAGATAGAGCTAATAATAAACTTCAGCGGGTGGGGGGATTCAGTCCCCATCCCTCGGGTAATAGGAAACGTTGTGGTTGTTTATTCATCTTGTAGCATAGGAAAGATTGAGTAGAGGGGGAACGTACAGCTTCAACAGGGCGAGGTTGGCGTAGCAGTCGTACGTCTGGTTCTCGCACTGCTGCATGACATAGTCCTGGAAGACACCCGTCGTCTCTGGGTTGTAGCGATCCAGTCCATCGAGGATCTGCTGCATGTGATCCGGCCGCTCAGGCGCGAAGTCGAAAGGGGCGCCCATGGTGGTTGTGTGGATGAGCGACGAAGAGTTGGTGTCGAAGGCTTGGTCAAATTCGCTCAGTGCGACGAGACGGCGCATTGGCCACCGGGCAGCCCCGCGTCATCTTCAAAAAAGTTAGACCCCGCCAAAACAATTGATTGCGACAAGATCTACCAATTTACACCATCATGGCGCCCTACGACAGCGACTCCTCAGACGGCGGCGATGACTACACCGAGACAAATGTGCTGCTGGGTTATGCGACAAAGGACGCAACGGGCGACGCAGTTTCCCACATCGGAGGCGCACCGGTACGCACACTGTCGACCTAGCCAGAAGTCTGTCTAATGATCATAGTAGGGCTGGATAGATGAGGCGACAGCCCCTTCTGGCGCCTTAGCAAAGTGCAAAGTCTGTAATGGCTATCTCAGCCTCCTCCTCGAACTCAACGGCGACCTTCCTGACCAATTCCCTGGTCACGAACGGCGACTCTACATCTGGACATGTCGGCGCAAACCATGCAGAAGAAAGGAGGGTAGCGTGAGGGGCATTCGTGGAGTGCGCGTCGCAAAAGGCGCGAGCAGTAAGGCTACCACTGCCAAAGTCGAGAAGAAGGAGGTCAAAGAAGAAAAGCCCCAGCCCAAGATAGGCGAGTCGCTGTTTGGGGTCAAGAATGGGACAAGTGCATCGACGCCCGCGAACCCATTCTCGAACCCCTTCTCATCCAAGCCCAATGGTGTGGCATCGGCGAACTCTTTCTCTTCGGGGGGAAGTGCAAATCCCTTCGGCACATCCAGCCCTACACCCGCAGTTCAAGTTAGCGAGCCTGAGGAGAAGAAGGATGAAGCCTCCACGACTTTACCGGAAACTTTCGCGTCCAAAGTTCGGCTGTCTTCACCACCTCCGTCTGAACAGCAACCCCCACGTCCACATGAGCCATGGCCAGCAGACTCGGCCTTCCCTACGCCGTTCCCACACTACCACCTGGACGCCGAATACGAGACGCTAGACGCTCCTTCAGAACCATCAATACCAGCAAACGTGCGGGTTATGGATATGGAGACTGAAGAAAGCGGGAAAGGTGGTGGAAAAGAAGACAAGGAAGTATTTGAGTCGTCCATGGACAGGACGTTCCAGAAGTTTGCAGATCGCATTGGGGAGAACTCCGAGCAGGTGCTGCGTTATGAGTACAAAGGCAAGCCACTTCTCTACAGCGACAACGATGCCATTGGCAAGCTTCTGGGACCACATTCGGAGAATGGTACAGCGTCGAACGCAAAGGTCAAGACAGCGGCCTCACGAGGTGGAGCTGGCTTTCCTCGATGTTCGACGTGTGGTGCGGATAGGGTCTTCGAGGTTCAGTTAACACCACATGCAATTACCGAGTTGGAGGCAGACGAGATGAGCATCGATGGCATGGAATGGGGCACTATCATTATGGCAGTATGTAGCAAAGACTGCAAGCCCAGCGACGTCCAAGAAGGCGAAGTCGGCTATGTGGAGGAATGGGTTGGTGTCCAATGGGAGGAGGTCGCTTCAAAGAAGTAGGAGACGATCACGTAAGATATCAGACGAATGATGACTTGAACGATGATCTCGATACCCCACACTTACAAAGGAGCTCGTTTTTTAAGGAGTAGTATACTCAGCTGTACTGCACCCGAGAGGTATATCATGTATTTTGTGCTTTCTAGTGTTGGTATAGAATGCAGCGTATACCTTGAGGGAAGACTTGAGTATGGAGTACCCCTAAGTAGGAACGAGCTCCTTCGTACAAGTTTCAAGCTGCTACAGCCGCTGCTACGGGTGCAGCCACCCTCGTGATTTGATCGCCTGCCCTGACGACACCATTGCCTTTGGTGTCTTTACTAGCTCTCTCAGCACCTGTTTTCCAGACTTCGACTTCCTGACCGCCTCGCAAGATACCAACACGCATAGTCGACAACAAATTATGTGCTGCGTTCGAATGTTCATACACACCGCCATTGAATACCGCGGTACCATCCTTGCCAATCACACTCTTGATCAGTGTCTTGCCACCAGGATGATCAGCAATGAACGGTGAAACATCGTGGATTACTCCAGCGATAGCCACCAAAGCGGCGCCGTTGGCGGAAGCCTGGGCTTGAAAATCGTCCCAACTGATGACTGGCAGTTGAGCTAATGGGAGGCCCCAATCAAGCTTCGATCGCTTTTGGTCGAGTGCTTTCTGTTGCTGTTGAAGTCTGCCTTTCTCAATCTCATTAGAGCGAAAGGTCTTCAGGTCGTATGTCAGTGGAAAGAGAGGGATTATGGACATGATCCAGATGAGCCATTTCGTCGGGTCGTATTGATACCAGATTATTGCGTTGCCTTGATCTGTTGTTAGTATCATCACCCTTATGACATCCAAAAGACATGGACTTACGATAGTCAGACGGGAACTCATGGTGAAAGTTGTGGTATCCTTCGCCCATAGTCACCAAAGCGGTCAACACGTGATCCCTTGGAGATCTCCGGTCGTCGAATGGCTGCTCGCCGATCCAGTGCGCGAGACTGTTCACACAAAAGGTAGCTTGCTGTACGAAGCACGCCCTGATGATGCCCGCATACACAAAGCCACCCCACCAGTCTCCCCAGCCCATACCTGCTACCATCGCAGGGAAGATCCAGGCAGCAAAGAGAAGCATTTTTCCATAGTGCCGGTGCTGAAACACAACGATCGGGTCGCTGTCCAAATCGGAGATGTCCGTACGACCTTTGACTTTCGGGTCGTTGTTAAGAACCATCCAACCGATGTGAGAAAACAACAAGCCTCGCATAACCGAGTATGGATCTTTCATCGTATCTGTCCATCGATGATGCGCGCGATGGTTGGCGCTCCACCATCTTATGCTACCTTGGATTGCTCCTGCTCCTGTGAAGGCCAAGAACAGACGTACCGGAAGGCGCGCAGAATAGCAGCGGTGGCTCCATAATCGATGATATCCACCTGTGATACCAAAAGCGGTCATGAAGTAGTACAGGATGCTCCATAGCAAAGTTGGTCGAGTGAGAGGTGTCGAACGTGCCAAGTAGAGGCCATATGTCGGGATTAGAACGACGAGAGTTGTGTTAAGCCAGTTAATCTTCTTGTACCAATTTGCGAAAGTGACTGGTTGAGCAGATATATGTAGTTCTTTTGGGGTGGGAGGTTTTCCCGTTAAAGGGTCAGAAGCGGCCATGACGGACGACGTGAGCTAGTCAATCCCACACGAAGGAAAAAAGCGAAATGCAAGGCAGCCTACTCTTCCAAGCACGATAGCTTGGTATATGTACCTCCATCATCTTCGACCGGAACATTCCGAATACACCAACTGTTGGCCTAAATGCAGGGCAGAACGTGGTTCTTTCAGCCCCATTGTCGGTCAAAGGCAACGTGCGTAACGGCGAGACGGTCACGCCAAACCCCCCGATCCGGATTCCTCGGGTGTCGTGTAGTTTTTACAGCTCTAATGCCATTGGTGGAGCGGAGTGGTGGACTGAGGTTAATGAAGTTTACAATGCCGTGTATGGTTAGACGCATGCAGGAACGTGGCCGTTCTTCGGCTGTTTGATGCCTACCCAGATGCTAGCCTGTTTCTGGTGAGGGATGCGAGTTTTCAGGGTAAGATGCGACAGTCTTGGCGCGGACTTCATGCCACCTCTCAATTCTTGAAATCCGTGGCATATCCGCTTCTTTATGCGCGCTGCTGACGGCTATGCTTCTTTCTATGTTCAATCGCGAATTACAGTGGACGACTTCCTTATGAGGGCTGGTGACAGCTATACCCTTCTCCGTGGTTAATCGCGAATTCAAGGGAATACATATACCTCTTTCCATGTTTAATCGCGATTTTGAGTAGCCACTATACTCCTTTCGATGTACTCTTGCGAGTCAAAAGGTATGGATGGCTCAATGGTGCAGATGTCTTGCAAAAGGGGCCTGAAGCTTGAGAACTCTCTGAACTCTCTAGTGATTACAGGCATGTGAAGTATTTCTTAGCCTGCGCTGTTCCATCCTAACAAGCAACTGGGCTGGATTCCTCTATTGTTCCGTACTCTGGAGTTTTGCTTTACACAGATTATTGGAGGGCGACTGTACAATGCGACGTCGGCGCTTCGATACAATCCATGCATCCTCTCCAGTGTCAAAATCTTCCCTGATTGCCCAATCTTTGGTTAGAAGTCTCATCATCCTTGCTAGCCCCTGTCTTCAATTTGCTCGATGTGCCCGGCAGCACTCATAAGGCTCCACACGTCCTGTTCGCCTTGAGCCTTCATCCTGTCCATTAAGCACTGTACAAGGTCTCTGAATATACGGCCCGGAGTCTCTGCCATCTTCAACGCATCGTAGTTGGTCTGAAGAGCAAACAAGTCAACGAACAATCGTCTAAGGGCACAAGAACGAGTTGTCTTCTGGTACGCCACAAGCATTAGCTGATGACGAGACTTGTCCGTCATTCTCAAGCTGCATTCGATGATTTGTTGACGCACGACTTGCAAGAATTCGATGTCTCCGAGAGTTTCGCCCACCTCGTGCGCAAGGATCAGTCGGAAGCAGCGAAGTTCGTGATCTCCCTTGTCCGCCTTATAGACTGGGATAGTGCATCCGTAGAGCCACTGGACGTATACGTCGAAGCCATCAGCATCCATATCATCAAGACTGGTGGTATCAAAGAAGTCCGACAGGATCCACTTTGAACGGCATGTGGGACAAGTGTTGTTGTTCTCGGACCATTGTTTCATACAATCTTGATGCAGATTGTTTCCACATGTCTTGCAGTACGTCAAGGTTTGGACCAAGGCATCAAGATATTCGTGACAGATGATGCACCCGCCCTCAACGTCTTTACGCACGGTCTGGAACTAGTTCTTGAAGAAGGTGGATTGCTTGCAAAGCATGTCCTCGTGTGCCGAAAACTGGCGACGCTTTGGGCCTACATGTAGGCGAAGGAGTCTACCACCAAATCTGAACTCATTAGTATTCGATGATGATAAGAGAGGGTGGATTGCTTGCAAGATAGGTGAATGCTTCTTCGCCTTGCTGGCTGTGCCGCGAGCTTGGCCGACAGTCATTGGACCTTACGTTGGTTCGACTCTTCAAGCTCTGATGCTGACAATGGAAATTTTTTCCTAAGAAGCCGGGTCGTTGCGTGGTAAGTTAAGGGTCTGATAAGAGTGTAGTGTCGAAGCGCGAGTGAGACTAGCCACTTTCTCGCGGCCCCAAAATAAGCTTGTAAGCTCACCACGAGGTGATAGAGGTGGGGATGACGCTGCGATGAAGAGAAGGTGAGGAGCGGTTAGGTGAGGCCTAAACTGTGAGGTTCTAAGCTCACGTAACCATGGCTTTGCAAACAATCCGTACAGCATCATTGCTTTCTGGGACCGTCGCGCCTTCCTTGAGCTCTCACCGTCTGCACCGCTAGCGTCACTAGCCCACGTCACACCAAACGCGCGCACACTTCCCGTAGAGCTACGTCCTCACTCTTCATGATCATCATTCCTCGTCAAGCTTCATGCTCACCAATTCAAATTCGCAGAATTCATCGCTCCTCGGCGCCTAGCGCGCACGACTACTGTACCTATATTTCGTGCATCATGCCAGTAACTACAAGACTCAAACGACAGGAATTACCATCCTCTACATCTGATAGTCGCCTCGAATTAGAAGTCCAACGCACTGCAAGGATGACAACCCACACTGACACTGTCCCCATGGACATCGACTTTGGCAAGCTTCCAACCGCCATCGACACCAATAATTGCTCGGTATCACCTGGAAAGAGCGATTCCGGAGATAGTGACAAGAGAAATCTTTCCTATACCGATGACTTTGAGACGCTGCCTTCAAGTGGCCCGACCAGTCATGCTCATATCATCGACCTTCGGGAGTACGCTACATCTATGAAGGAAGAAGGAATACTCAAACTTCAGGATGCGATCGCCACTACTCTATTTAACGTGTCACTAGCCACGCTCAGATCCTTTGTCAACTCCACAGTCAACACCTTCAAGGCTGTGTTTGGTACGAAGAATGTACAGTTGGTCATCTGGCGCAGGGGTCTCGAGGTCTTTGTAAGTCGTCACATCTTCTGCTAAAGCTACGTCTACTGATGTTCTTGTAGATTGGCACTTTCGAACACCACAAGTCAATGAAATTATACCGCTTCGAGCATGTCGCCGGCTTCCTGATCGGCTACGATGGATCTTGGCACCTCAAGGTCACGGCTAGCAACGCCTACTCCGCCCCCAAGTGGCCAGATATTTGGGCTGGCAAGTTCGAGTGCCACGGTGGTGTTGCGAAGATGACGATCGAGAACGAGGAGACGGGTATGGCAAAGCAGGCTTCAAAATTGGCATCTGAGATTATTGGTCGCAGGTACTGGGAACTCAAGATTGATGTGAGGATGTAGGTTGCTATTGTATATAGCTCTGCAGCTGCATTACTGTTAAAGTGGGAACGTTAGTCAGCTTATTGGTCGAAGTGCCCCGTCGGCTGCGCGACCTCCAGTATCTCGTCTTGTCTTAGTGTACCCGCAAAACTTAATTTCCACTTACCCGCATCACTGATCGATAGCTATGAACATCGGAACTGTTCTTGTTCTCTCCTCGCCTTCGGTTTTACAGACACATCAACTATTAATCCACATCTATATCTCGGAAAGGTCCAACAATTCCGCATTGTCCTTCCGAACGAATGACCACTGCCCTCAGAACCTCTGGCCTCCAGCAAGCTCAAAGCCACATCTCTGTTCTCGTGCATTGTCTTTCCGACAGAAAACTTTGAGCAAACCACTACCACAGTGGCAAAGAGGCCGCTCACATGTGTGAAGGACTAGGCGTTGAACTGATTATCTTGCAGACTCAGCCCCGCGCAGTTTTGTCGGCCTTGGGTGTGCATGGCTTGCATATCGTCTACCCATGTCCTCGAAAGAGTGCCTCGCTATGGCCCCACGTCGTTGCAGGAAAGATTAGAGCGCCCTTGGGTGGCTGACTAGTGGGAGGCGCTCCATTATTCCCTACAACGACGTGGCCCTGTTTACCAGTGACACGTTGATTCACAGGGGCTGATCCGCCTAGAATCCGAAACAAAAGCATTACATGGATCACGCAAGCCTAAGCCGGTTGGATACCCCGCTTTTTGGTCTCGTTTCTTTTTTTTCTTTTTCTAAGGACGCGAGTCGATGGCTCAGCCTTGCAGCAACTCAGCTTAAGCTAATGCTAGGAGAATACATGGTTCACAACTGTAGCAGTAGTGGTTAAGCCTTTTCACGCGAAGGACGAATCAGCCTTCATACCGCAACTCCACAATCTTGTATGGCGCTACAAACCCATGTAACTTCCGTTATCGATGCCAAGGGTAGAAAGAGGGGTTTGGTGATCGGCAGTTTTAGAGATGTGTATCTCTTCCGATTAGTGGTCATTTTTTAGGACAGCATATCTCAAAGCAAAGGAAGGGAAAGCAAACAGGTCATTGCAAGCAGTGAATATGAGCAAACACGACGACGCAGTTTTGACAGAGATCCGCTATACCGCGAGAGATGCTCGGCACGAGTACGAGAAGCCGTATGAGATGAGATATGACACTGGTGGGGTGATTCCCACTACCAACACTACGCACGAGAGCCACACTGTTACCATTCTGAATTTCAGATCATTCCAGAATGAACACAACTTCAGCGATTATGGATTTGCGGTGGAGAAGATGGGAACTATCATGACAGACGAGGTGTTCGGGAATCGGAAACTCATTCAGGAAGTCTACTATCCTGTGCTAGAGAAACTCCTCTGGCAGCAATTTCCTAGTGCTGCGGAGGTCCGCATATTGGAATACAATGTCAGGATATCGAGGTTGAAAGCGGGATTCGTTTGCTGATCCTGTTGCTAGCTTCGAAGCAGACACATACAGTACCCTCATTTTAACCACAAGGTTGAGCTCGAGTTTTCGCAGCCTGCAACACTCGCTCATATTGGTAGGAGGCGATACATGATCTTTGTGTGCAGTGCTGACAATATTCAGATTACTCGTTGGAGTCCGCAATCAGGAACGCGTGCGCAGTGTTCAAAACACCACGAGAAAGCCTCAAACGCGTGCTAACGGTGAAGTAAGTTATTCGGTGCCGGCCATCTACCATTGCAGTAGCTGAATACTCAAAAGCTTTTGGAAGTCGTTTCAACCAGGAAATGATTGGCCTCTCGCCTTATGCGACGCCCGTTCTCTCAACCATGACACAGACACTATCGATGTTGACATAGTCTATCACGATCGTTATACTGAGAACGAGACCATGTATTACGACCCAGGACACGATTGGTATTATGTCAAGGACCTCGGAGAGGATGAAATCTTGATGTTCGTGCAGAAAGACACTGATAAGCCCGGAGGTGGGGGTAAGTACCCTACTTCTTTGTACTCCTGTGGATTTGCGGGACACACACAGATGCTAAACTCGATACTATAGGCGTAGCGCACACAAGCTTCTATAACCCCTTGGCTAAAGAAGATGCTCCACCGCGGATGAGCATCGAGATTAGAGCTTATGTTGCATTCAAGTAGAGCAGTTGGGAAACAATACATGCCGTGCTCCGCGCTCATTGTAAGGGTGTAGAGTGGAGTACAAACATGATATCTGAACAAAGAGAGATAAACATTACACTAGGAGATTGAGTATCATTCATCAAGAGTATTTTTCAGGTCCTTTAACCTGATTGACGTGTGTCATCTACCTATGGGTGTCGAGTTCTCTCTTACGCTTTCGAAGTCTGGTGTTGAGCAGTGACCTTCACATGCACTGGGGCGTCATCCTGTGCACTGGTACAATATCTCGTTCATTTGGTACATACTAAGCGAGAGATGTTGTAGTGTTCATCATCATGCTACCCTCATGTCTTCTTCTCGCGCACTTAGCCTCCAATCATTTCATGTCCCAGGTCGAATCAGGTGTGACACTCTCGCCCTTCGCGTTGACGCCGTATTGACCATTGAGACACTGCCCTCCCCGAGCATCTCTCTCGTATTGTATGTTCCAAGTCTCCTTTGGGGCAGGCCAAATCTTCCTCCATGGCTGTGATTTCTCCTTTGCGGGTTGCGTGGTCTTGGTGGGTTGGACCATCTTTAAGATGATTTTCGCGGTACGGTAGAAAAAGGAGCCTGCTATGGTTAGTATATACTACTCGATAGGAAGAAACAAGTGAGAAGACTGGTATTACTTGTCGTTGTAGTAGCGACAACTTGAGTGCTGCTGCGGGAGGCTGGTACGTGAACGATGCTGATGCTGGAACCAAATCCAGTGGGGCGATTATTCGGACGATTAAGAGCTCCCATCTGTTCTTATCAGTCAGCCACTTGATTGAAACCGGTGAGATCCTACGACGTGTTCGCAGTTGCATGTATCGCCGGATGTGGTTAAAGCCACCCGAGTGGCTTTTAGATGCAACTAGCGTTCGTATGCCTCACTCATGCACCAGCGTCTAGCAGACATTGGTCAAGCTCACGTCCTGCGGAACAAAGAGGCAGTGCCAAGTGAAAAAAACTCAGATGAGTAGAGATAGACATACTTTCCACCTATCATTTTTGCAGTTCGTGCCGCGAATGCTTGGTGGCGGTCCACTACGTTCGACGATTGGAGCCTTAACCCATTCACACCAACTAGACATGCATCCACATATCAGTGGCATGAGACAGTAGAAAGCGCCTTGAATTTTCCTTGTTAGGTATCTGCCCGCAAACCGGGCCGTGGCCGTGCAAGGCTCGATAAGACCAGGGATGATGCGCCTTCGCAACCTTGCAGGTGTGCTGTCACTGCCCTCACAAACCATACTTTTTCCACCCTTTCCCTTACTGTTCGTATTATTCCTCATCTGATTCTAGCACTCCTGCTGCGCCACTCGATATTTTCGCAAGGTCTAAACGTGTAAGGCTCTCCTGGCGCATGGTGGACATGTTGGTAGCCTCGAGTCGTCGATCAGACTTGAGGCACTGTTTTCTGAACAGACTGGAGCGATCGGGCACTAAAGGTGAGGCAGTGCGCTGGGCGTAAGTAGCGAATAACAATATAAGTATGTAGGAGATCAACAAAGAAAGTATCGCACAAGGCCTTCGTCATCGTGTCTCGAAGTCCTTGCTCAATCTTACAACCAATACTTGTTGGGCCGAACCCCGTCATGTCTATCACATGGGTTAGTTTATCAACGCGATGGGGTCTCACCAGCGTGCAAGCCGCTCTCAATGTCGTCATGTCAGTACTAGGTAAGTCTTTAACTTCGAGCCATCACCAAGGTTTCACTCACAAACTTAGGAACGATTGGGATCTGGACAATGTCTCGATACTGGTGGCAGCGAGGCGGAAAGAAGATCTTGAGCCAGAAGCCAGACATCCCTCTTCCCCAAATGCTCAGCATCGCTAGTCCTGGCGAGGGCTATGATGCGGTGAACGTCCTCCGTTGGAAACTGTTTTCAAAGAAACACTTCCTGTTACTCCTCCAGGTGATGAGCGTTTTCATAGCCGCATTGGCAAGCGGGCTAGCAGGTCCACTTGCCCAGGTTTCGCTCAGAAGTACTAAAACTGTCCGATCACAGACAGTCGAAGTGCTTCAAGCGTGGGCTAGTGGCGAAGACTTTGGCAACCGCAACAACGCAAATGTGGAATGGAATGATACCATGACCAGCTTGGATGTAGCTGGCTTCCCATATACTCAGATGATGGATTACCTACCTCCATCTTCAATACTGTGGACTTACACTGCCAGCGAATGGGATCCAACATGGAGTGCGGATTGCAGCTTTGAAGAGGAAACCCTGCTGAGAGACCTGGTCGCTTCGGGCGAGTCTACGTTTTATGAGCCCCTCAAGGCTTTCCCTTCCTACCGAGACACTTACAATACGACGTGGCTCAATGCATCACAGTTCAGGCCTGAAGCAAATTTTGCTGGCGAAATGAGAGTTACTGAGGAGGGCGAAATGGTTATGAAAGATATGATAATCTGGATCCTTATCCAATCGGAGCCGATGGTCAACGACCGAGCCATGAACAACAATGAAACGCTGCACTTATCGCTATCATCCCTACACGTCAAAGACTTCCAAGTCATGACGTTTGACGACCCAACAAATGGCGGTGAAACTGAGTGGCGACCCAATGGCACCGTTGCGAACGCGAGTTATACCCGAGTGGAATGCACCATCTCCCGCAAGCCTGTGGTCCTCGACGAAAACGCAATACCATGGATATGGACGAATGACACATACTCCATTACCAACGCGTACAGACAGTTTTGGATGACATATGTCGGAGAGCAGTCGAACGCGAACCTGACAGTCGCTCCGCTAACGCCGCATGAACTGTTCCGTTTCTATCAAACTTACATGATATCAGTGAACACTTGGAATGCGAGGCCATATTTTCGGAACATCAGTGTCTTGAGAGACACGGTACAGCTGTCGATAGCGTGTTTGATCCTGATCTTACTGCTGATCACTGTCGAGCTGTGGTTGACCGTGCGGTATCTATGGTTCCTTCGACGTAACAAACAGCGACTCGATGAGCGATGCATTCCGGATGGGAAAATAGACTGGATGGTATATAACGCGAGATTAGCCGAGCAGTTTGCAAGCCAACAGCGCGGCCAGGGAGAGAAACCCCCAAAGAGTCGTGACTATTTCCGCCGGGCATCTTTTGGCAACGGCCTTGATCCTAACGCCCAATCCTCCGGACTTGCCCGTGTTTATAGCACCTCAAAATCAACATCCGGAGCCACTCGCGGCGATTTAAGGAACTCGCCCTTCAAGAAACCAACCCGACCAACACCTCCTCATATCGTTGTTCCAATCAGGAAAGAAGCTACTGTTAATGAACATGAGCTAAGCAGAATGCCTATTTATAATCGCTCGTGTAACGGTATCGACTCAGCGATCTCATCTGATCGTGGAAGCTCCCAACATCTGGTCACACCAAATCTGGACACCCATATGCTCAATCCACAGCTCTCACAGAGATCCTCGATCACTATGGTCAAGCCCACTACGCAAAGTGAAGGCTCATCGCCAAGAGTCAGCTTCTACTCCAAGGGAGAAGATGAAGACAGGATTGATACTATCACACCCGTCACGCCCACAATGCCCATCAAGCCCCTTACACCACCTGGTGGTAGCAAAAAATAAAAACATGGACCCGAGCTCATTGGAAAGGAATAATCTGTGGTGCACCTGGATGTATCTTGTGCGATTTTGCTGGAATTTACAAGCTTTGTGATGAGGCAGTTGGTTATTGCGGTACTGCCATGAGGGAAAGGCCCCCAGATAAGTAAGCTAGCGAAGCTCGCTTATAGTCCGCTTCTTTGATTCGTTTTATCTCAAGTGAGAACTCTAATAACGAGAACTTTGCCTGCTATCAGGCCTTTTTTCTTCTTCGTGCTTCAAAACTCGATCCTTCTCACTTCGCCTTTCCATCAGGAGATCATTTGTTCACCACTCTTCCACCGCAGCTTTCCTAATCCAAATACAGTGGTCTGTACAACTCAAATTGACTGCCGCAGCATAGCCTCATATTATACAGCTGCCACAATCTCCCCACTTCCCAAACCAAGAGTTCATCGTCCAATGGCAAGGTACCCGCACCTTATGCGCTGGCTGAGACCTTATCAGCGTTACCAAGAACAGAACTCAAGACGACCTAGGACGCCCACAGAGCCAAGCTCACGATAGCCGTCGATTAAATGACGCCAGCTCAAAGCTGCAGGAGATTCGTGTTCGACCCACGGTGAGCTAACTATCTTTTTGGATGCTTCGAGTTGGTGGTGCAGTCGGTGAGGCCAAATAGACAGAACTGTATGATGATATCCTTTTGATGTTGCAGCGAGATACAGGAAAAGGTAGGCTAGAGAACGGACGAATTAGTAGAAGGCAGGTAGATCTTTTGATCGGTTCACATCCAAGTCATTCGAAGAAGTAAAAAATGAATTCATCTTATCCAACGACGCCTTGTGATGATAGCAGATCGCGTGCGTTATTCAAAACACTCGAGCGATTGATGTGGTGTATCCAACAACATGTCTATCTCTAAACTGCTCCAAACGCCGGTCATCCAATGCATATGCCAATGCTAGTAACGTCAATGCGTGTATCATAGAATCACCACCTTCCAGGCCCGAAAGTTCCTCCTTTTGGCACTTCCTTGTAGGGACAGGCTTGCCAGTCACAACCCTATGAACATGTTAGCAAACTGTATCAAGAAAGAAAACGTGGTTGCGAACTACGTACCTGCTTGTAGACCTCTGTACCCCACCATTTGAAGTTACTCATCCAACCCGGGTACACGATACCAAAGAAGATGACGACGACACCGAACGCAAGACCAGAGTCCAAGGCCGCGCTAAGCATCATATTGTACTTCTTCCACCACGCGTTCTTCCGGTTCCGAATCTCGTAGTTGAAGATGTAGCAGACGATTGCCCAAACGGAGAAGTTAAGCCCAGTGGCTGGCGGAATCCAACTCAGACTACCGAACACAACGGCGAGGTTGACTTTACTAAGGATAGATTTGCGGTCTCCGCGGGCGAGCCACCAGATTATGACGGGTGCAATAGCGCCAACGGGGAAGGCCCAGATCAGGTGTTGGTAGAGTGCGCCTGGGCCGAAGAACTTTCCTGGTCCAACAACACCCCAAAGTATACTTCCGTTGAAGTGTACGCGGGCGATTGGACAGTTGAAGCCGTTGATAGCCTGTGGTGTGCAGATACCTGGGATGTAATTTAGCATCCAGTTGAGCACACCAATCTGCGTCAGACTGGAAACAATGGTGACGGAAAGCTGAAGCTTGAAGAGGATTTTGGGAGGAATCTTCATGTAGTGACCAAGCTTCAGATCTGAAGCAAACTTCAGACCCTGTGTGGATGAGATATAGCCAAAGGTCGTGAAGACCATGTTTGCGACGGGCCGACCGGGGAAGACAACGCCACAGATCAGTTGGCAGATAAGGTAGATGCTACTTTGTTGGTTCGTGATGGCCATAACGATGCCAATGGGGACGAAGAGAACCGCGCCAATGCCGAGAGCTAGCAAGAGACCGTACCAGGGTAAGTGGACAGGGTAGTACTCGACGACGAACATGCCGACAGCGGCCATGCTAACGCCTGTTAGAAGATACCAGGTAAGTGGTACATCCTCATATTTGCGCATGAGACGGTTGTGCACGTCTTCCGCGGACAGTAGGTCTTCCACGTCCGGTTCTGACGTCGTACTCGGCCTATGTCGGAGCATTGCAGGTGAGCCCGGACGATTGTTAGCATCGGATCCGTTCACTAATGGCTGGTAGTCCTGGGCCGACTCCTTACGGATCTCAGCCCAGGAGCGACGCCATTGCCTCCAGATATCCTTTCCGTACCATAGCCCAGTGTGCGAAAGCAGAGCAGTAAGACCGGCAAATTGCAGGGCGTAGCTCAATACGTAGGTAATCGGAAGATAGACACGACTGTATTGTTTGTAGGCTTCTTCGTCGAAGAGGAAGTTCTCGGTCAAAATCTTGCTGACGTCGTACGGCTTTCCACGATTGTCCCATACGGCAGATGAGAGGATGGGCATGTACGAAGAGTAAAGGACGTTCTTGTAGTCTGTATCTGTTAGCGTAGGTGATCATAATTTCTTGGAAATACTTGCACATGATTGGGGCTGCAATCCACATAACCATTACAAGCCCTCCAAGGATGTTCATGGCAGCCCAGAATGGGGTGATCAAGGGAGAACCAATGTACGCAATCTGGGCCCAGTCGAAAGTCACCGGAAATAATCCAAGGCCAGACGAGATTCCGAATAGATTAGCGACGACAACACTCTTTGGCGCGAACCAGGTGATCACATTGAAATAACTCAATGCTGGGAACAGGAGACCAGGCAGGAAGTAAAATGCGACGGACCCCAGGAATATGCGCTTGAAGAATTTCCGTGGAGCTATGGTCCAGCCATCGGCAGGCTTGTTCTCATCTTTGTGCAACGCGGTAAACATAGCAGTGGACACCAGCGTGCTTGGCCATATCATACCGCTGGGCCGGACCAAATAACGTCTAGTAATGCCGGCAAGGGAGTAGCCCAGGATTTGGGTGGAGAGAATGAGCAGTACTTGATACATGATGCCGAGGTCTTGCTTGTAGAATTTGACCTGCTCAACGATGACCTTGCGAATGTTAGCATGTACCTCTCTTCTTCAATAATATACTTACATCAGTTGCAAAGGCAAAGCCGAAGGATACATTGCTGCTGACGTATACGCAACAGTGTTCTTTTTCGTTCCAGCGGCCTTGGGCAAGCCAGAGCCGTAGTCGACGTGCCCAGGTGACTTTGTTCTGTGATGATTGGGGGTGGTGTGAGGTTGTTTGAGCGCAACCATCGATGAAGGTTTCTTCAGGGTCGTCGTGTCGTTTTAGAAGTTGGTCCCATAGCAGACCGAGAGGATGAACAAGTAGTAGTGCAATAATAGGAGTAAGGCTAACGCTAGGGTATCGTAGGGAGAAGAACAAGTTGGTTGAAGAACCAGCAATGGAAAACAGAATCGACAGGAACCACATGCGCGGGGTATCAATAGACAGAGACAGGTTGTCAGTAGCAGCAACGGACGCCCTGACTTGAGCGTAGGGCGAGTTATCGGACGGATTACCCTTCATATCGTGTAGGTCGTCGTCGGAAGATTCATTGTCGTCTAGCGTACTGCTCGAAGAGGTTGAGTTGTCAAACAGTGGCGCACCAGCTGTAGAAGGATCGAGGCCGCTGGCGTTGAACCTCGCTTCGAAACGACATTCCTCCTGGCCGCTGGAGGCTACACCAAGCGTCGTGCTGCTACGATCAGCGTCACCCGTCCTACGACGTGACTTGCTAGTGCTTGAAAGGATTGGTTCACTCCGTATCGAATCATCGTGGTTGTGATCCGAGAGTAACGTGGGTTCACTATGCGAAAGTCTGCTCTTTCCTTTTTTCTTTCTTGACTCATTGACTACGTTGTTCTCATCAGACTCCTCTGGACTGGAAGAAAAAATAGGCAGGCCGCCATATGACCCTGGGGTCGAAGTTAGCACGTGTAGCGAATGAGATTCCGTGCATCTTGTGCATCGTGGGATTTGTGCACGCGTCCAGAGCCGAGGGGGCGATTAACGACCATGGCGCTTGACAGCAGTCAATAGCTTGCTTACCTGTTCCCTGCGCCGGGCTCGATCTCACCAGAAGAGGTACTCTTGACATTGCCTTCTTGACGGATCGTGTAGGACTATCGGGGCGACCAGCTGGCAGATCAAGATCGTCATCAGAAGTCGTTTCGGATGTGGCTATGTTCCTTGCTTTCTTTGCTTTCCCAGGCAAAACCTGCAACTCGTAGCTGCCTTGAGAGACGGAAAGAGGGTCGTGTCGCGTGGTTCCAGAAGAAGAATGGACGGACGAGGGAGCAAGCGACGAAGATGACCCGCACCCGTCCTCGTTAGCCATATGTATGGGTGGGTGTGCGGCCAGGGGCGCGTGTACAAGTGTTCCCGTTTGTCGCGCCAAAGCGGCCTCGCGCGACGTTCGGAATCAAATGATCAGATAAAATCGCACGCTGCCATGTGTTGGGCCGTAATGTTCCCGATGATCTGATTAGATGGAAGCGCGGAAAACGGTCCAGAATTAGGTCAATGATGTATTATTACTGGAGTCATCCAATAAAGAGTGCAGTGTCGACGCAGTGTCTTCACGGTAAGCGGTTAGATCCGGGCGACGATGTGGAGTTCCCAGCGAAAAGGCTCCCACGCTCCCGCGCGCGCGAGCCGCCTGCATATCATCACACGCCTGCATGCCTCATTATCCTGGTACACTCACGGATCAACACTCTCTTGACAGCTGCATGTCCGCGCGGACGGAGCCGCAGCGTTTGCAGTCGGAATTTTACATTGTTTCTACAGAAGTGCAAATGCTCAATGTGACGTCACCTGGCTCACATCAACGTGACCCGGGATACCCACGTGGTTCTCGGCTTTGCGACCAGCGGTGAGGCCCTCAACCATTGCAATAGCGCCCTCAGTGTCGTCCTTGTTGTAAAGAAACAACCCCTGTAGCGCTGCAGTGCTCACCGAGTCGATGAGGCCCAACTCTCTGACTCTAGCCATAAATCTCTGCTTCGCTTCCCCGCCTGCATCGAATTCTGCATAGAATCGGTCCCAGAGCTGCTCGATCTGATACTCAGTTGCTTCACCGAGCCTTACCGTCATATCCACGCGGCCGGGTCGAACGAGCGCTTCGTCCAGTCTCTCGACATGATTTGTCGTCAGGAAGATGATGCGCTCTTCAGCACTAGCTACACCGTCAAGAGCGTTGAGCAGTCCAGAGAAGGTGACGGAGTGGCTAGCAAATCCGTCTGCGCCAGGCGTCTTGCGATTCATGAATGCGACATCAACATCTTCCAGCAGCACTACTGTCCGTCGCGGGACCTTGGTCAGCAGATGATTCAATCTGTCGTCTGTGAGGCCGCGCTCGCTGACGTTCAGAATGGCAATATTGAAGTCGAGATGACCGGCAACAGCTTGAATGAAGGAGCTCTTTCCAGTACCCGGGGGCCCGTAGAGCAGATAGCCTCGCCTATACGGTATGCCACGGTCCAAGTACCACTTGCGTGATGAGATGAAAGCCTCCATATCCTCTACGATGCGCTCCTTGACACCGCGCTCAAGGACGACGGAGTCTAGGGGCCGCTTTCGCTTAGCATCTCCAAAGGGCTGCCACATGGTACCCATGGAGTTGTATATGACAGTCTTGCCTTCCTGTGACTGCTGGTATATTTGGTGTGCCTCGGCGAAGATGTCTTCGAAGATATCGCGATGCGAGTAGAGGGTCGTAAGGTTAATCGTCTCGAAGGGTACGCCATCTTTGACGTTCAGACTATTGCGCTCTCGCTGCCTGTCCACGAGGATGAAAGCGTTCTTGTAGCGCAGAAAGTGCTTGCCCGGACCTGGCACGAAGGAGAAGTGGGCAGCGTGCGAGGGCCCATCTTGCGGCGTGTACGTCTGAACTTGGAGGTGGTGCATGCGCGGATCAATGCGATTGAGCACTCTGGAGAGGACACCGTTCTGGACCAGTGGTCTGGCACCGGCTTGCTGTGCCCTGTGGTAGTTGGTCATCCATTGGAGGACCCACGGATAGGCGTCGTCATGGCGAGTTATTTCTAGGTCGACCAGCATGCGGCGGCGTACGAAGGCAGCGCCATGTTGGAGACCCTTTTGGCCAGTCCGTGCCGCAACCCCAAGCGCTGCGAGACCGAAGCCCTATGGCATCAGTGAGCACATGTTCCAGAAAGCATGCATCGGCCCCAAGGTGAATCATACGGCGGTGAAGAAAGGGTTGTCGGTGATTTGCGAAAAAGGAGAGCTGAGACCAGGACTGCCACCGCCGGCAGTGATCTGCTTGGCCAGCTGGTGTTGAGGCGTGTTGGGTTCCATGAGCTGCTGAGAGGCGCGCCTGTCCAGAAATTTGATACGCCATGGACGCTAGCGCGGGAACGACGCTGCCGCGCCGCGTCCTATCATGTTGTACGGCAAACAGCCATGAGTGGTACAGCGCTCGCCTGCAACGTGGAGTTTTGATAAGGAGGCATCTTGTCACACCGTTGTGTTCGTTATGCAAACGCCGCAAAAAAGAAAAAAGACGTTGCTGCCGTCATGGTCAAGACGCCTGACGCAGCTGCACGAGCAATCCGGGGTCGCGTCGCGGAAGGCTATCCATGGCGCTTTCCCAGCACTGCGGAGAGGTGGAGCGCCTAGGCGAGCTTGGACCTGGCGCCCCCCGTCACTGATAACTATCACAGCCTGCCCAACTCACAAAATCCTAATCCTGAACCACTCCGCGAAGGCATCTTCGGCTCGGAGCGTTTTGCTCTTCTTCACCCTTGCGCCATGGCCACAGTAACCATAGGCAAATCCTATTTCGAGGCCCTGTTACGAAAGTGAGTGCTCATGCCACTTGAACTATGGTAATGCGCCAGACCGTTTGCTGATGGAATTTGTAGGGCTGAATTCGTCAGTATTGCCCAGGCAGTAGCTGTCCACCCGTTCTTCACAGGACTGACCCTGTTTGACAGCATACATCCACTCAGCCTGTCAGCTACGGCACTGATCTTTCGAATAATGTCACCATCAGCAAAGCAGAACATGAGTACATGGTGCGTGGTCTCCATGTCAAAACCGCCCAGAGTTTCCATTTTGTCTTCCTAGTCTTTCTTGCTCATTCTTATCCTTGCTCTTGTCGTCTGGATGCTAATGATGGACTTGCTCACAGATTCAAGCGATGCGCGAATACCGTATGTACACCACTGCCCTGACTCAACACTACTTGTCTCTAACCGTGGATAGATCTCCTCAAGAGCGCCCTGTTTCGTGGGGGCCTGACGACCGAGACCTTGGAGACATTGTTACAAGGCGAAAACGGCGTTTCGAGTGACGCACCATCAAGCTACGACTACGTGTCGGAGCACACACCTGCCGAATCAAGAGCCACTCCTGTAGCTGCACCTACTTCATTTCACTACCGACCAGAGTCGGATCACACAGCTGTCAGCCACGGTCTCCAGCCTAGACCTTTACAATCGCTCCATCGAATTGTCAGCTATGGCGTATGTGAGTCCTTCACAGGGGACCCACAAGACGACGACGACGACCAGGAGCCAATTTCAGGTCGCCGTGTACCACTCCATGATCAGCGAACTGTACTGATCACCAACCTCTCTGAGCGTACCACACATAAAGACTTGGCTGGAATTGTCCGTGGTGGAAGACTCCTCGACATCTTCCTCCGCAACGACCGATCTGCTACCATCTCGTTCGTTGAAGGAGCCGCGGATTTTCTGGCTTATGCAAAGCGCAACGATATCTACCTGCATATGAAGAGGGTAAGTCATGCGCCATCAGAATAAGATGACGAAAACTAATCATGTCAGCTTGAGTTCCGTTGGAGCGACCGACAGTTCCACGTGCCACCGCATGTGTCCAACAAAATCGCTGGCGGTGCCACACGGAACCTGGTGGTAAGAGGGGTTGCAGGCAAAGTCACCACAGATCAGATCCGTGACCAACTTGATCACATCCACAACCTCATCGTGGTTGACGTATACTTCAGAAACGGCGATGCATACGTCTCGACCAACTCGATTCACAATGCTCTGTTCGCCAGGACATGCATGATGTCGCGTAGCATATACAAAGGCACGCGCATCGAGTACTATCCAGATGAATGCGCTGGACCGTTACCTCAACCCAAGAAGACCCACGTTCCCGTCGCGCGTATGCCTACCAAACCTGCGCCTGTGGTCAACCAGTATGCTATTCTGGACACTGGTTCTGACGATGGATCTGAGTCCGAAGAGGAGTCGTACAGGACCCATGGTGTGCAGGTTGATGGTTACCATTGGGCTGACGCTGTCGTAGCATAAGCGGCTTCTATGGAGGCTCGCTGCCTATTGTAGCCCGGCGTACCCCATGGGGTCGGCGAGGAGCTACAGTGTCTTGATCGGGCCTTCCACTCATACTAAGTTTCTTCGCGTTGCGGCATTTTTCGAACAGACTAAAGTATATCTCTTACATGAGAGGGCGTCGATCGAATTCCGAAGGAATTCTGATCCAGTTGTCAAGAGCGGAGGTAATGCCGATGGGAGTGGTAATACGGATATGTTGTCGAGAAACATGTCATGTCGTATAGCTGGTCGACAATACATTTCTCGACAGGTGTTGGGAGGAGTATGTTTCTTTCCTATATAGATACCCCTCGATTACTTCAAATCATGATCTTCGCTTACAAGGTATGACGATGTCAAGCCGGAGTGCTGTGATCAGCGCTGCTTATCAAGATGTTGAGCACCCTTGACTACATGGGCAGAAAGCTTGTCCTGTTTAGCGAGCACTAGCCCTGCATTGATGTGCATGCGTCAGATGTAACTATGTCATACGTCTGATGAGGCGCACTCCAACGATCCCAACCTCACTGCAGCAATTGTACTAACCTTACGGAGTAGTTTTAACATATTTCATAGTATAAGGCATGGCGCCAACGATTAAAGTGGCTGTTATCCAACTTCACCCGAAGGTATCTCATGCTTACCCCACACTGCATTACATATCTCATCGTCGCTTCCTACACTCGCTACCATCACTCAACAACTCCAGCCATTTACTAATGTTGATTAGCCCTTGCAACCAGAAATTAATTTCAGCAAGGCTGTCGAGTTTGTTCGCTCGGCAGCATCGCAAGGTGCTCAACTCGCCGTCTTGCCAGAGTACCATCTCACGAATTGGAAACCGAATGATCCAGAGTTCCTAGCCGTCGTTGAACAATGTGGAGGTTACCTAGAGAAGTACTGCAAGTTAGCCAAAGAGTGTAACATCTGTAAATCCCACCAACCCCTCATCTCTCCATCGACCAAACTAAGTCGTCTTATCCAGCCATCGTCCCCGGAACGATAGTAGAGTCCCATAAAGAGAACTCTGCCGAAGAAGACAGGCTCCTAAATGTGTGTTATTTCATCTCACCCTCTGGCGAGATAGCAGGAAAATACATCAAGAAAAACCTCTGGGGCCCCGAACGCGACCATCTCACAGGCTCAGGCCACTCTCCCCATGAAGTCTTCGACACGCCTGTGGGAAAAGTCGGTCTGCTGATCTGCTGGGATCTCGCCTTTCCCGAAGCCTTCCGCGAACTCATCGCCCAAGGCGCTCAGATCATCATCATCCCTACATTCTGGACCCTCAACGACTGCAACGCCGCGGGTCTCGCGCGTAATCCTGCTGCTGAGGCACTCTTCCTCGACTCCATGTTGACGGCACGCGCGTTTGAGAATACTTGTGCGGTCGTCTTTGCGAATGCGGGGGGTCCGCCTGGAAAGGGATATGCGGGGCTGAGTCAAGTTACTGTGCCGTTTGTTGGAGCTTTGGGAAAGTTAGGAGGGGCAGGAGAGGGCATGTGTGTTGTCGATTTGGATATGCAAATTCTAGAGGATGCTGAGAGTAACTATCAGGTTAGGTCGGATATTGCGAGGGGGGATTGGCACTACGTGTATAGGCATTCGAAGGAGGGGAAGCTTTGAGAATCAGTGGACTTGGAAATCGTCAGTTCAATGTGAATCTGCAAGCTTCTTCACTGATGTGAGTTGTTTACTCGATGCTTTTGTGTCTGTGAGCTTTGAGCAACTTATGCACATACTTTGGAGTCTGGATGGTTATGGGGATTTTACTAATCCTAATCTGGTAAGTTCCTCTACTGGTGTCAACAAACGTCGTGGAACCAAATTGGATGAAGTGCATTAATTGAAAAGCATTCTGTGCGATCTAGACTAGCATCCAAACGCCTCAGAGATCGCAAGAAGTGGTATAAGACAAAAGCTTCAGAAAGACAACCAGTAAACTCCTACCCACGATAAACACTGGTAGCGATAGGGTGCCTAATCGCGCCCAGCGCGCCAGCCCCTTCCCAAATTGTTCGAACGCCGATCATCTTGGGTTGTAGCGCGATTATTCAGCGCCAATCCATTGACCCGGGTCCCAAATGCAAATACCTCAGCTCTTCACATGGCGCGCGTGGTCTGTGGTCCTTCGCGGCCGCATGTCTGGATCCGTCTCTTGTTTCAACTTCCGCCACTACCACTGGCTTCACTGTCCGACCTCTCGTTCTTGCAGACGTAGCCCATCTCACTTGTAGTGGCGCCGTGTTCATCCGTGCTCCAAGTCTCGCCTACGACAATGACCCTTGTTTTTCCTTTTTGCAGGAACTTCTCCTCGTCTCTTGCCAGAATAGCTGCGTTCTCTTTTGCATATATCTTCTTGTAGAACTCTTGGAAACGACGTTCGCTGTCAAAGGTCATTTCTGCGATGCAGTCACAGTCGAGCTCCATCATTTCGCCCCTTAGCATCAGAGGTGGTCGGTCTGGATTTGCCGGTCCACCGAAACCCTTCCGGCTAATCCGCGCGAGGTAGCGACGTTTGAACTCGATCGGCCAGCACGTCGCGAGGAGAGAATGGGCCAGAGGTATGTGCGTGTGCTCATAGTGGTCTCTGAATTCTTCCGATGTGAGATTGGGGTTGCGGGTGACGAAGAGGACGATGGTGTAGGACATGATGGCGGGTAATAAGCGAGTCACAGCGCGGATATAACGATGAGGCGCTGCGACGAGAGCTGTAGCGTGGATGGTAGAGACAGTAGAGTTTTGACAGCGGCTGTGAATGCAGGTGGCTTCCAGAAGCTCCACGGATAGGGGACGGCGGGCTTTTGTAGTTTATCAGCCACATGCGATGCGAAGACATCATAACATGCACCGAGCGCGCCTAAAGCCTCCGTTATTGATTCACCATGACTGCGCGCATACTAGGGCGAAACTACGGACCCGGCGCCGTTGAATTGCATGGGCTCGCCAGACTTGCTCACGCCATCGCGGTGCACCAAGACTGAGGTGGATGCCGGTGAATCGAATCAGGACGAGTGCACGATAGAGGCCAACCGTGAGGGTTGAGTGGAGTGGATTCTGGCGCGGCGCCCCTCCCTCGGTGTTGATCCCAGTCGCGCCTGCACTTGCGAGTGCTTGGGTGCTATCGATAGCAGACAGACGCTAGCAAGCGCACAGAACGCCAAATTTCGCGGCAAGGCGGGGAGCAGCACCACGACACGACATTCACCCCCCCTAAAGCACCCGTGTGCCGTCGCCCAAACGAATACCCAACATGAGTCTGCGCGAGCGTGTTCCGCCGCAGTACCAGAATGGCGAGGCTGCCAGGCGCGCCCCGGATGACGACTCAGACGTCGAGGAGGAGGCCATGGCGAACGACTACCGGGAGCAGGTCCAATACGACGGCATGGAGGACCTCGACCGCATGCCCTCGATCAACAGCAACCAGGACATCCACGCGCAACTGCAGGCCGCGGCAACCCCCCTCGAATTCCAGGCCACCCTAGAGACCAAGTTTGCGAGTTACGACAGCTACTGCAACCTCTTCCACTACATCCTGAACTCCGAGGGTCCCGTCGACCTGGAAGTGCCAAACGTAAGGAATCTGGGTCAGTAGGCACATGGCAGGGCTAACACTGCGGATAGTACTACTGGGCCTGGGATGTCATCGACGAGTTCATCTACCAGTTCAACAGCTTCTGCAGCTACCGCCAACGGGTCGCCCAGAAGAACGAGAACGAGGAGGAGATTGCGCTCCTGCGCGAGAACCCAAACACATGGGGCTGCTACAGTGTCCTCAACGTCCTGTACTCGCTCATCCAGCGGTCACAGATTAGCGAGCAGCTCGCGGCCATGAAGCGGGGCGAAGACGCGAGTCTGTACGCTGGCGAGTACGGCAACAGGCCGCTTTACAAGATGTTGGGATACTTCTCCATCATCGGTCTGCTCCGCGTGCACTGCCTGCTCGGAGACTTCAGCCTGGCGCTCAAGACGCTCGACGACATTGAGCTTAACAAGAAGGCCATGTTCGCCCGTGTCATGGCCGCACACTTCACCACATACTACTACGTCGGATTCTCGTACATGATGATGCGACGATACTCGGATGCCATCCGCATGTTCAGCCACATCCTCGTCTACGTCTCACGGACAAAGAACTTCCAGAAGAACGCACAGTACGACTCCATCACCAAGAAGAACGACCAGATGTACGCACTTGTCGCCATTTGCGTAGCGTTCCAGCCCACCAGGCTCGATGACACCATTCACACTGCTCTGAGGGAGAAGTACGGCGAGCAGTTTAACAGGCTTCAGCGCGGTGGCCCTGAATCTCTCCCTCTCTTCGAGGAGCTGTTCCGCACCGCCTGCCCCAAGTTCATCAGCCCCACACCCCCCGACTTCGACAACCCAGAGGTCAACATCGACCCCGTGGAGCACCACCTCCGCATCTTCATGGACGAGGTCAAGAACAACATGATGTCGCCCACCGTCAAGAGTTACCTCAAGCTCTACACAACCATGGATCTTAAGAAGCTCGCTGGATTCTTGGAGGTTGAGCCAGAGAAGCTGAGGTGCTGGTTGCTTGTCAACAAGCAGAGGAGCAGGCAAATAAGGTGGGCCGAGGGCGGTCTGCTGGATGGTGATATCATCCAAGCTAGCGATCTCGACTACGCCATGGAGGGCGTAAGTACAAGCATAATCGAAATGAGAGATACATCTGCTAACAGTTACCAGGACCTTATTCACGTTTCAGAGGCAAAGGTCGGCAGGAGGCTTGTCGACTGGTACCTCCGCAACTTGGCCAGGACGTACTAGGCTATCACGAGTGTTTTCTGAGAGCGACTATTCACATTCGGGGCTTAGCCACAATAGAGCATTGCGCTTGGAGTTGGAGGAATATACGGCGTGCATCCAAAAGCGTGTTTGCGACATCTGAAGATACGCTTAGGCAAAGGCAAGGCGATTATAGGGGCCCAGGTCTGGGTTATTCATGGCTGGGGGAGCCTGTCCGCCGTGAGCGAGGAGCGGGCCGAAGGAAGGACAGGATGAGCGAGCGAACAATGGGCTTGCACAATACCAAATAAACTTTTCCGACTTTCAAACACACGTCTTGGAAGCGATTCAAATGTGGATGCGTGAATCCTTGCAACTCCATCTTGTTCATCGTGTGGGGAAGCAAGGGTCTCAAGGCCTTTGCAACAGAGTGGTACATGCTAGCGCAGTGGGTTGGACGGGACGGTACCTGAGCAAGCTTCGCTTCTACTCGACCAACACCATCCAAACACAGTCGGCAAGCAGATTCCGGTTAAAGCGCAAACACGCGTTCGGGGCAAGCACGTCCGACAAGACCATGGCAACCAAGTGAATGTTCTTGCCCCTCTCGGTCGCTCGTGCGCTCCGCTGATGCACTTTCCATCCATGTCCTTGGACAACACCCACCACGCCCAACATCTCCCTTCACCGACTATCACCAGTTACGTTATAAGTAGACGTTAGAAGATAGCACGTCTTTCACCCAGACCACTGCAATGGCTCCCGATCTGAATACCGTGCCTGTATCGCCCCATCCGGGTCCTGCTAACACAAGCAACCCGTCGACCTCACAGCCGGCGTCAGGCTCGCTGTCACGTCGAACATCCGCAACAGTCTCAAGGCGGGCGTCACAGATGGCTATGAGCCCCCCACCGCTGCCTCTTGCATCGCCCGGAGGTACCCTGCCACCGCCCGCACATTCAGCATCACAACATGGACACAGCTTCCCGCCCCTCAGTCCCAGCGCGAGTGGCTACGTCCAGGCGAGCGTCGACTCTGCAGGCGTTCCGATGAGACACCCACGCCCCATGACGCCAGCAGAGATGCATCTCGAGCTCGAAAAGGAACAAGAGGCAGTTGTCAACCGTCTGACGCGTGAGCTCTCGGCTCTACGCGCACATTCTGCTTCTGTAGCCTCCAACACCTCCATGTCAAGCACCGCAGACTCATCCGTCGCCCATGCCGAAGCCTCAACCGGTCCGATGCATCCCACGTCCTCCCGCCGCCACCGCAGTTCCTCGAGCGTCTCCCGTAGCGGTCTGCCACCGGGCTACATCCCACATCGCTACTCCATCTCCTCGCAACCCGCGACCGGCGATCCTAATCAGCGAGATCACCGTAGCTCGAGTGTCGTTAGCACCCCACGCTATGAGGAAGTTGCACAACACAAGGCGGAGTTGGAAGAAGTCAAAAAGGAAAATGAAGCCCTGAAGCAGCGCATTCGTGATCTTGAGCGTCAGATCAGGGGCAACAATGATGCTGATGGACAGAGGGGTAGGAGGGGTGCACCACAATCTCAGAGCAGCGGGGTTGGCAATGCTTCTGATAATACCCAAGTTCCTGCTAATGCAACAGCAGTCCCCGAAGAAAGCAGTCGATAGATTGAGAGTTCCGTAGGTACTGCGAGGCGTATTGATAGCACACGCTATGCTAATGATGCATTTGAGATGAGATGGAAGAACCATCGAGTGTCAGTTACACAAGCCATTGTCGTCATTCTTTCCGAGCAATTGAGTAGGTATGCACAACATACACCTCACTCCAACTCTCCTATCGGTCAGTCCAGCAAGCAGATGAGACAGATGTTACATTGATAATGAAGATAACCATCAAGTCCTTATTCATAATCCTCAAATCTCCTACATTCCTCTTTATCCTATCTGAACACCCTTATCAGATGCTTGCTTCTTCTGCACAAGGCGGATGCTGCAGATCCAGAGCTAACGCCGCTGATCCTCACATATGCGCCTAACGGACCATATCCCAGTGTCGATCCGTTTTCCACGGCAGATCACTTTTGCGGGATTTGAATGACATGTATGTACGACACATCGTGGCGTACTTGACAGGTATGCGTTTAATGCCTCGTGCTGGGATGCCTGAGAGGACGGGATAGGATGGGGTGACATTAGATGCAAGCAAGGTAAACCCCGCGTACGTCATTAGGACGAGGCACGGGTCGAAGGGTGCTACAGACAGCTTGCATTTAACGGGATAAAGGTAGGTATACGTAAGATTGGACAGCTGAGTTGGTTCCAAATAGCCTCTTGTTTGTGATTCTTCTTGTGAGAGACAAAGTGTTGCTATTGATCCTCACTGGCACACATCTTGTTACTATATATTCGATATCGCATACCTTGAATCTCAAATATCATCCAAGTTCTGAAGCAAAATGACATGGCTCGCCAATCTCCGGGATAAAATGAGTAGCAGCACAGAGAAGCGAAGGAATAGCAGACAATTTGACGATACTCCTAGTACGTACACCTACGCATTCTCTCCATACCCTCACTCTTATGCCCTCTTTTTAACATCGTAACCAGCTCTTGCAACGAGTCCGACTACGTCAGCAACTACATCTGATAAGCCAGCACCACCGCCAATCAACCCCTTGCCCCTAACCTCCACTCCCGCGTCTTCAAATCTCACGTCTGCTTCTCCGCTGTCGGAAGTTCAAAAACCTGCCTTGTACCACACACCCACCGACATCATCACCGCGACAGAAAAAGGTATGATAAGTGGTTCCCTCTGCGCCACGATGCCGAGCTCCTCATCTACGGCTTCAAGTCAGAAACATGATTCTGAAGCGAGGGATGTGGCGGCGGATGCAGAGGAAGAAACGGCTCCTGTATTAACGAGGGCTGAAGAGGCGTGTGTTAGAGAGGGGAGGAAGGGTAGTTGGGCCGGTGGAGAGAGGGAAGGGGGCAGGTGTGTCATGTTTAAAGGGGTTGATGTGTAAGTATTGGGGACGGATAAGATGGGATAAGAGGGTACACAGAGACTGAAATGCTCAGAAGTAATATACGATAGAATTGAGAGACTTTTGACAGTCTCAGAGTATGCGAGAGACAGGCTCTCAAGGGAAGACGTGAGCCCATAGTAATCAAAGAGTGCGCAAGGCAATAAGAATACCATGATCACTCTTGTCGCGTGCATCAAACTCTCCTGCTACCCGTCATCTTCCTGTTCTCACTATGACGCTTAGCCTTCAAAGCGTCTCGTCTCCTCTTCTTCCACGCCCTGTTCAAATCTCCCCGGTTCTCCCAGAACCATCTTTTGAACTCGCTCTCAGGCTCTTGCTCGTTTGCGCCGGTAGCCACATCGTCCTCGTCTTCTTCTGCAACGCCGGCTAGCTTGCTGGCATTCGCTCGCGTGTTGTGAGACAATCTTTGTTCAGCAAGTGAGTCTACGTCGTCCATGTCCTCGTCGTCGTCAGCTTCTTGGCTGTTCTTGCGCCAGTCGAAGGAGAAGCGGCGGCCAATGGCAGCAGTGTCTGGGGTAGGTGCTGCACTTCGGAGACCTCTCCACTCGATGTCTCTTTGCGTAAAGGGCGTGGTAGGAGCTCCCTCAGTGGGCTCGCCGTCGGCTTCCATGATGTCCTCGTTGTTGTCGAAGAAGCTGAAGGATGTGTCAATCGGAGTGAGCTTCTTGGTGGGGGTTGACGTCGCGCCATCAGCGGGCTTTGCACGCTTGAACAGTGCTTCAAGCGGGTGGACTTCTTTCTCTGATGTCGTGGTAGGCTGAGCCTCTTCGGGGGCTTTCTTGCTCTTAGCGACTGGGGCTGGAGAAGATGCAGATGATTTGGGCTCTGATTCCTCCTCTTCCTCTTCCTCTTCCTCTGAATCAGAGTCGGAAGAGTCCTCATCTTCCGAAGAAGACGAAACCACTGATGATTCATCGTCTTCAGATTCCGATGATGACGGGGGAGGAGTAGCTTTCTTCTTCTTCTGGTCCTTGGATGTAGACGAAGATTTTGCTGTACCATCAATCCAGGCTCTTTGAGCTTCTGAAGGTGCATCTACCAACTCCAGAGCCCTCCTAGCCTTGGCCTTTCCAGTCTCAGGCTCGACAACAACACCGTCCTCATCTACCCACCCCTGTCCATTGACATAGTCGACTGCAGGCTTCGTCGATAGCGCCACCTGTGGTTGTTTCAAGAAGCTGGGAGTCTTGATGTTCTTCTCAAACTCATGGATTACCACGTCTCGGTTGGACTTGTTCTTTTCCTTCTTCTCTTTCTTTCCTTTCTTCTCGTCCTTGTGCGCAACCTCTGTCGCGGCAACAGGCGTCAGCTTCGCCTTGAAGAGCACCTCAGGCTCTTTAGTGTACTTGGAGTGCTTGCGTTCCTTCTTCGCTTCCTTTCTGGCCTCCTTGTCGCTTTTGTCCTTTTTATCCTTCCGGTCTTTCTTGTTCTTGGGCGCTGGTTCGGTCCATCCACGCTTGACCTTCCTGTCCTCTGGTAGCTCAACGCCGTCCAGTACGCCCTGCTCCTTCCCCTTCTTCTTGTCCTTCTTTTCTTTTTTCTCCTTCTTCTCCTTCTTGTCCTTCTTCGCGCGTTTGGACGGTCGTTCGGCGTCCGAGACGTCTTCGACAGCGTCGCCCACCAAAGATTTGCGCTTCTCAGGTTTCGCCATTTCTATGCGCACTTTGGAGCCTCTCAAGGTTGTGCCGTTCAGCTTCTTCTTGATCTTTTGAGCTTCGGTCTCGGGTAGCTCTACGTAGCCGAAGCCTTTTTCGGGAAATGTCGCGACGGTATGGTATGAGATGTTTTGCGCAGAGGGAAGGACAGACGGCGCGATGTAGACCTTGAGCAGATCGGGGCGAAAAGGCGTAATGTGCAGGCGAACGATCTTGCTTTCGGGTTGCGCTTCGGGAGAATTAGCCGCTTGTGCTGCTGGCATTGGGTCGCAAGTTTTGCGCGCGTGCGACAGATGTAGATGACCGCGCGCAAAGGCTTCAGGGGACCTCAATCAAAGAAGATATGCTACAAGCTTGACCGGCGCTTGTAAGCGTCGTGTTGGAGTGTCGGGGCCGGAGGGGAAAGGAAAATGCTTAGCGCGAGCAAGGGACCCAGCTCTCTGGTGTTAGCGCGAATGCGGGCGGAGGTTTGGAGCTCCACTCGTCTATTGATCCATTGGATACTCATCGCGACTGCACTGGGATAAAGGTCTAGAAGCAGGACATATAGACATCCCTTCGACAATTTGATTGCTTCATCATCTACACGAACCTCTACGTCTTTTGCCGTTGATCACCATCGACCCACGATGCGGAAACCACCATACCTCCTCTTCCTTCTCCTAACATTCCTCTCGTCCCTCTCCTTATCCCTCGCAGCCAGTATGTCTCGCCTCTCCCCATGCTCAGAAACTCGCTGATATGGTGTAGCACCCACATCGTTTTGCAAATGTACCTGCTTTGGCAACAGCACCATTGTAGCGCTCGATGCGCCGTCCACCACCAAGAAACCCGCCGCCCTTGAATTAAAACCCCGCGCCTCCAAGAAAACATGCAACGACTGCAACCGCCAGTTCTGCCTCGGCTACGGCTTCTGCGCTGGAGAGAAAGAGGAGAACGTGCTCACAACATGCTTCCAGCGGGATTCTGCGAAAGACCAGGCAGTGGTCTTTGTATTTATCGGGGCGACAGTGGGGCTCTTGGGGTGGGCAGCTTTACGGCCTTGGGTCGAGGGATGGAGAGAGGTACGTGCATGTGAGCGAGACCGGGTAGATGGTAGACTGACTGAAGGCAGCGTGCACGGGAACGACGAAGTTATATCCCAGTGGCTGGTCAAGGAAACCAGTGAGCGATGCGCTTGGTTTGTCAGGCTGAGAAGCATTCAACTTCGATATGGATTGAACGTGCAATATAGACATGAAGCTGAGATGCCCAAGACAATCGTGGACTCCTTCATGACTCTGAAGAACTCCATCATGCAAACATCTAATGTGACAGCAATGTACAAGCTGAGGTCGTATATGGTACACCGAAGCGTCTGGCTTCGCGCTCCGCCGGATTCCTCCCCTATTCTTTCTTACATCTACTCCTTCTTGGATCCGCCCTTCATCCATCCAAACCATCCCTTGCCGGTTTCCTCGACCTTGTGTACTGCCTTCTCTGCTGCGTTGTCCAGAGGGCCTCCGACTACTGGTGTTGATGACGTCGAGGCTGTGAATGTGGATGTGGTGTCGTGTGCCCTGGCCTCTTGCACTGCAGCAGCAATGCCCAGGTTTGTGTTTCCTTGCGCTTCCTGGCGCTTAATCTCCTCTACAGCGAGTCTCCTCTGCTCTGCGATTGCCTGCTCCTCCTTCCAGTCACCGTGCAGCCACCACAGCAGCTTTGAAGGGGCCTTTCGCTCCGCCTTCTTCCTCTCAAACGCTTCTTGCTCCTCGGCGATACCTGTGACGAGTGCGGATTGTGCGGGTGTGGCGGTCCCTGATGCGACCGCAGAACGGGCAAGTTCGAGGATCTTGGCCTGGGCTTGTTCTTCTTGGGCGAAGTAAATTGCTCGTTTCCGTCGATTGTAGACGATCATGTCACCTATTGAGAATACTGCGAGGACACCAACGCAACCTGTTTAGACAATTAGCATATCTGCTATGCTGTAACCAGTGTAGCCATTGGCCCGCCATATGCCCACATACCCGTTGCAAATATTAAGCCGTAGACGGTAAATCTATGCGCCGCATCCGCCGCCATTCTGCCGTACAGATACATATAATCCCACCTCGTGACCTGTGCCATCTTCGCCCTGTTCGCAGCCTCTCTTAACCGCTTGACTTTCTGCTGTGGCGTTTCATTTTTCGGTGCGGGATCTGCGAATTGCAGCGTTGTTGCCCGCCCGCCAGGTCTTGTGTGCGCCCACACTCCGGTGGCTGTGAATCGCGTTGAATCCTTTGGTGACTTCGACATGATGCGTGGGAGAAGCACTCGAGAATCAAGTGTTGTGGTTGTGAAGGGAGGATGTCGTGAAGATTGCGGAGCGGGATATCGAATGATTCGACGATTTCCAAAAGTTGAGATGGACTAGGGTTCGATGCGGAGATTTCCGCCCATCTACCCGCTAACGTCCATCGTCAGCCGTACCAAGCTAAAGTGCTAATTGCATCTATCTCATGCATGCATCAGACGGTCGCTGATGCATTCATTCTCAGATTGCGGGAAGAGACAGCATGCGTAGCGCAGTCCGACGATTGCTTCTTCCCTTACATTCTCATTGATCTAAGCGCAAACAGCACGCGCCATGTGCCGTCATTCACGCGTCCAGCTAACATCAGACTACCACCACTCTGACATTTCTTATTTCCCCTGATACCATCAGTTGGAGGAGTCAGACTGCCATCACAATCATGGCGGATAATATCGGCCAGAACCTCGATCTCGAAAAGATCTTGGCTACACTCGCAAACCTTCCAAAACCAGAGGCTCAGCAATACCAAGATCAGCAACAGCCATACGAGCCCAACCAGAGTCACCAGGGATATCAAGACGCTCAGCAAATTTACTCCTCTGGACAAAGCAACACATATCAGCAATCTGCTGATCCACGACTGGCTGGTCGTTCGGCTCTACAACATCGACAGCCGCCTCCCAAGCCACAGGACAGAGTCTCCTCCCCTTTCATCGATCCTTCAACAATCACGGAATGGAAGCAAGGCCTGCGTTGTGTGAGCAAGATAGCTTCTCAGAATCCCGACTTTGCTCCTGCCGTCCGTAAGGTAGGCTATACACCCGTATAAATCAACATACAATGCTTACGTAGAAGTTAGTTGATGAAAGACCAAGAGTCAAACGTCAAGTCTTGGGAGTCCGGGCGCAAGAATCTCATTGATGAGCACAAGTTCAAGCGGGAGAATGAGCGAACTAATCGAGCTGCGTTGTAGGTAGTCTGACCTTGTTCCCGTGATGCTAGACTGACGTTCGTAGGTCTTTGCCAGGTCTTCTGGAAAACACACCTTTACTTCGCGTATTTCTCACTATCTTCTTCCCCATGCAATGATGCTGACGACACGTAGACACCAGAACGCGAAAGAGAAGAACTTGATCAATACGACGCCAAAGTATACCGAGCGTGTAAAGCCATGGTAGACTCACAAACCTCGTCACTCAAGGTCTTGGGCGTTCCCTTTTTTGGTGTGAAGCCATATTTGGTAGTTGGCTCCAGCTACGATCCAACTGAAGTCACGGATCCGCAGTCAGCTCCAGTTAGTGGTAAAATCTCAAAAGAGCAGCTGCTAGAATTACAACGGAAAATGCTGAACCACTTGATGGAGCTATATGGAGATTGAATGTGAGTAGTCTTGGCGATGTTGGAAACATTGTTGGATGAAGACCAATGCTACTTTGTACGTATTAGCGGTAGGTCATCGGTTCTGGCCCGCTCAGGCGAGCATGACGAACGTTTCCCACAAGATTATGCTGATACAGCATCAGTATTCGAGAGCATCTCTGCTGTTACTATCTTGGCCTCAGTGTCCGATCAGAATAGACTTTCGCTCCTTCATCACATTTGATGTTAAGATTGAGTTCTCATCCTCGTCTTTGGGTCGGGCAGTTTCTTTACATTAACCTTTCTTCGCTAGTCACCTTCAAGTACTGTTTGGACATACTATCGGATTGCAGTAATGATGTCAGTTGCGCGTTGTCCTCCGTCCAGCATACAAGAGTGTGGGGGTCACCACACTGAGCACGATTCACGTAAGTGCAAACGCACACGAATCTCCCATTCACCTCCAGGTAATATCCTCGACGCCATTGGTCCCCACCGTGGGAAATAAAGCTAGTCTCTGTTGACCGCGACCAAAGCACGTGCAGCTCAATCTGTTATCATAACATTCCCTTTCGTATTTCCTTCTACAACTTTCTCACCTCACTACACTCATTGAAATCTCTCATCGTTCCCACACTCTTTTGCTGCTCACACTCGTTATCTCACTTCTACCCGCTACACCCTCAGTCGCTCCCTCGATCACAACCATATCTATTCAGCAAGATGCATAGTATGCGTGCACTCGCCCTTGTCGCAGTTGCTGGTAAGCATACTCCAGTCCACATACTTAAGCGATTTTGCGTCCCAGCTGACTGACACTCAGCAGGTGCTGCCGCCGAAGCAAGTCAACAGGGTCACATCATGGAGCACATTCACGCTCCGGCTATGATTCCTCGCGACCACTGTACTGATCTTCCGAAGCTCTGCACAGATCCGGTGCTCTTGCGCGGTCATGAGATCACTCTGACCTATCTATGTCCCGAGACCGAAGGCCCATCCACTGTCACCGCCACCACAACGCGTACTATCACCGTGACAGTAGGCCTGACCTCTAGCGTTCCTGTTGTGGCTACCTCGGACAGTCAGACGCCTGTGATAGAAGAGCCCACCACGACTGAGACGGTCAAGTCAACAACTCAGGTCACTGTCACCAAGTTTGTCACTAGAGTCACCGCTAGCACTACTTCGTCGCCTCTTTCTCCACCTACCATCACCTGGTCCTTCACGGCTATTCCTCCTGGCGTTGGCTCCACACCAGTGTCTTCTGTCAAGGCTCCTACATCTGGCGCCAGCAGCTCTTTCGAGTTGTCCCCTAGCCATGTAATTAACAGCTCGTCTTCCGTTGCCTCTACATCCTCGAAACCTACATCTAGCGCCAGTGGCTCTCTCGAGCATTTCCCTACTTATGTCATCGTCAACTCGTCTTCGATCGCTTCAACATCCTCGGTGGCTACTTTACCTTCCCTCGGTATCCATAGGCCGATCTACTGGAACCACACGGCTGTTCACCACACTGGCGTTCATCACATTATCGATCACCCTACTCTGAACGTAGTAAGGGATGCCGAGGCCAAGTCCACCGAGACTGTCACTACTACCGCTGCGATCGCGACTGAGAGTAAAAAGGGTCAGGCAGGAGATACCCAGGCCTCATTCATTGCGCTATTCTTCGGTGTGTTGGCTGCCACCCTACTTATCTAGGAAAGCATGGATGGCTACTCCTGTTGGATACCTGTATGGTGCTGTCATGAAAGGGAGGTCTGGACAGCATGTACGATGATGTTACGACGAGACATGTGGAATGTTTTCACGAGATTCATGAAATGTATTTTAGCATGATGTCGAGATGGTCTTATGAGGCGGACAGAGATATCCCACCCAACGAATACATAATTGTATGTGAATCGCTTGGGCTCTTGAATGACATGTGCTATAGGTTGGTAATTTGAGGATACTGGATCTACAAGGCGTAAGATTGGTCCAGAGTATTTGAGGATCTATTCGAAGAATATGGCCCATCAATGGTAAAGTAGAGCACACACCTGTGGTCGTGATTTAGCTCTTTTCGTGCGATGCAACTTCGAACCGTGGAAAACCTTGCTTCAACGCCGGAGTACGTCCTCTGACTGATTGCAGCTGCATGTTGATGGTAGAATCCAGAAGACGATGTGCTTCGGATTTCAACTCTTTTAGCTCTTCCAAGGTCTTAACAAAGTCTATTCTTTCCTGCTCGAAGCTTCGAGATAAAACCTGCGCGCTCCTCAGCGATGAATTCCATGGCCACAAGTGCTGTGGAATGATGGCGAGTTGGAAGACATGATGGTTCGAGGACCTGGGGGTCGTGCGCGTACCTAGGTAGCTTCGTGACCCAATGGCTGGCCAGACGCGCGACCGCGACGAACAGCCTCAGGCTAGCCTTCAAGACCACCTGCAGTCAGGCAAGCGGCATCTCCAACCACAGCTCACAAGATCACCACAACCACGGTCGGCTCCAATTGTCGCACCTCCCTATCAAACACCAACGCGCGCAACAAAGCCATCCCGCCGACACGACGAGATCGACCGCCTCTGGAAATAATAGACCGCCTTTCCCGATAACGACAACATTCTGGAATAAGAAAGTCTCCAACACTCACCCGCCGCGCGCATTGCTGCAACACTGCGAAGAACGCTACAACTCGACGTTTCTCTCACGCGGCAAGCGTCAAGTCATTGACTCGCTTCTTGGATCGCGGTTGTCGCAAGCTTGCATTGGAAGGCACGACTGGCCGTTGGCAGATAACTCGGCAACATGGTTGGAAAAAAGTCGGGCAGAGCCCAGTTGAGAGAGGAGGGTAGGGCACCTGCACGCCACAACACCGTATGGCAACTAACAAGCTTGCAGGTCTGGAGCGGACAGACAACAATATGGACCTCACGACGTGGCCCCAGGTCGGCATGATCAACCAGAAGAACTACTACACCGAGTTCCTGAAGCGCGACGAACAATTCCTCGCCGTACGATATCCAAAGGACGAGGAGAGGGCGCGCATAGTGCAGGAGGCCAGGGACAAGGATCGCGCACGAGCATTGGGGGTACCGGCAACAGAAGGAGCCACGCCACAGGTTGCAGATGAGACCATGGAAGACGCTGAGGTCTCATTCGCCTCTAGGACAGATATCTCCAAGCTCATCGTGATTCACCCTGGCAGCCAGAACTTGAGGATAGGTCTTGGATCTGATGCGCTACCGAAGACCGTGCCTATGGTCATCGCACGAAAATGGAAAGAGAGCGAAGACGAAGAAGATGAGGGGGAGCCTAGTCCCAAGCGGATGAAGGTCGAAGGCGAATTGCCCGCGGACGCCCTGCCTGAGAAGTGGTTTGGAGAGGATGTGCGTACTCTAACACAGCATTCCCAGTCAATGCTAACTTGCGACCAGTTTGCCGACCAGTACATGGCCATGTCATCCGAACTGAGAACGCGAATGCGATCGAACAAGCGACGAGTGCTACCCAACTCGAAAGATCTCGTAACGAACTTCAACCGAAAATCCCCTCCCGACATCATCTCAGAACACAATGACATCAATCGCATCGAGTGGACAGAACTACCGGCAGACCCAAAGAAGGCCCCCGACTTCTTTACCGGGCATGACGCCCTGCGGATACCGGAAAGATCCAACCCACGATACAAGCTGTTCTGGCCGATCCGGAATGGCACGTTCAACGAGAAAGATTATCGAGACCGCAACCAGATCTACCACGACATCTCAAAGATATTAGAAGAGGCGTTCCGGAATCAACTTGGGATCACCAGGTTAAAGGATCTTGTTAACTACAAGTGCGTCTTCATCATACCCGATCTCTACGAGCGACAGTACGTTACTATGATACTCGACATTCTCATGCGGGATCTTGGCCTTGGAAAGGTTTGCCTGCAGCAGGAGTCGCTTTCGGCTACCTTTGGTGCTGGCTACGGTGTTGCCTGTGTTGTTGATATTGGTGCTCAGAAGACGTCTATTTGCTGCGTCGACGAAGGGCTGTGTGCCGAAGAGTCACGCGTTAACTTGAAGATGGGTGGAGCTGACGTGACGGAGACTTTCATCAAGATGATGCTGTATGGTCATTTCCCATATTCGGACATGAACCTGAAGCGTAGATACGACTTCCTCCTTGCGGAAGAGCTGAAACAGAAGTTCTGCTCCATGGATGAAGGCTCAGTCACGGTACAAACGTGGGACTTTCATCTTCGAGCTTCGGGTCAGGATACCCGGAAGTACACGTTCAAGACGTACGATGAGACTATGCTATCTGTCATGGTAAGTCACTACATGTTCCTAAACTACAGGCTTTGCTAACAGACACAGGGTTTCTTCAAGCCTTCGATCTTCGAGAATGCACGGAAACTCGAGAACAGAAGGAAGGTTGTGCCGCGCTCGGTCGATCTGTATGATGGCTCACCAAACGATCCCATTTCACAAGCACAGATTGCCATCATCGAAGCCGCGGCGGGTAAACCTGTCGTAGCCACCATAAATGGCGCACAAGATCCTGTCAACAGCACTGCACCGGTCTCTACGCCCCAACGCCCGCAACCAAACCCTTTCAACCTTCTTGGTCGCCTCAACGACAACGAGGGTACACCTCGATCATCCGTAGCGGGCTCACCTGGCCCGGAAGGAAGTAACACCCCAAACCCGGATCGCGACACTCCGATGGGCGACACTGATGGCGCACCCCTCCTCTTCCGCGATCCGATCCACGAGAAGACCAAACTAGCCGAGGCCCGCGATGCCATCCTCCCCATCCACTCTCTCGACCAAGCCATCCTCGAGTCCCTTGCGCAAGGTGCTCGTGGCGACGACCGTAAGCTCCGCGACTTCTTCGGTGGTATCATGCTCGTAGGTGGCGCCTCCAAGACACCCGGCCTAAGGGAGTTCCTGGAGATGCGACTTAGAGAACTCCGACCAGGATATGGAAAAGAGATTCTCGTTGGACCGCCACCTAGAGACTTTGACCCACAGGTTGTGGCTTGGAAGGGCGGTAGTGTGTTTGGAAGATTGAGTGGACATGGTAACGACGGATGGATTAGCCGGTATGAGTATGACATGTTGGGTGCGAGGTTGTTGAACAACAAGTGCATGTTTGCTTGGTAGGACGGAACAAGCAGACCATGAGACGTTGGATTGAGGAGGCAGAGATTGACTGATTGACATGCAGAAAAGATGTTTTACTGGTTAGTATCGACAGTGCGGTGTTGTGAGATATTGAGAATAGCCATCCGGTCAGAGATCGAATTCCATGGCGATGGGAGAGAATCTGATAACTCATTCAAATACCAGCCTTTTCTAAAGCGCCCTTCTGGTTCCGTTCGCCCATCTCTGTGGACCTTGATTACTGTAGTGGTCAGTCTGTAGATTGGGCACAGCTGGTAAGTTGAAAACTCTTGCGTGCAGATTGTATTATACTACATACACTAATGACATAACGGGCTGGAATCCCAATAACTCACGTTCAGATCCCTATGTCTTACTCCATCCACCCTCACAGTGTGGTATCACAGCTGGAGCTCCGACCTGCTTCCATCTTTCACACGTCGTCGGGCTCCACGTACATGCGCAAACCACTGGCTTATAGAGAAACCTTGGCGGACTCACAGACCTTCTTGTGGATCTTCCAGTGCTTCTTCTGGCACGAAGTTGAGCAGTACTTGCGGTTCTTGCACTTGCCACATGCGAGCAGGGCCTCGCCTTTCGGTCTAGATGCTACACCACAGCCACCACACTCATTTGGCTTATTCAACTGCGAGCGAAGTTCCTTGATGACTAGCGAGGTTGATGTGGTGGTCATGCCTAGAATTTCGTCCACGAAGTCAGTATATGCCTCACATGCAGCTTGTCTAAGGAGACCACTTACCGGTGTTGAAGAAACCGCCAGGACCAGGCACATTCATAAGCATGAAACCTCGTCCGTTGTCCTCGGGCTCCTTTGCGGGTTTAGAGTTTGCCTCCTCAAGGATGGTCTTGGACTTGAAGTCATACGGCTCTCCGTTCTTGTAGCCACCTGGACCAAAGAGAGCTTTCTTCATTTGCCGCTGTCCGTCGGGCATGACTCCACCTTCAGTGTAGACCTTCTTGAGCATCGCCAGGTAAGTGGCAGGAAGTTGGCATCCGAGCGTCATAGCGCAAGCACCGAGCAGGATGTACTCGTAGCAAGGATCTGTCGACCAGTCTCCGAACAACTTTTCCTTTAATCCAGTGGTGCGAGGGGTCAGCATCTTCGTCTCCTTCTTGGCGATCATGTCAACGAGGATACCGGGGTCAAGGTGCCTGCGGACCAACTCAGGATCTGAACAAAGGTTGGCGTAGATGCTGTAGAAGATATCGCGCTCTATATCTTCATCACTCTTTCCTGCGGCTTTGGCACTGACCCGGGCGTCTTTTTCGAGTTTGGTGAGTCCTGCTTCGTGGCTTAGATCGCTGACCATGTCGAAGTCGTGGTCCGACTGGAACAGGCCTGGCGTTACGTTAGTAGATGAGATTAGTTTGCTGTCACAAGCTCAACACTCACAGTATCCCCAAGCACCCATCTTGAACTTTCGGTACGTATGGACTCTGGTACAGTGGAGTAGAAGTAAGTGATTGGCGAAAGCAGTGACGACACACTACCGTGGATAGCTGTTGTCCGACGTAATCGTTGCTTGCAAGTCACTGAGCGATCAAAGTAAAGGTGAGTGAACGCGGTGAATGAGTTGAGGAGAAAACACGTCTCGTGAGGATCTGGGCTGCCTTCGCTGTCAGGGAAAGAGCAGTGACGCGTGGTCCCGTGATCTGGATACCTGCACTTTCCTCGCTCACACACGCCACATCTCGGTCTATCTACTGAGCGGTCGTAATCCGTCCACAGCGGCGTTGTTTGTCGTCCCGCGTGCTGTGAGGCTCGGCCTGGCCTTGATGAACTCCATCGACGGAGTGAAGTGGCCTTGGCCTGCAACGCTCTTTAGTCTGGAGACGGACTGCGAGAAGGAAGTACCAAGAGGCAAGCTGTTTGTGTCCTTTGCACGATCCTCCTTTTCATCAGCGCTGTTATCAAATGCGATACACACTTTTTGTCCCTGGCCGTACGTTATGATACGTAAACCTTCAAATTTTCTTAGAAGAGATTTAAGTGGTCTTATGGGTATGGCATGTAGTATGCACCGCTTTCTATTCCGACTTAGTCAGCCTCTATTATTGAGAGTTTACTACCATTCGGGCATATTATGGGTATATCCTTTACCCCGCACGCCCCACAAGAAGCGGTGTAACAAGATAGCATATAAGTAGAGGTAAGCATCGAGCGAGTTAACCAAGGAAAAGTTGCTGTGGTCTTGCAAAAACACATTCATCACAACACAGTCATGGCGTCTTCCAACGAGAATTATCCACCAGGGCCATACGAGGCGGACAAACACATAACACCTCCACCTAGGCCAATTTCCCCGTCAACCGCAGAATACCAACTCAACCATATGATGATACGTATCAAGGATCCAGAGAAGAGCATGAAGTTCTACTGTGACTGTTTGGGCATGCATGTCATCTTCATCTTCAACGCCGGGCCGTTCACGATCTACTATCTCGGACCACGAGACGTTGGTACATACATCCATGATCTATTTACCTATGATGAAACACTAAAACACTTATAGGTATGGCTAATCTTCGAACGTCAAAGGGCTTACTGGAATTATATCATATTCCCGCAGACTCGTCTACGCCTTATACTTCTGGCAATGACTACCCTGGTCCTGGAATTGGGCTTGGTCACCTTGGGTTTACAGTTCCTGATGTCGCTGAAGCAGTGGAAAGGGTTAAGAGCCACGGGTTCGAGGTCATCAAACCGTTGGATGAGGCGAAGGAAGAGCAGATGGGTATACCGGCAGATGCTGTTGCCGGAAAGCATGGAAAAGTGCCAGATGGGTACAAGCATCTCTTTAAACAATTGGCTTTTGTGAAGGATCCTGATGTAAGTGACAGTTTATTGGCAAGAGTAAGTGGAAGAAGCAATATGCTAATAACCAGTGTTTAGGGCTACTGGGTTGAATTCATACCACCAGCTTTCAGAGCCGAGTAGCTAATGAAAGCAGTTCAAGGTTGCGTGAGACTTCAATTGTAGAACGGTTGAAATATTTGTTGCACCTAGCTTCTATATGACTGATCTCTCTTCTCTATTTTCCTTACTGGCAAGCTCTCAACCCAGCTCAACGACTTTATCATCTTTCCACTGACATTATGGCACCTCAACCTCAGCCGAACACAGAAACTTCTGTCCGAGCCCCAAAGCGAGACATCGACGGGTAAATTGCCTCTGATATCCTTTCTGTCTGCATCATTACTGACAAAAACCTAGTTTCATCAAGTCTCCCCTGGTCAAAGTGTTGATCGGACCAGATACCGACCGCTCAGAACTGCATATTCACCTGTCGATCATAGCAGCACGATCTGAGTTCTTTGCAAGCGCTCTAAATGGCCGATGGAATAACTTTGATACCAAAATTGTTGACCTCTACAAGGCTGCTCCAGATCTTGTCCTGGAAGACGTCGCACACTATTTGGAAGCTGTTTACACGAACCAGATCGACGACGAGAACCATTCGAAGCGTTTCGATGATATTTGTAAGGTGTACGTAGTAGCTGAGCGGTTACATGATGTACAGACACGTAACCTAGCTGTTGAAGCACTGTATAACCGGATGCAACGGCTTGATCCTACTACCACGGTCCCCGGTCCAAAATGTCTTGACATTATTTATGAAGGCACAGCTTCAGCTAAGGATCTGATGCGAAAGCTGATAGTCGACACATGGTGTACTTGGGGTGTTGATCGACTTGAAGATTTTCTTGAGGATTTTCTGGATACTGCTCCTCGACAGTTTTTGGTTGAGCTTGCGGCGGCTGCGGTTAGGAAGCTGGTTGAGGACAGCGAGGATCAAGAGTTGATTCTTGATGTGAAGGCTTATCTTGAGGACTAAGCTCTCAGAGTGGTAGACCAGCTTCTCTAGGGTTTGAGAAGAATGCATGTCGTCATAGATGAATAAGACACGTCAAAAAGCAAAGTCTGAGCCATTGTTCTTAACACCTCCATGACAGACAAAGAAAAAATCACCAGCACTTCGCTACAAGCGTTTCCAAGGCTCCTAGCAGAGGACAGTATAACCACCATCATAACGGTTTAGGATGAGGCTACAACCTCGAAAGCGTTAAACCAGCGGCGCCGGACGGAGCGTTGGACGATGCGCTAGGACAGGTACCCGTTCGCTAGCTCGAACAAGACCCTGCATTCCACCTCCCGCAACGTCTCAGATGGTGCAACCAGATATAGGTATGGAATTGGACTTTGAGCATTTATATTCTTTATTCATGTACGCAGCCAGTACAGGGCGCGACTCACGAGACATAGCGTCAACGTGCAGCTGACATCTAGGATCCGGTTTTCCGTTAGCGAGACGATCGTTGCAAGGATGCCATCCAGAGTTTCAGATCCGGGGTCAGTGGAGGTCACTCCCTGGAGCCTGACTCCCTGAGGATATCGCCCAACATGCTGTACGTTTCATCAGATCCTTACAGTCGCTCTTTAACATCTGTAGCCCAAACACTGACTTGAAAGAGCAATGGGCTATCCCCGCGAACGTTATCGCGTGTGCGATGCGAGTAGACGGCAAAGAAAGGGGTTGGTGGTGGCAGCGGCGCAATATGACGTGCCCCAAGACAAAATTCCAGGCTTGTGAAGCCAATCTTTAGCCGCCAACCTGCATTCGGCCACCGTCGTTTCCAAGTCATAAAGCCATGTTTACCTGGAATTGCCCTGGGGGTTGCGTTTCCCATCTTCGATTTGGTGGTAGCTATGGATAAGCTGAAGTCCAAGACGCGTTCGGCGCGCAACAGACTCGCCGAAGCGACATCGTCGGGCTCAGGTACGGGCGAGCTGCATGTTCCACACCAATCTCTGCCACCCCACGAGAACTCCAGTACCCATGCTGTCAACGAAGGCTTCCAGAGCGCCGAGCCTGGGACCAATGCGCAGGACTTCGGAACACCAGCAGGCGAGCCAACACGACAACCTGTCATCGAACCGCCTACCTCGCTAGAGTCATCCATTGACGCTGGTCAACATGTTCCCAAGCCTACGAGGGCGAGCGATCCCTCATCGCATGTTACGTACAGGTAGGCTCTACGCACAAGGACGAGGGGAAGGAGCGATGCTGACCCGTATCCAGTACTCTTGCTGCACAACGAGCAAGAAGCAGCTCTGCGCCAACTAGACCCCAGCAATACCCACGACGACCTCAAGCCTACCGTCAAGCCAGTATTGGTATTCGGCGTATACCCTCCTCTAACGCCCTGAGACAAGCAGCACAGAACCCCAATGCCGCCTCAACAATAAGATCAAGTACGCCTCTGCCTGCACTGGACGAAGAACAAGAGCTGGGACAGTTCTCCTCTTCCAACGGGAGTCAGTCGACCCTCACGAACCCTGAGCCAGATCGAAGTCGACTGCGGAAGGTCAAGAGCGCAATACAGACCAGGATACCCTTCTGGGGCAACAAGGAGGAGGAGAAGTCACCGACAACCAGTGCCCATGCTGCTGCACCGGCAGACGATATGTCGTCCAACTACACCTCTGGCATGGTCGACGTCCTGGATACCATCGATCCTGAGGTTGCGACGCTTACTTCTTTGACAAACATGCAGAATTCGCTTTTCATTCCCAATCTACCCTGGCTCAACCGTCGGCCGACGTACAACCTACGTCGACGGAAGAGCGAGACTGAGAGTCTAGAAGAGATCAACCGCATCCTAGGGCCGGCCCGTGCTGCTCAGGCACAGGAGCAAGCGGCTCCAAGACTTCAGCGTTCGCCAACTGAAGCTACTACGACGACTATGATGACGATAGACTCGCAGCTCACTGAGTCTCGCTTCGCTGTGCTTCCCGAAGAGGCTGACTTGTCTGGCTGGAGTGTCGAGGACAAGAAGGAGGTCAACGACCATGTCCGACATATGCTTCACTCAAGACGATCCAAGATGAAGCGCTCGCTGAAAGGGTTCGGACAGTATGTCAGGCGACGTATGTATTTCTGTCATCATTCTCACAGGCCATTACTGACAGATCACAGCTCTCGGCTTCCTTGTCACTCTCTACGCGACCCTCATCACACTGTTTGGTCTGGCCTGGGTGCTTTTCCTCATCGGCTGGGTCAATGTTGGGGGCCAACAAATCTACGTAGTGCACGTCATTGACAGTGTCCTTGTTGCCCTTTTCGCTGTTGTGGGGGATGGTCTCGCACCTTTCCGTGCCGTAGACACCTACCACATGATTTACATCGCTCACTACCACCACTTCACCTGGTCACGCCGTAAGAAGGAGATGCTTCCCGAACTTACCGACCATAATGACCTTCCTGCCGAACACGCTCCTGTGTCTGGACCCCGTGTCGTAGACCCAGCAGATCCTGAGAAGCAGTGGGAATTCACCGTTTTGACGCCCAAGCAACAGGAGAAATTGGAACACCACCAAGAGAAGTTCTGCAAATCTCACTCTTTCTACAAACCCCACGAGACAGAGACTCATTACGCCTTCCCTCTTCGTCTCCTCGTTGCTATCGTCGTACTTCTAGACTGCCACTCTTTACTCCAGATCTCTCTCGGCGCGTGCACATGGGGTATCTACTACAAACACCGTCCTTTCGCCATCACCACCGTCATTCTCTGTTGCTCCATCACCTGCAACGCCACAGCTGGCCTACTGATTTGGTTGGGTGACAAGAAGACCCGAAAGAAGGACGTGCTAGAGCGCATGAACAGACAGGAGCTGACCGAAGAGGCCATCAAAGAAGTAGAAAAGAAGAAGCAGAAGGAGAAAGAAAGAGAAAGTGAGGGCGAGTCTAGCGGTGCAGACGAAGGCAGGGACAGGGAGGCAAGAAGAATCAGTCTCGATGCTTTCAGGCCAGGGAGGAAGAGTATGGACAGAAACAGAGAGAAGAAGCAGAGTCTCGGTGCGTATCCCTGATCAGAGAATGCAACGATGTTGCATAATACATGACTGTTATGTCGGTGGCATTTTTCTTGGAAGCGTTCAAGCGTATATACCTATTCAGCGATGTCGACATGTCGATCTACTTAATTCTGAATTTTTTGTTCCTCTTATAACTCTGTGCCTTGCAGTGAACAACATGTGTTGAATGCTTCGTTGGTGGGATGTAGTGACACTTGTGCTGCTCAGGCAGAAACATACTCGCCATCTGCCATTGTAGCTGCGCTTGAAATCCCATGCATAAGAGAACGGTGCTAACAAAACGATCATGCGCTCTTGCTAAAATAGTTGTAATAACGGGTCTCTGCTGTATTATAGCAGGTCATCGACCTCAAAAGAGAGTCACGGGAGTAGGACGGATTGAAAGGTATGGTTGAAGCTCATCACGCGGTGATGCTTTGTCATTTATCTTGTATTACTCCAATCTAGCTCCAGCTAACACTGTTGATATGCCACCTGAGTAGATCGTTCTCTCGTGCAATCTTTTCCCACTCAATCCTCGTCCTTCACTTCGACTCAGAGCAATTTCTATCCTCTATATCGTATCGTATCCATGGGTATAAGTTTCTAGCAGCCCTCAATCTGCTCAACACCAGCGGTAGTGCCCTTGACGCACATGCCGTGGTTCTGACGAACGGCGACAGCTGTTTTCGTGTTAACCATAAATGCCAATAGTGGAGCTTGGGCGGAAAGAGAGCATACCCTCGTTTGCGACAGGCGCGGCGATGGCAAAAGCAGCCATGGAGACGACGGTGGCGATGATAGTGGTGAACTTCATTTTGAAATAGTGTTTAGATTATCGAAGTTGTTGATCAGGTAGTAGTGAAGAAGCCTGGAATGTAGTTGGAAATTGAAAAGTCGCCCGGCGACAAAGAGTGAATGAATAGAAAGGTTGATAAACAAGAAAATTGACTTGAAGAAGTTGACTTGATGGTGAGCTTGAAGTAAGAAAAGACCTTCTAGCCTGAGGAGGCGATCAACTTATACCAAGCACCAGCAGCAACTCGCCCATACAGGTACACCGTCGTCGTCGTCATCAGGCGCCGTTGTCATCACAAAGTTATCCCAGTACCTTACTCGCTGCCTCGTACTGACAAGGCTGAAACCGGAGTCTAGACTTTCCTGCTTGTGTCTTGGTACTGTATTAGCGAAAGGAGTACGATCTGCTGCCTAACGACGGCGGGTAGTGGAGCATTGTCGTTCTACGGGAAGAGCACGGCCGGGGAGGCGCTGCGTTGAGGTGTGTCAAAGCTGTTGGAGATATGTCGATGATTTCCCGAAAAATGGGAGACGCGCGGCTTTTGCATGTGGAGTTATATGGGTACCGTGGGGAAGACGTAAAGCTGTAGGTATACTACCACTTCGTTGAGTTGGGCCCCATCATGATGATGCCGCCAAATTTTGTATCTTTCAGATAAACACTCTGCCTACTTTCCCATTAGTCCATCCCCATCTGTCGAGTACAGCCATTGAGCCTATGTAGTCCCGTATAAGCACCGTGATACAGCGCGGTTAGAGTGCGATGAAACGGTACTCAAACCCAGCCGAAACTCGGAAGAGCACCTCCCTTGGCAACGATCTCGGAGAACACAATGCGATGCTAGCAGTCATCGGGCACCACATTTTGTCCGAAACGCTTCCAAATGCACCGACATACGTAAATCCAGGGGCAGAACCTGAGGATGTTTGTGTATTGGGATGCCCGTTGATCGTTCACCACACGTGCAACCAGATGGCGCTAGCCATTTGTGGACAAGTCGCATCGAAGGCGATATTCAAACGCCTTTGGGGAATTGACCGCTCTCATCCAACAACAGGTAGCTTGATGCCGCCGCCCATTGCGACAGCAAATTTCGAACAGCAAATTTTCCGTCTAACTTACAAACTGAATTTCAGTCGCTGATATGCTTGATCAGTCGTTCAGCTCTTGGTAAACAGCATCGCTAGTTGTTCCAATATTTTTAGTCTTTTCACTTGTCTCGTCTCTACTGTTTCTGAAGCTCGCTCTTATGATTGTTTATCTTGCTTGGTAGAGATAAGTTGGTCTTGCCTGCTTCCTAGCAATCTTGGAAAACGTAACACAGTCACCGTCGCGCGGTATCTGTTGTGAACTCTAGATCACACGAGTTCTCAGACTGTTGGTATTTACACAGGTCTGACTTAGCTTTGATAAATCTGAATTCGATACAGTCGATGTAAATGTAGGTTTCTGGCGATGCTAAGGATCTCCATACAAGATAGAAGTGTCACTGGAAAGAGCGAGGGTTTACACATATCAAAACAGAAAGCAGACACGCCCGCTATTCCACGAGATGACGTTCGGGTATGAGCCACGTGTAGCCGTGGTGAGAGGTGACGGCGCGTTGCTGAAAACCGAAAACGGAAGTGAAGGTGAGAGCTGGTCATAAGGACAGCGCCTTCCCGAGTATCCACCTCCACCTTCGTGCTCGACAGTTGCTCCCCACAACCTCAAGAAGTTGGCAATTGCGGCCCACAGAAATCATGGATCTATACGTGGCTCAGCTTCCAGGGCTCTCTGTAGCTACTCATCTGGCGAGGGAGCGTGCGAAAGCCGACGAGGACATGCCCGATAACAAGAGCTGGCGATTAGGCCACAGCAAGCAGCCGAAGAAGCCACCAAGAGTGTCCACTCCTCTGAAGATCGATACCGAATACTCGAAATCTTTCGAAGATTTGAACGATCACCATCTTCTGCTCAGCTGGCGACAACAACGTCAAGGCAGCAGACCGCAGACACCTGTGGGCGCTATATCAGCCACGCCTGTCACCGACGATACATATGATACCAGAAGTGATCGTTCAGATACCCCAGCGCCACGTCGAGACTCCAAGCCAAAACTCGCACGATACACTTCGCTTTTCGCCAACTTCAAAGACACAACCAAGGAACCCGAGTTTGCCTTCTCTACACCTTGGGGTGAAGACGCACCGCAGTCCCTACAGCCTTACATAGATCCGCTTGACGTGGTTCAGTCTGTCCGATCGCACATGGCGACTACACATCGGCCAATACCAATGGAGCACAATAGTGGCCTGTTCCGGGTGTTTGAGGACTACCGCAACGTCCGAGAGCAGAAAGAGAGTCTCAGTATAATGATGGAGGAGACACTCAGTGACTGGAAAAAGGCCGAACAATATTGGGATCGCTCAAAAGATTGCTATGGCGCGGAAATACGGCGACTCGAGCTACTCATAGCTCGCGGAACGAGCGGTATGACAGGGTCAGTAGCCTCCAACTCCATGCCCTCTCTTTGCTAACACAGAGGAGACTTATGCAAGCTCGTCAAGACAGCGTAGTGCGACGTCATAGAAAGACCATCTCGTACGACAGTCTCCCTCCAGCTTATGACTCCCTTTCGCATGCCCAACTCGACCGAGAGATCAAAGTTAGGAGTCAGAGAGGTTAGTACTTGGTAATATAGTGTTATGCATGTCGTTACTAATCTAATTCAGCGCTCCTGAGTCGACCATTATCTCCCTCTGGAAAGATGATCGTCCTCTCAACACAGTTTACCAACGATGGGGCGAAGCTGATAGTAGGAACTCCTCCTGAGGTCAACCATAATTTGACACTGTCGCGCAAAGTCCAAAGCGAGCTCAACCTTACCGCCATTCATAAGACAAAACCCTCCCGCTCCTTTACTAGCTCTGTAACTTCTGGGTTCTCAGGAGGGTCTGGTGATCCTTTGCCTGACGAGATGGCGGTTCTTGAGCACACTGGAATGGAGCCGGCGACCGAATGCGAAGCTCTCGTTGCTCTTCGTGAGCTTGGCACACTCGTTGCAAGACGTCGAGGGTTAGAGATCAGCAGCTTCAACCACAGCCTCATGATGCTCTTCTCGCAGACTAGACCAGCAGAGAGAATAGTAGAAGGTATCGAAGAACGAGACGCACGGCCGTCACGGCAAGGGATGGGCTCGAATTCTGGAAAACCACAGTACGCTGATACATCTCTCGCACCCCGACATAATTTGCGGAAGTTTCAGTCGCAGCCACATCTCAGCACTACACAGAAGCATCGTCGACAGTTTTCTTTTGAGCCTGGGGCGGATCAGCTCGAAGCGCTCGCGGAGGAGTTTGGAGCGCTTGACGGGGAGACCAATGAGAGCGGTTCTGACGATTCGGACACTCCGCTCCTCATGCGTGCTGAGCGCCCTGCACTCGATACCCAATCAATTAGGTCTACTTCGTCGTCTCAAAATCTGGGTGCAGATTTAGCCAAGCCATCAAAGATTCCTAGCCCTGTCCAAACGATGGGTCGCAGTCGCCGAGAGGATTCTGCTTCAAGCCTCCAGTCGGTCTATGCTAGACCTCAAGATAGTCGTCGAGAGTCTCGTTCTAGTGTTATCACGGCTTTTCGCGAACATCTAAGTGGAAATATTCGACCCGAACTCCAGAGCAGACACAGTTCGATCAACGACTTACGTGCGTCAGACTCCTCGACGGCATCAAGAGAGCAGATCGGTGCAACAAGACTGCGTAACAGTAACATGGCTGTCGCAGCAGCGAGGGCTGCAAGTGATGCAAGTCAAACCTCATTGTCAGAGAGAAGCAGCCCAAGACTCTCCCTATCGCGAACAAACAACGCAGGAGGTCCAGTCAGGCCGGTGCATGATGACTCCAAGAGAACGTCATCAAGTTGATAAGTGGACATCTCTTATACCTGTATGATCGAGATCTTTACAACCACATTGGACGGACAGGGCTGCGATTGGTGTTTCATTCCGGTTATTCAGCACATCAGTTTGAGGTTGATTCGACCGTGAGACAACGTGCGATCATCCCTCTCTACTCGCCAAAGTCAGAAGTGATACTTGTGTCACCATTGGAAGACTGGGCTGCAGATGTTTTCTACATTTCTTTTGTTATCACACCAGGTTTCGGGCTTGACCGAGCACCTGTGGATCAGAGAGCAATTATCTGCAGTCATCGTAGCGTGTGTGGGCAAAAGTCACATGGACTAGGAGTTTGTAGGATACCAAGTGTATCAACCTAAGATTGCAGTCCCCTTCGCGCAACAACCAAGATTAGTCGTGCCAATTAGCGAGATGAAGAGCTGTGGCTAAACTGACAGCTCACATCAGACATCGCGATTGCTCCCCTTCCCTTCCCGTACCACGCTGCCACAATGACCAGGCGGCGCTCAAGGTCGAACCTATCCGGTCGCGGTTGTACGGAGGTGACCTCACTCCATCTTACTACGGCTAATGCATTGCTCAGGAGACACGGATACTGACACTACGCCAGAGTACTGCGCTTCTGGGCTGGACTCTGACATTCTACGAATCTAATCGCAACATCTAGTCATAAACGAGCCGTTTCCAGCTCCTTCTATTCTGCATGTCTACGCGTCTTGTCGCTATCTGCTCTGTTAGTAGGTCTGATCTGCAAACTGTGGCGTTCGGTGTGGCGAGTGCAAAAGCTGTGCCACAGTTGGCCGATCATTTCCGAGTTTACAGAAAAGGTTTCTTCCACATGATGATACTCGAGGCATTCGATTCGTCGAGAGTTCGCGTTGTCGATCGCGGTCTGTAACTGTTGCCACACTTATTTTTACACAACGATCGCTGCCTCTGTGGATTCCTCCGTTGCACCTACCGGACGACGATTCCACAGCCTTGCGATTGGCCATGCAGCCACAGGCATTCCATTCCATGCAACTGCCAGCACCATGTTCGGTGTAACTGCAAAAGGCAGTGACGTTCACTCTTACAGCATGGCTTCCAGATGCACTGTCCAAGCGCCTTACGATGACGAAAGCCGTTGATGGGATGGTTCAGTTTGGTGGATAGACTCGCTTTCGGGATAACGCCCGCTAACCACTCCTTAATCTCGGCTTGACAGGTGGTAAAATAACGTTAAGAATTAAGTCTTCCGAGTAAGCGCAAGCGATACGGCGCCAACGGGCGACAGTGGGATTGGCCTGCTAGATAGACTTTGACGAATTGGCGGGGTGGTATCCTCGTCTCTGATCCGTAGCTCATACGCAGGGGAAGGCGGCCGGCAGTGGGCTGAATAGGTAGGGCGAGCAGCGGTAGAGACGTCTGCCGCGTGGAAAGCTGCAAGAGACAAGGGCAGGAAGCGGTCTCGGGACACAAGTGGAAACGGGAGCTGCCCGGCATATGTCATTTCGCATTGAGGCGCCAACGCACACCGTAGGCGCCGCAACAGTCTTGCTTGACAAAGGGGGTATAGTGTGCGAGCAGAAGCTGTCTTGACGAGTAAATTACGCCCAAGGGCACGGAATACTCATCAAGCCACTGGAGCCGCGCACGAGCTCCTCGCACTGGTGTAGCAGTTGGAGTGGATTCGAGAAACATCGGGCTGGGTCCGCGCGATCCAGCATCCATGGGCGGATGTGCGCTTGGAGTGCGGGATGGCGACAGATGCAGCGACTATCAGCTCCTCATGCGGACGCAAAGAGCTTCTGGCCGGCTCGCGTCTGCCGTAAGGTTGTGGCTGTGCAGGACGGACGGTGGGTGATCAGTTCTGGCAGCATGTCGCGCACAGAGTAGGGCGGAGGACCAAAGCCGCCTAGGGCCGCGCAAAACTGTAGCGTTAGAGGAGCAGGGACCGTGTGCCTAGACCCGACGCTCCACCCATGCCCACGCGCGGCCCTCTTGCAATTCCGTCAGGCCCTGTGGATGCTCAGGTCGCTAGCTAAAAGACGTCTGACCACCGGCCCTGGACACCTGTGGCTTGACTCTCCCAGGCTCGACTTTCTCGTGGCAGCTGCTCTCCGTTTCATCAACCCATAGTCTGCTCCTCCAAGGCTCCCCAACCCAAACACCTTTTCTTCCCCATCGACTTCCCAGATGCAACCCGAATTAAACAAGACCTAATACCGCGAGAGCGCCCGATGCCATGTTTCGAAATAGGTACGTCCCGCCCGCGCCCAAGCTCGCATGTGATTTGCGCGCGTCGCGTGAAGACATCATGTACCTTGGCCGACCCACGACTGACATGCGCAGACTCAACTCCCAAAAACCCGATGGAAAGCTCCTAGAGGACTTCAAGGCGACTTTCCCTCACCTCCAGCAGCGTTCGCATTCTATTGCAGGTCCTCCGGGCCACACGCTCGCAGATGCGCTTGATGTCGCGCACCCCTCCCGGTACGTTCTTCCGAGATCCCCCCATCCCATGTCACTCGGCACGAACATCAACAACAACACCGCCGAAGCCGAACATGCACGCACAACGCACAGAAATATTATACTAACCCACATGTTTTTCAGACAACTCGACCATGAGGACATCAAAGACCAGGACCCGACCCCGCGTGGAAATACCGAGCCGTGGAGGTTCACTCCCTCGCTGCTGGACCCCAACAGTTTTGCCTTCACCTCTTTCGCAAACCAACCTCCTGGCTATTATACGCCAACTCCTGGCGGCACCAACACGCTCTACCACAGCCAGGCCGGAGACCTCCACACGCCCGGCTTCAGCTTTGGCCTAGGAACACCACTATCGCTTCCTACCTCCGAAGGTGCCCTTCATGCCGGCCAGGTCGCGCCTGCCAACCATCTTCATGGTTTCAATCCCCATGCTTTGGGGTCGCATCACTTCCAGAATGTCAACCCTTTTGGCATGCAGCCCCAGCATTCTCAATCCTTTGCCCCGCACCAGTTCACCCATCAGCCTGCTGCATTCGACCAAGGCAACATGGCGCAAAACCACGAGGATTCGCCAATGGACAATATGGTCCCAGAGGTCGAGATGCAAGAGCAGTCCCCTCTGATTGGTTATGCACCCCATTCATATGAAGGCATGGCAGCTGCCGTCGCACCGGCACCCCCTCCACCTAATCAAAAGTCCGTCGCCCTATCTTTCCAGCCTCTTTCACGTACTAACTTCTCCAGCTTCCGATACCACGTTACTTTGAATGCTCCCACGGCCATGATCAAGCAGTCAGATGAAGTTCCTGTTACCTATCTCAACAAAGGACAGGCCTATTCCATCTCTCTTGTAGACACGGCCCCCATGCAAGCGCAATCTCCATCGACAAAGTACAGAACCTTCATTCGCATTTCTTTCGAAGACGAGCAGCAGCGTCAGCGACCCGCGTCTTGCTGGCAACTGTGGAAAGAGGGCCGCGGAACTAACGAGGCGCACCAGCGTGGTGGAAGACTTCAAGCAGTTGAATTCGTGGACCCGAGCCAAGTCAGCGGCGGTGAGATCCAAGGACGTCCCAGAGTTGAACTCGAATCTTCCTCCTTCGATGGATTTGTCGTTGTATGGACACCAACTCACAACTCTTCGCCCGAGTGCTCTTTGGCCGTGCGTTTCAACTTCCTCTCTACCGATTTCAGTCACTCCAAGGGTGTCAAAGGCATTCCCGTCCGGTTATGTGCGAAGACAGAGATGGTCACCGAAGCTACCGGATCATCACCCCAAAGACCGGATGCTGAGCTTTGCTACTGCAAAGTCAAGCTCTTCCGTGACCATGGCGCCGAGCGGAAGCTGTCCAACGACGTCGCCCATGTCAAGAAGACTATCGACAAGCTGAAGCAACAGATTGCTCAGGTCGAGTCTGGCATGAAGGATTTCGGCAAGCGGAAACGTAGTGGATCAATCTCCAAGGGCAGTGTCAGCCAACGACCCGGAAAGGTACCTAAGCACAAGAGGACCTGGTCCATGTCTTCTGCGAGCGACAATCAAGGAGGCCGTGCGCCTGCTGAAGAAGACCTTCACATCAAACTGGCATCACTTCAAGACATGTTCAGTTCCACCAGGCCTGTCAGTGTTCTTTACCTCAAGGGAGAGGAGCAGGATGACCCGGATCTTCACCCAGTGATCCTAGGAGCTGCTCCTCAAGAACTCTCTAAGATTGACACAAACGTGGATGCGCCCATGTGGGAGGCTCCAGAGTCGCAAACAGGAACATCCTCTGTTGTATCTCCAACTCCCAGCTCTCAATCTCTCCACTCGGAGAAGCGCAGGACTACGTCTTTCCAACGTCCGGCGCCCTTCCAGCCACCATCCCGCATGTCCTCGAACGAATGGCGCAACATGCCACAAACAGCCACAGGTGATCTGAAGGGCATGACTAGCATTCAAGGCGGTGCAGACGTTCCAACAAAGGTCCAACGGCCATATTCTGATGACCACGCGCTTTCTGGATGGATCGAAGCCCTTGGGGTTGATCAAACCTACCAGCCGCCTCCGGAGCCTATGCTGAAGCCTGTCGCCTGCTTCTTCGTCCAACCGCGCTTCGCCGGTCGGCAACCCGATGATAACTACTTCCGCGCCGTGTATCTAATGGAGCGTACTGTGAAAGAACTTGTTGCTAGCATTGCAATGAAGATCAAGCTCGAGCCAACCAAGGTCACGCGAACCATCCGCGTCAACCAAAAAGGACTGCAGATTCTGATGGACGACGATGCAGTCAACAGGATTCCCGAGCAACAGGACATGACAGCCGAATTCCATGAGATCGGCACACCGCCAGTGCATGCTATGAAGCGCGAATGGGATGCGGGTCCTACAGACATTCAAGTTGATGGCGACATCAGCGTTACGGAAAACGTTCACTCGACCGGTTACGAACTCCGTCTTCTCTTCTAGGCTTTTATGTCTATCGCTCGCCTGCGAGACGCCGTTCCTTCATCTTTGATACCCTGTTTCTCGGTAATTTGCCGATTGTCACGACCTCATACTATTCGTACCTTGGAGCCTTGCATTGCTCTTTGAGGGCTGTTCTGAATTAACATCACTTGATTCAGTTCTACTGTTTGGCGTTTAGCGCCTTTGGAGATACCACGCGTTCGACCAGAGCGTTTGCTGCATTTCCTTTGTTGATACCTTTCTATTCTTCTTCTTTCCGGTGCGACGACGATACCCATTATACTATTACCACTTTCACCTTTCCAGCGGCTAAGATTGCAAAGCAACGATCTGTTACGAACACATAGCGAGATACACACACGCAACTACGAGGGAGGAGCGTTGAACCTGTAATTTCTTTCTACATACAACAAGGATGGCAGCTCTGTCCACTACGGTGTACATGCCCATTATCCTTTGCGAGCCTAATCAAACCTTTTCGCTCTGAAGCTGTCGTCACCTGCGATTTCTCGACTTCTCTTCCCTGTACAATTTTCTTGCGCTCCACGTTCTTACCCTGGCCGACCGAAGCTGCGCCGTTGACCGCGGACACCCCCACTGACGTTGTGACATAGCGATGATCATTACATTCCCCGTCCGCCGCCAAAGTTAGAAACCTTTTTTTCCGACCGACCCCATCGCGGCAGATTGCTCCTTGCCTGCCCCATCGAATAATATTTCAGTGTCTTGGCGCGCACAAGCATTTAACACGCTATCGTCTCCGGAAATTACGCGCGAAGCGTTCGCACCAGGGGTTCAGCAGTAACGGGCGGCTTGCACCAGCGTCAATCAATACACGTTCGCGAATGGGTTATGCGACGACTATCGTCGGTCTCGCTTTTCCAAACACTAAACTCAACATTGTTGACACCGTGTTTGGTACACCTGTCAGCGTTTGGGCGGGGACCCCTGACACGCGAGTAATTGAGGGGGCTGGCGGGAAGTGTGGGTATGGTAGCCGATTCCGATAGCACATGTATCCGACTCAAAGGATTGTCTGCCCGAGACTTGATGTCATACTGCAGAAAAAGGCTCACGAATCACGACCATGGTACACCTACAGAAAACCGATAAGTCAGACCGAGGGAGCAGGGTCTGGAAGATGCGTTGGCAATGAGAAAGTACGCGTCGAATGAGAAAGGACCGATCAGATCTGGTCTCCTACTGCCTTATTCGAAATCGCATATTATGAAACGCCAATCCATCGTACGGATTGTGGCTTGAACGAATAGTCTACGGGATGTGCAGCACCAAGCAAGCGCTCATGCAAGTGTGGTGTGATATTACAAGGAAATCGCACATTCGAGAGTATCTTCGGAGGCGAATGGACTCTCAAACCGAGACTATGCATAAGGAGAGGCTTCCGGTAATGCCGTCGCTCATATTGTGCTCGAACAGGAGGGCCGCGACGGAAAGCTAGCCGACATGCGCCAGTATGTTCGCTCGGAATACTTTCGCCACCTCTTGTGTCGAAGCAGAACGCCTCGCGGACCCCGAAGAGTGTTCCTTCCAATGGAAACATGGAATAAACGTACAACATGAACGGGAACCTACTATACGACTATCCGGGCTATCGGCCACTTACTACGCTGGAATGAGGCGTTCTAATCATAGTGATTTTGTAAGGCCATTTCACAAAAGCGTTGTACGACAACCAATAAGCATGTAGGATCTACACAGAGATCGACATCTTGTGTACTCAAGCGAGCCGGCAAGTGGCGAGTGGTGTGGCTGGACCCTGGCCTTCGCCACGAACTGCGGGAGCGCTGGCGTGTGCCACATGGCGTAGAACGCCCTGGCAGCTGACGCAGGTGTCATGCGGACATTGACGAACTGTGACTCACGGCTTGCGGAGGATTTCTTCTCCCTATCGCAAGGGAGTTGTCGGTCACTCCACCGTGGAGTATCTTGACGTAAGTGTACCGAGACGTCACCCGAAGAGGTCTGCACCGCCACAGATAGGTGTTACGTACCCCTCGCAACGGTGTTGATCACTTCACATGCCAGAATGCTTCACTTCTAACCAGCACAATTCCATTTCCAGAAAATTCGGCGACATATCAATTGTTCTGGCATTCTAGATTGTTGGTACCCCGCTTCTGCCGTAGGGTAAGAATATCAGCCGTAGTTTGCAGATCCTAGCCCATGATGGACACATATGTCTCTTTGCTTAATCTGACTTCGCAGCGCGGACACCAGACGGAACATCTCCGACGACTCAGAAGAAACAGCAAATTGCGCACAGCCACGATGCTGAAACGGCGATGGAATGGAGCTCCAGATGGGCCTATTCCAGCATCTAGTCTTCGCACTGGATGCATTACGGTAAATTCCACCTGGGCATCAAGCAGGCTAGGATGATTGTCATTGCTGTTACGTGAGGTTATGTACTGCGATTTGTGGTGCTCCGAGCTGAGGTTTGAGAAGTAGTCTAGCTTCGTAAAACGGATACACTTGAGCATTTTTGGAAGGTATCATTTGATTCTCGTAGACGGCTAAAAGATGATGGTGTAGGTTTGGTACGCATCAACAAACTAAAGCGTCGGGAAGACTACCGATCCCAGATTCAAATCCCGCATCACCCCAACATCCCCCACCGTACCATATCTTTCACAAAAACCGGCCGTATTATCGGACCGCAAACAATGCAAATCTGAAAGAAAAGCCCCGTGTATTGCGACATGATATGTGATTCTGTTATGCATGATGAAGTCACCAGATTGGGATCGGATTCTGAGCGGGAAAAGAAAAGTGGAATCAGCAATTTCAGCACCCCTGTTCGCTACTCGTTCATGAGGTGTGCACGTGTATACCGGGCATTTTCGTGACATCCACCTGTCAACGCAAATTACCGCGGAAATCAAAGACCGAGAAAGGCCTCGGTTCTTGCTGTCAGAACGCATGTATGAACTGTTGCTCCATGATGACTTCATACATGCGGTCAGAAAACGCTCTCCCTAATCATCCGGCATGTGTTTCAAGTTTGACAGACCAAGCGTGCACTTGCTGGAGATCCAGCACAATTCAGCGGTGTCCCCACAGCTCGCTTCCCGCAGCCCGGTACCTGTAAGCAGCCCAGGCAGTCAGCACTTGAGCAGCTTCAGATCTCCCACCCGTCGCGCTGCACTGGCAAGGCTACGCGCGCAATCGCGATCGCATCCTCCGGCAGAAATGGCCGCACCTAATATCCCTCGAATGAAGAGGTTGCGATTGGGATCGTGGGTCATCTCGTTTACGACTGACAACGAATCAGTGGGCTGGAGAAAGCTGTCATGCGCCATCAGCCGCTGACGCACCTGGAATACTGCCGGTTGGGCGGATTGAAAGAGCGATTCTGTGAAGTCTGAGTGTACCTACAGGAGCCACGTTGATGCGTCTGCATTAGTACGACGTGCATCTTACGATCTTACTGTGCGTCTTGCAAGGGTATGCTCAAGGTAGTCACCTGCACGGTACTTGTTTTGACGGCGCCTCAGGGTGTGTCCCCATCCGGCAGTCCATTTCGGATCTTTGGGACACATACGGTACTATTCTCATGCATCGGATTACTTTTTCCAAGGTTCTTTCTTGGATCTCCGACGACGAACATGGGGGGCTGGTTGTTGAGCATCGTATTTTTCTGCTTTTTCTTCAGCTCTGGGACATAGTGAGCTTCGGCCGGAAGTTGCCTGCTACCCATGTGCTTGTATGAATGCTTTGATCGCTTCGCTGTCAGATTCTGTCGGCGGAAGCGCCAGGACGGGAAGATCCCCATCCTCATATCAGGTCATGTTATTGTACATGGTAACGTTGCCATTGAAATCCTTCACCCCCGCGCACGTGCACTCCCAATACCGCCTCTGCGATAAGACCTCTTTTTGTACTTCTTTTCCGATGTCCCAAAATCCCCCATGTCTCTCTTCGGAGCAGTGGCTCCGATACTCGGGTCATTAGTTCATTTGGGATACTGTACTGACGAAAGAGGATCGGAGGCGCTGGGGAAAAGCCGGGTTATCCTGACCCAAAACCTGGATTGTGGATGATGTGTTGCGCGGGATGCAGTGTGGGCCGGAGGCGTGCGTGCATGTGTGGAGCGCGGAACCAAGGTATTGATAGTTCCGAAAAGGAAACGTACGATGTCGGTTTAGATACTAAACACGAATGCACCGCCACATGTCGATATTCTTTATAGACATGGGGGAAAAGGGATGAGTACACGATAGGAACTTCGGCAAGGCTTTGGGTGATGTATGCTTGTGGATGCCATTCCCCTCGTAACGAGGTCAGATCTGTCTAACGAGTTTGTGGCGGTCGATTGGCGCTCGTAGTGCAGCAACTGCAGCAACCTCGCAACAGAGGGTCAGGTAACTCTACACCAGCAATTTCAGTCATCCAACTCTCTTCCAAAGTCAATCAGTCTAAGCTTCCTCGCATCTTTTGGGTGGAACTGCGCAATCTTTGCCCTGACCAAGAACCTCGAGGCTGCAGAATCTCTTTGTAGTTGGAAATACGCCTTTCCACCTCCTGGTCCCATCAACGTAGCAAACAGGTTCTCAATCAGCTGTCGCATTTCCGCGTCTGCAGCTTCGGCCTCAGTAGGTGGCTCTTCTTCCTCCTCTTGATCGTCAACAGCAGTCTTCTTGCCCCAAATTTGGTCAATCCTGCGTTGTCGCGTTTTATCTGATGCTGGCTTTTTGGACGACTTTGGGCGTCCTTTCTTCGTGAACCCGGCAGCAAGTGTATCGTCTTCCACATCAAGCATATCACCTACTACAGGTCCGCCCAGCTCTTCTGCTGCAAGCATGCTAGAGAGGTAATCGTTGATGAAGTCGTTCATTGCTCCACCCATGCGCTGCATCTCCTTGTCGTAGCTCTCTTTCTTTGCGCGCTTAGCCGCAATCAATTCTCGCGCAAGCTGAGCGGGTGTCTTCTGTGAGCGATCTTCGTGCTGAGAACGTAGTCTTTCAATGCGGTTCTCCATTGATTGACTCAGAAGTTGGGCGTCATGTAAAAGGGCTTCTTCTTGACGAAGGTTGGGTTCCTGGACGTCCAGTTGGGATTGCGTGCTGGTGATAGCATCCTTGGTTCCTTTAATGTTCTGCTGAAGGGTACGCGCTGCTAAGAGTGCAGGTAGAACTGATCCTGGCGCAGGTAGGTATGTTGCGGTTGAATTCAAACGTCGATACGCGTCTTTGACAGCAATGAGTTGCTGCAATTTTTTACGCGGATCTTCCGATGCGTAAGCCGCACTCTCTATATCAACCTGTGACCGTGATCGTAGCTATCATCTGGTTAGCATGTATCTATGCAGACGCGTCTTCATTGCATTACCTTGTCAAGCGCTGCTTGTTGTTCCTGCACGCGTGCTTGTAGCTCCTTCACCGTCTGCTCCAAACGCGCCTCGGTACTCGACGCGTCGAAGTCGACAACATCATCCTGCAGCCCACGAGCTTCTTCGGAATACTCGCGTATCTTTTTGAGTGTCTCGTTCTGCGGTTGCGCCATGTCTGCAATAGGTTGGCTGCGTGTTATGGTGCGGTCCACCAGTGTCGCTAACAGACCCGTGGTGCCTGGGGAGGGCAACGTCACCCCTTTCGACTCTGAACTCACTGCAGTTCCCGCTGCACCACGTAGAGATTCACCACTGCTTCACACCTTGCACTGCCTGTGTTTTCAGACAAAGTTGTAGAACTACACGTGACGCGCCAAGACTTAGCGCCGATCTCCCCGCGATAGCTCCCATTTTGCGTTGTTTGCGCTACCTCCTCTCATCCAACCACCTGCTGCTCTCAACCATCGCCAATAGTTCCTTCTCCATCTCCATCGCGACCCCTTCTTCTAACATTGCTTTCTCGTTTGAGAAGGAAGGCACGCAACCTCGAGCTCTCCCATCTGAGACGCCGGACCGTTGCCGAGAAGGTTTGACGAGCGAGCTTTCTTTCCTTGGGCCAGTTTCTTCGTCTGTCGACCTCACCTCGCCCCAAGAAACATACACCCTTTCCGACTCTCCCGCTCCATCACAAGCACCATCATACACGGTTCCTCATTCTCCGAGGCATCCCTTCTCCGACCACTGCACCCTCTGCACGCTCCATACTCCTTCAAGCTCCCGGCGACCTCACATCCACGCACCTTCACCGCACTGTCGCGACTCCCTCCATCCGCCCTCACAGCACGCTTTCTTTCACGGCCCCAGCTGTACATAAAAGTCGCAATTAGTCGAGATCAATTGAACAAGTCTCAACATCCCGTTTGAGCGCGCGTCGACTGTGAAGAGCGTGCATATCCGTTTCAAGATTCAAGACCCACAACTCATACACAGAAATCATGTCTGCATCACCCACCATCGCAGCCTCCTCGGCCAAGCGACCGCTTGAAGAGCCCTCCTCGCCTACCGGTCCCAACGACCAACCCGATGCCAAGCGCCCGGCCCTCGATAAGATGCTCAAGGAGAACGCGCCCAACCCTGACGATATCGATGTCGCCCAACCTGTCAAGGCCGATGATGTTGCCACAGAAGGCATCACGCAAGAGGATGTGAAAGCAGTACCCGAAGTGGCCGAGACTGTGGTTGAAAATGGTGACGAGACTATCCAAACGGATACTGTTGTCCCCGACGCCCCTTCTATTCTTGAAACCCAGCCTATCCAATCCACATCCGGTGCTAACGGTCGGCCTGTGAATCACAACCAGCAGGTGGACGAGACCAACTGGCTACATGTGCGTGCTTGTATTGGCACCAGCGAGGCGGCTACTATCATTGGCAAGGGCGGAGAGAACGTAACTCAGATCCGTCGTCTGTCTGGCGCCAAGTGCACCGTTAGCGACTACTCTCGAGGCGCTGTTGAACGTATCCTTACTGTAAGCGGCCAAGTTGATGCTGTGTCCAAAGCATTCGGCCTCATTGTGCGCACCCTCAACCAGGAGGATCTCGAGACTCCTTCGACATCCACCTCCAAGGCGTACCCTATGCGCCTCCTCATTCCTCACATCCTCATTGGTTCCATCATCGGAAAAGCCGGTGTCCGCATCCGTGAGATTCAAGACGCTTCCAACGCTAAGCTGAACGCATCTGACACTCTCCTACCCAACTCTGGCGAGCGATCGCTGATCGTCCTGGGTGTTGCTGACGCTGTACACATTGCTGTGTACTATGTTGCTCAGACTCTGGTCGAGCAGCTGACTGAGCGATTCGGCGGTCCCGCTGCGTCCCAATACGCAACCCGTAGCGGCATGGCTGCCAACGTAGTCCCTGGTGGCATGTCCGTTCAGCCGTACGTTCCCCAGCCCGCCGGAGGCCAGTACTCTCACCCGCAGAACTTCCGTCGTCAAGAACCACCTCAGCGAACCCCCGCTCATGGAGGATATGGTGCTCCCCACATGCATGGACAGCCTCCTCAACAATCGCCATATGGACATCCCAACATGCCCTACGGAGCTGGTTCGCCTAGCCGCGGTCCCTACGGTGGTCCTGCAGCTCCCACTCCTTACGGTGGTCACCCTGCTGCAGCGCCTGTTGCGCATGGTGGTGCTGCTCCTCATGCAGCGGTCGGTGGCATGCCCGGCCAACCTCTCACCCAGCAGATCTTCATCCCCAACGATATGGTTGGCGCTATTATCGGCAAGGGCGGTGCGAAGATTAATGAGATCCGTCAGCTTAGTGGCAGTGTCATCAAAATCAACGAGCCCACCGACAATAGCAACGAGCGTCTTGTCACCATTACAGGTACACAAGAGTGTAACCAAATGGCACTTTACATGCTGTACTCGCGACTTGGTTAGTAGTCTGTCTTAACTTGCAATATCCAGAAGCTAACCTCATGTACAGAATCGGAGAAGCACCGTATCTAGTCGCAGAGTGCTGCAACCTGACATCGCTACCGCGTGATTTATTGGCGGTCTACAATATCGTAGGCATAAGCTTACTGTGTTTTCCGGATGCATGTATACATTGGAGCACGGCGTTATGATGGTATGCTTACTACCTCGATGGTTTCTTGGGCGTGTACTGTACGTACGCTTTCTCCTTTTTCTCACTGCTCTCGGCGAGTAGGAGCATCGCTATGGGAAACTACGCGATTAGGGATCTGGGGTGCCTCGTGTCGCCCTACTGGTCTTTCGCTGCTGATCTATTTGATACTCACATACCTGGTAATCTATCAAAAGCTATCTGACTTCATGACTGGGTTTGTGCATTGTATCATCGTGAGCCCTATGCTGTTGTCTTGTGTGAGAATGTACCAAGTCTGTTGAGTTTTGTAATACAGTTGCTGTGCGGGTAGACGTCAAGGTTGATCGATATGAGTTTGCAAGACTCTTGAGTTTATCTAGCTGCTGTTCGCGTTCTAAACCCGCGCAACACGTCTCAAGAATGCGTACAGGCTCCTCGTCTAACTTTGTCTCGACACTGGATTGACGAGAAGGCGTTCTTTCATACCTGGCACAAACATCAGGTCTAGCTATCCGTACTAGAACAACATACAATGCCAACTATTGCACAAGCGTTCTACAGCATTGGTGAACAGACGATGTGATCGCCCTATACGTGCATTCATCTTTATCTGGAGCTTCTTGTGATGATTTCTCGAATGCCATTGTTCACGGTACAAACCTACGATCATGTCCCGAACCTAGTGTGTTGCATCTGCACATAGCTTCTACCCTTCTTCCAGTTGGCTGTGTGCCTGTCAAGCTAGTTTGTGGTACGTATTGTCAGTATGAGTCTCACCTGATTTTTGTCTTTGTGTTTTACGAGTTTGCATCCAATATCATAGACCAATCGTTGAGAAAGGCAGAATCATCCTCAGACATATCTACAGGGTAACCATCAATGTCCATGAACATCTATTGGAGGTATATTCTTCCTCTTCTTAGGCATCACACGTTCCCAGCTACCATCGTCAGTTTCCTCACTGTCGATTGTGCGCTTATTGTTTTTCGAAGTCTGAAGTTGGGGATGCTGAGTCGCTAGAGGTTTCGTGTATTCATACAGTTCCCTATCTGAGTCGGACAGATGAGAATTCCTTAGGATCAAGGAATCCCTCTCAGCAGACCACTTAGCGTGAGTCTTGTTGTGTTGGTCAGAACGGGGCGATTAGCAATGAGACTGACAGATAGATTGAGGGGAAAATCTTTGGGCAGATTCTCAGTCGATCAGTCCTGAATACCCTCTTTGGTTGCACGTTGTGTGCACATTTCGATCATCAGACGACGAGCAGTGCTAGTCTCAATAGCACCTTTATAGATCGTACAGATTGCCACTGGCTCTGAAGTGAGATACTCAAATCGAGGATCCTTATCCTGATCAGGAATCGTCTCCAGAATAATCTCCTTGGTAGTATCGTCCATGAGCATCTCCGCTAGGACGCAGAGCTTACAGATGGCAAATGATTGAATTTTGATGGATGGAGCGCCATCCTGCATTACATGAATCAGCGACAAGAATGAATATGATGATCATGCGAGAACACATATGTAAAGCATCTCTAGATATCATGCGAACCTGGCCTGAACTGATCGTACAACGAGACCGGCATTCTTTTGAGTCGTTGATGACCGACATGTTTAGCTGACAGGCTGAGAAGTTAATCAAGCAGCGTATGAAGAAACTGTATTTGGCGTGAGAGAGAGGAAAAGGGTGATTGTGCCGGCTGGCGCCTTTGGACAACATTAGTCTTGCAATAGAGTAACATACCTACAGGTATTTAGCAGCAAATATGGTCATTTAGTCGTCCCAACATGTAAGGATTCGAGAAGAGTGTTGTCCTAGTGTCAACATTATCTTTTGCTATCGCCACGAAACTGTAGTAAGTAAGCCGTGTTAGTGCTGTGAGAATTGAAAACTCAATGTGGTGGTGGGATGGCTCGTGTAGGAAGTCTCATACACAAGAGAGGTGCAAAACTCTTCACTCAATGCGGGCTTGTTGACTCTTATGCTTTGTGATAACATTTTACACTTGCTATGCCAACGCGTGAACACCTACCACGCCTATCTATCTTGCAATCAGCGAGCAACTCACACACCCCTTATCGAATGTCACGCCCCTACGCCAAACCGTTGCCACTCTATACACCCCTCGCCGCCTCAATAAGACACTCTACCTAAGTAGTGGCGGGTGCAGGTGCAGTAGCAGGGTCAGTGCCGACAGGCGCAGCTGGTGCAGTACCAGCAGTGCCCTCAGTAGGTGCAGGAAGTGCTGAGTTATCAATCGCGTCGTCGCTCTTCTTGGCCCACTTGGGCTCCTTTGCCCACTGGGGATCCCACCATGGGCCCGCATCGCTCAGTTGGCAACCCTTTTCACACTGGCAGCTTCCACCGAACTCCTTGGGTAGGTTCTCTGCCGGGACCTGTGCCAGCAATTCCTTCTGGTATCCGCTGCCGAGAACGTGGATCTTGGCGCTTGTGACGGGGTCGAGGAACTTCTTGACAACGCTGAAGACACCGGAGAAGCCCCAGGGGGCGTTGATGATGTACATCTTGCCCATACGCTCTGGGTAGTAGTTCTGGCCAATCTGCGACACAGCACCCAAGTAACCGTACACAGAGGTAGCCTTGCCGATACCAACACCCTTCAGGTCCATGATTGTGCACGAAGTCTCGAGGAGGTAGCCAGACTTGCGGGAGCAGGCAGGGAGACGGGGGTCGGCCATTTTTTCGTATTCGCAGACAAGGTTCTGGATCATACGGTCTTGGGAGGTGATCTTGTTGAGTGCGGTGAGGTCGACGTTGCCGAGCTGCTCGATGTAGACTGGGCGGCCATCCTGGTATCTACGTCAGAGGTTTTTCTTGGGTGAATCTGGGCCGTATCCTGCGCCCAAGTATAGGCCACATACCTTGTCCGTCTTGTGGTAGTACTGGGGGTAATATTTGAAGACTTCGGGTCGCTCCTTGTAGTCGAAGGTGCGGACCAGCTCATCAACACCGCAGCCAGCGTACTCGGCCCTCCACTTCTCGCAGTCAACGAACCTGGTGATTGTCAGCATGCGTTCTATACACACCCATGTGCTCTTCTTCTGCGAGGTTTACGTACATTTGCTTCGCAAGCTCAACATTGAACTTTCGCGCGCGGAGGAATCGTAGCTGTGAATTGTTTAGCTTGAGATCTTTTCACCGCCTTAGCACCGACGAGCATACCAGGGTCAGAGTGTCGAGGTTCTTGGTGTGGCCAGCCTGCTCCAGCTGGGTCCTCAGCTGGAAGACTTGGGCATCTTGCTCTGGAGTTGTGTGGCCTGGGTGTCCACTTTGGGCGGTGGGAGCAACGGTAGGGTAGTCGTAGTGGTCGTACTTGGGGTCGAGCTTCAGCTCGTTGGTGGCAGCGGCAGCCATCTTGTTCAGAATTTGGGAGAAAAGAGGTCACTCAGAGGTTCTAAAGAGTTGGTGGGTAATTGCGTGTTGCGCGGCCTGAAGGGAAGTTATCGAGGAGCGCGGACGTCCATGTTGACCAAGTGGGTCCAGTTCGCGGCGGTCAAGCGCCCGTCTAGGACCCTTCCCCTCATCATCATTCGGCCTGCTCCTTGACGGCTCTTCCCAGCGAATTGTCGCCGCCGACACTGCCCCATGACGGCATCTCTGGCTCACAGCGACTGCACACGTTTTACTCGCCCATGTTACACCACACATGCATCGTGACCATTTTGAACGGTAAAACCGTAGCCAGACCTGCTATAAAGCAGTCGACAAGGCCTTTTTGAAACACTACCTAATTGATACATTGCAGAAAAGATGAACGCAAGAAGAACCCAGAAGATAGATCAAACAACCCATGCCGGAAAACACCAGCCGCATACAGCCAAACGCTTCGCACACCAAAAAGAGAGTAATGGTCCTTCCATCGTCAGGCTCCCTGGAAACATGTTCCCCACACTGAACAACAAACATGATGTGAGATTCGTGTACTAACCGCTGGCATTGCTCATACCTCCCAAGATGATCAGACCGCGCACCGTCTATCGAGCGATTCACCCGCCGTTGCCAAACCTAAACTTCCATCATGAAGCCCGCAAAGGACGCGGGCCGACCATAGCAACCGAACACCGAGCAAATGACGCCTGGAAAACGACGGAGATTGCTGCACCACAAGCCTATTGACATGCCCAGAGGCCAAACGACGTCGAGTCGCTCAATTCCTTCGTTCCCGACTTGGGCCAAAGTCGACTTCGGATACCTTCTTCGCCTCTTTCCGGTTCTTGACAATGTACTGCGCGTACAAGGCCACGTGGTCACTAGGGAAGTGATAGTTGGGGAAACCCGGTACCCGCTGGAGATAGCCCTTGTCGATCTCACCAAGCAGACCAACCACCTGCAGTGTGTTTGTCGAGTACCAAATGTAGTCCAAAACTCCTTGGAAGTGAGGCACGTAGTTGGTGAACGCCAGCTCGCCGATGGATGCATAGCTGGACTTGAGGCTGAAGGGATGGGATATGCCGTCTCGTGTGAAATTACCATACTTGCGGTTTCCCAGGTCCACGTGAGCATTCGACACATTGCCGTGCGTGATGAGATCGTAGACACCAGACGATGGCATCGAGTTGAAGTCACCGCATAGCAAGACAGGGATGTCGGAGGGATCCGAGTATTCCTTGGAAGGTCCTGGTTCCTGCGTCGGATCGGGCTCTGCTCCTTCTTCACTGTCGCCGTTTGTGAATTGGTACACCACCTTGTTTTTGCAGGCTGGGTGTTTTGTCCATTGAGTTGCAAGTTTCGTGATACCCTCCATCAAAATGGCGACTTGTACAAGCTTGACGTCCTGGAACGCAGGGTTCCAGAAGACGTGCACGTTTCCGACGATGAACCTGGATCCTGTAGCACGGTTTTCAAGGAATGCGACCACTCCAATGTCATCTCGGGGCATGACGCGGTTGAAGATGTCGTGTTCGCCCTTCATGTCTGGACGGTTGATGGCAGTGTTGGCAAAGTCGATGAGCTGCTTGTCCAGCAAGATATACCTAGGCAAGTCAGTATTGGTCTGCAGATGAAGATGTGGACATCGACTTACTTGCTGTTCTTATAAAAGATAGCACACCCATCGACAAGTTTGGCCTCCCTTTCTGCCATGGTGCGTGCTCTTGATTTCGGCCAGAACACTCCTTTGTAGTCGTTGTGTGCCAGCTCTGCTCGGAAGAACTCGTTGAAACTGTCTTGGTCGATTTCTTGCAAACATACTATATCTGCGTCACGCTCGCGCAACTCAGCAAGAATGAGCTCCCTACGGCTCTCCCATGCCAATGCTGAGCTCGGCGTGTATCCATACTGTGATTGTGTGCAGTATTTGTCGCACAGAATATTGTAGCTAAGCGCACTGACAGTCTCTTGGTTCGTATCTTGGATCTCGTCGAGAACGATCCAGTCTCGCTCCGGTGGCGCTTCAGGACCAGGCGCGTTCTCGCGGAAGTGTTTGATAAGTTCCGTGGTGCCTTGTTCCATCATGATCTGTTTCAAGTCGTCCGGAATGGGATTGCCCTCAATACCAAGCATCTCTAGCTGGTATAGTGAGCCCAGTTCGTACGGCAAGTTTTCGATGTGATTGTCAAACAGGAGCAGCTGCTTCAGGTTCACTAGCATGCCAATCTCCGGGGGCAGGTATTGCAGATTGTTCAGGGAGAGATCCAGGTGTGTCAAGTTTCGTAGTTGTCCAATCTTCTGGTGCACATACGTGAGTTTGTTCGAGTTGAGGTAGAGCTTCGTCAGGAAGGTGTAATTGAACAAAGCGGGTGTGATGACTTTGAGGTTCTGGCCGCCAAAGTCAAGAATTGTCCATATGTGTTGGTCCTTGGCATCTTGCGCCGGCTGAGCAGCAGGCCTATTGCGCTCTTCTTTGTCTGCCTCTTTTTGCATCCCATTGCTTGTTCCTGCCACAACGCTCTTACTAACGCTCGGGTGGATCCTGGCATGCGAATGAGCCTGCGTCATTTCACGGGCTGTCTGGTACAGCTTCATCTGCTCTTGCCAGTGCTCGGTTGTCGGCTTGTTGAGTCCGCTGTGGACACTATTGGGTGTACCGTTCTGGAGATGCCCCGGCGTAAAGTGGGGCTGAACATTGGACATGCCCCCACTCGAGATGTTGTGCTGGTGGTTGAACTGGCTGACATGGTTGTTTCCCGTGATGTCATGGTGCTGCTGGTGATGTTGGTGCTGATGTTGGTTGTGCTGGTTGTGTTGGAAAGGCTTCCCCAAATTCATCTGCTGCATGAAATTCTGGTGCCCAGCTCGCCCGTTCATCATAACGTTTTGGCCCTGGTGCCCATGGGCGTTGTTGAACATGCCGAACTGTTGCGGAGAAGACTGGCGCCCAGGGGATCGCGAAGGTGAGGGGGTGTCGGGGTTGGGGAAAGGTATGCGGGCGCTAGATGTGGGTGACCGCACTCGGCTGGGGAGGTTGCGTATATTCTGTGCGTGTTGTGGATAGAAGGTATTGCCGGTTCCCCTGGGGTAGACCGAGTACTCGGCCATCTAAGGGAATCGCGGCGGAGGGAGGACGGATTCCCGCAGGCGGCTTTGCGTATGGAGGGTGAAAGCCGCGGGTTTTCAAGGCGAGCGAGGGCGTCAGGTGGGAGGAAGGGTTCGGGCACGCGATCTTCTTCGTTTTAACATGGGCGCCCGGCTGACTCTCCGACATGAGCACGCGCTAACAGACGCGGCACCCGTATACCATGTATCGACAGCCCGGCGGGTCGCGAGTGAGGGAGATGTTGGAGCGGGGACTCGACAGCGAGCGAGGGGGGCGGCTTCTGGGGGGTCGGGGGCGTGTTGGTAATAAAGGCCTCGGGCAAAGGGCTCGTATTGATATCCCGGCGGGCTTGTACTGTTCTGGAGCTGTCAGTTGGTGTAGCGGGGAATCGAAGAGGTTGGACGTGGAGCTTGGAGAGGGCGGCAGAAGCGTGTGGAAGCGGCGCACGTACGGCAGCTGAGGATGTCAAAGGGCGCGCAGGAGGGCAATCAGTCTCAATTGTACCAGACAGACTGTGGGCGGGTCCAACTGCAGCGCTGTGAAGAATAGAGAGCGTAGTGATGCGATACGTGAAGCCCAGTCGAACCTTGCCCGATCCATGGGGAGCGCCGCTTAGCGGGGCACGTGACATGGAAGCGTCGATCCACAGCCATGAAACTGCCCATCTGTTCACTCGCGACCTGGCCTGGATCGAGCGCGCTGGAAGGGTAACCATATGGTATACATTGCAGCCTTGAAACAAGTGGCAGCATTCGTCATGCGTAAATACACATTGATTACATGAATGCGACTCCAGCAACGACGCATTCCTATGCACTTTTAGCTTGTACCTATTTGCTACCACGCATCAGGTTATGTATTAACAGTCAGCTCACATAGTCCATGATTGTTGGTGACACCGAGAACCCCTCCCCTGTGGTCCTCGTATCCGTCGTGCACTGCATACACCGTGAGCTTGTTACTGCTAGACTCGGGCTTTCCCCACGCTGGAATATCACCTGCAGGACAGGTTCGGCTGATGCCGCGCTCCTGCAGACGAGCGCCACATCACCAAAAGCTGCTCCTTCGCGGCGTCGCTCGCACAGCCTAGCCATGTTTATTGCCATGGAGAACCTGGGGATTCACACAGCCGCAGCTGCAGTCGTTTGATTGGAGATGTCTCCTCGGCTGGCCTGGCAGCTCCTCACCTGAGCTGCCTCCCACAACCGGAGCTGTGCCGAAGCTACTACATTCACACATACACGGCATGCTGGCTCCATTCTCTGATCTGATCTCTCTCCAGTCGAGCACTGTTCCCGCCATCGCGTCCGCTCCGCCGTTCCGCTCATTAATTGCTGACTCGCCTACACGTGCTTATCAGACGACTAAAGACCGGCCCAATATCGCGCTCCCGCTAAAACAGTGGGGCAAGGGTTGGAGTAGGCTGGATAACCTCGAGCACGCTTCCAGATCGTCTCCATGGGTGATTGGCAGTTGGCAAGAACACACTGTTGGCGCTCTACAGGAGAACCTTTGTTGCTAATTTGAACCACAGTATCGCTACTACGGCTCCAACGCCGCCAGCAGCCCGCCCATACGCCCCAAGACGGTCGAAGCAAAGCAATGGGATCTGACCACCACAGACGCTCTCGGTAGAACCATATCCGCCTCCTCAGCTTCTGCCTCCTCCGGCCCACGCCTCCACCCAAACAACAACATGGATATAACACGGGGCTCCATGTCGAGCAGCTCCACCCAAAGCATCAGAGACGACCCTGGCGTCCCCTCCACCGAACCTTTCATATTGCGCCACGGCCGCCGCTACATTCGAAGCGCTCAGGGCTATCCACTCCCATGCGACCTGCCCGAGCTCCACCGCCAGAACCTACAAACCCTCCTTGCGACAGCTGTCTTCGGCAAGGCCTTGGGCTCGACCCCATCATACCCCCCGAGAAAAGTGTTGGAGATTGCATGTGGCTCGGGATACTGGTCCGCCGTGTGTCATGAATATCTGAGTAGTATGTATTCCGAAGACCAGGTAGTTGCGGATTGCGCCCTCTTCCGGGCGCCACGCACAACTTGCACAGTTATCGTTCAGAGCTGACCGTAAGCAGACCTAGGCCACGAAGATGTCTCCTTCACCGGTCTCGATATCGTCAACCTCGCGGGGGACTTACAGCGCCAGGGCATCGATTGGAAGTTTGTGCAGCATGATCTGCGCAAGTTGCCCATGCCATTCGACGATGAGGAATTCGACATCGTCGTCATGAAGGACTTGAGTATGGTGATACCCTTGGGAGTACCGTCGCAGAGAATACTCGATGAATGTACGCGGGTCCTGAAGTCCAAGGGCACGTTGGAGATATGGGAGACGGACCACATTATCCGATCGATCCAGCCACATCCTCCTCCTCCGCCAGGCAAAGACCCTGAAGAGTACGCTGTCGCCGAGTCGACCGGCACGTTCCTGATTTCGCATACAACGCCATTTACCGATGTGCAGAACAAGTACCTCCAAGACTCCAACTCTTGGATTCAAGAAGCGCTGGACCGGCGCAAGCTCTCGCCAACCCCTTGTTCCCGTATAGCGCAGATCATACTCCAGGAGACGGATACTTTGTGCGACATGAATAGCCGTAGGGTAGCAATCCCTCTCGGTGAACCACGGTGGGAGCGCGAGGCTGCTGGCGAGACGATGAAGCGGCGTGGAAGCGAGGCTGGAAAGCTCAAGAAGGGAAGCGTGATGCTGGAGAGCTCCATTCTGACCAAGGAACAAGCGGCTCTGAGACACACCGCATTGCTTGTCGTCATACAATTGATCGAGAGTCTGGAGCCTCTACTCAAAGAAGTTAGCGGAAAGAACCAGGAGGAATGGCAGCGTTATTGGAACTCGATGATCAACGATCTGCTTGAGCAGAAGGGTGCCTCGAGTGGTGAGTGTCTGGAAGTAGGCATCTGGTGGTGCAAGAAGGTGTAAAGTTCGAAGAGCGGGCGTACCTTGTCTTTTTGTGATATCCCGGTCTTCGCAAGGCCACACCGTCGGCAAAGCGTTAGGTATTCTTTTTGGAGTGTTCAGGCGAGTTTGTCGTAGCGCTGGCGCAAGGTGCGATAACGCTTCAGATAGTATCTGAATCTAGTTAGGGAAAGCTTTCAATCGTATTTGTTGAGTTATTTGGACATACAGTGCTTCAATTTCTAGACCACAATGGTTAGTTTTGTCCTAGTCAGATTCGTTTCAGACGAGCTTACCTTTCTTCACGTATTCCGCTCTCTCAATACCCTGCTTAATTTTGGCTTCATCGGTCAAATTCTTTTGGCTTGCAAACGCCTTGTGTAGGCGTGTTCTGAAGTAATCGTATCCCTGAGGATATTCACGGCCCATGAAAAGCAAGTCTACATGTCATTAGTCCATCTGCATAATCGGGAAGAGCCTCGGTCGAGCACTTCTGCGCACCCTTGTATATCCGAATGACCTGGTGGCGAAGCGCGGGATTCGGGGAAGCCATGTTCGAGGTTGTAGACAGATGAATATACGGAAATAGAAAACACTGATTTTGAAGGCTGTCAGATGTCAATTACGTGTCTTTGAGTTGGAATGCGGAGTAATTGTAGCAAACGCTCGGGCCCGCATCCCTGACGTATGTTGCGGCTAGCGAACTTGAGGATGAAGATAGCTGGCCGTGGAGGAAGCGGATCCTCGGCTTGTCTTCTCCGTCCGCATCTTCGGAAAGAAACGCCCTAGCTCTCAAGGGCTTGCTACAACGGTTTGTGAATACCACCGCATTTGATCTCTCATTGGCCTGTAAATTTGGCAATCATGAGTGCTGTGCGACCGTTGGGGCGCTCAGCGCTTTTTCGTTCTAGACCCACGTGGCTGGTTGTTCCGGTTGTACAGAGAGTTCCTTATGTGCGGTATCAGTCTACTTCGAGCGGTACGTGGTTTTAAATTCATCGTTTCTAGCAGTAAGACTGCATCATTCACATCTGATCATGACATGTACAATTTGGCCAAAAGGAGAAGGAAATGGATCACGAAGCATTACCAACCAAGTAATCATGCCGTATGCTCAAAATTCACACACGAGCTCATATTTACCATCACAAGAGCGAATAGAGACAATTTGAGCCTTAGCATTCCGGCGGCTAACTAGAAGACTGATGTAGAAGCACCAGCCACTGCAGCTCTCAGCCCAAGATGGCTATCCGACGTCCGAACACGCATCGGGAAATGCATCAATTTCGGAATGAACCCCGCACAGATTGAAGAAGCTGGGTCGATATTACAAGAGACTGCGGTAGACTGTAAGATCACACTCGTATGTCCTGATCGCCTGAATATTAGCTGAACTTGTAATCTGTAGGGAGAGAACTTGTAGCTGGAAGCGAAGGCTTCCTCACAGGCAAGCAATGGCGAGGTCTCTACCGACAAGAGGTGGTATGGGGAGAAATGGTTGGAGTACCACCCAGCAAACTTGTGTACACCGGCTAACATAAGTCCCGACTGTGTGTAGGACAGCATGGTAAGACGTCCGGGGAAAGATTCAGTTTGACCCATACTAATAGATGTGAAGGGTACTTATTTCTATACCTGAGTCTCAGTTGCACAGCTCTAATATGAGATAGGTCACGTTAACAATGTTATGTACAACCGGTATGCGGAATCGGCTAGAGTCAACTGGACACTGAACTTCGCCGCAATGGATCCACAGCATAAAGCTGAATGGATGGAGCTCATGACCCCAAAGAGCGTCGGCTTGATCTTGAGAAGCATTAAGACGGACTACAAGTTTGTGAGTACCGAACGCTAGGAACTCCGGTTGCTCAGCTTTCAAAACATCCGCTAAGAAGATTTAGCCTATGAAATGGCCTGATAGGTATGATCTCCAACGATGCATAGTGAGCAACGATTGACGGATTAACTATCAGGATTACCGTACTTCACAAGCTTCGGGACAACCCGTCTGAAAACAGTGACCACTTCATCTTGGACGTAATGATCCTTTCAGAAGCACAGCGTCGTCCAGCAGCACGTTGTGTCGAAGACATCGTTACATACGACTACCGCACAGCTAAGAAGTCGCCTTTGCCACCTTTCATGATCAAGAAGTTACAAGAGACATTCAAGTTACAGGAAGAAGCCAAAGAGAAGAACAGCAACAGAGTCAGAGTCCTGTTGGACAGAGTTAGGGAGCTAGAGAAGAGCAGCTGGGATAGACCGGATGCTAAGGAAGACTTTGGTAGCGCGAATCAGTAGAACATGGATATACTTGCAAGAAAACACGATATCAGACCCTGAATGTCTATACGTCGGTCTATACTTCGGATTCGTGAAATTGTGTCCTGATGTCCTGTTTCCCCTGGCCCGTGAAAGTACTTGCCTCGGTACTGCGAAGCTGTCGGCAACGCTAATCGATGACAATACAAGTCGTAGAGTAGGATTGACTAGCGGCGTTACATAGGTATCGTCATATCTATCATCATCACACATTGATACCCCTGCAGCTGCATGGGCGGAAAACACGCGGGGTTGCTCGCGTGTCCGAATTCGGCGTATGGCAGTCGGATACAAGCGTATCTCTGCAAGCGATATGGAAAAAAGATAAACTACGAACGTATCCACAACATGGCGTGATTCTCACCACAGTGATGTACACTTTGATGGGATGTTCTAATTACCTATTGCAGAGATCTGCAAGCCCGTTGCGCGCGTGATGTTCCCGCTTGCCTCATTTGCAAGTCTAATGGGCTGCGATTGGCGTGGTTGGTTAAGCTTCACGCCGGCACAATGCAGAGGGCGGAAGAGGGTCATGGATGTGCAGGCGGAAGGCTTGCGCGCTATGCTCGCCTCGAGGGAACACAGATTGATGAAAATGCTCCGACCACTCTGAGATGCCGACAAAGACCCGGGTCAGCATACTCGAGGGCATGTGGCGCAATGAGTGGCATGAGCTTTTCAGACTTTGTGTGCACTCGAGATGTAGCAATGAGTATCTAGGCAGAAGCGCTCTATACGCGTATGGAATATGGTCGTGACGGCGACGTGAGTAATAGCGTCGGCGGGGTTTGCCCGCTGCAGAGACTTCAGGCCATGCGGTGAACAGACAAAGCGCGCCTTTATTCGCTCCTGGAGCTTGCTATGGCTCAGGGGGGTCCTGGCGCACGCAAATGAGCAGGTAAGCTAAAGAAGCCGGCGCAGGCTAATTGGCTGCCCCAGAAGATGTGTTTGTCTGGCGGGCGATGCAGCTGTGCGATATGGAAAAGAAAGCAGGCGGAGAATTTATGTAGACGAAGGCGAGATGAGGTGGGAGAGAGGCGAAATGGCAGCCCGAGAGGGACAGGCCGGTCTTCGCTTCCCAGGTAAACAGCATTCACGGCTTCCTGGTCGTGGTCAAGATCGGCATCGTGAACTGGAATCGGACACAGTTCGGCTGATCTGCGTGGCAGCAGCATCAAGATATGCTGGCCGCATGGTTGCCATGAAGCGGTAGAAGCCGGGCACATGGAATTTTGCCGCCGGTGTGGTGCGTCGAGAGAGAGGATGTGGTGTGCATGTGAAGCGGGCGGGCGTGGTGAAACCACGGTTCGGGCATCTCAGAAGACGTGGAGCCTCGGAAGAGACAGGCAAATCAAGCGGCAGGTGCATCGTGGCTTGTCAGTGCTCTGATCGTGCCGTGGCCCACTCCCTCGAGGCTTGTGGACGGGTTTTCTTGGTTGACTTTGCATTTGACGTTTAGCACTTGCAAGTCTTGGCACCAGTCCATCCGGCGGAAGGCACGACTGAGCAGGCGCAGGGCACCTTCCTCGTTCCCCTACTACATCTCGCCCAGCAGCACACGACACCCTCACATACCCCCCACCGAGCAGCGGCTCAACATCTTCCAGTCCTGGCTCGTCCTGTGCAGCAGTCGAGTCGCGCCAGGGAGAGGTTTGCCCGCTTGCACCCGCACCGCCGTCTATGGTAGCGAAGTCGAAGAGGAACGCGGCGCACGACAAGCGACACGAGAATGGCCTTGCGGCCCCCGGCAGGAAGATCACCAAGCAGAAGAGCAATCCGCAGCTCAATGGCCACGCCAACGGCAAGACTCACGAGCCCACGCCGCCGGTCCCCAGCCATGTAGACACGCCCGAGATGACGCAGCCGGCCAGCGCTCACGATCCAGTACCGGGGTCGAGTGCCCACGTCAACACCACCATGGCCGCTGCACCTTCTGCCCGCCGCGGGGAGCGCACGCGCGCAGCTTCAGATGCCTCGCTAGACAATCCCGTCGAGGCCTGTCGCTCGTACGACAATGGCTCCAACGGGCCCTTTGATCCCATGCCCTCAGCTCTTCGCCGCGCCGACACAAACACCTCCAAGACGGCCTCCATGTCCATGGCTAGCATGCTCTCGGTGCCCGCCACCATTCTCACGTCCTGTCCTCTGCGGGACGTTCTCGCCATCCTCATCATCCTCCTCCAACTTCCCCCCACCGTCCTCACCGTCGTACAGTTCTTGTTCGCAACGCTTACTTTTGTCCCGCCCCAGGCCGGGACCCCCCTCTCCGCCCTCTCTGCCTTCCCCTCCTTCACCGACATCTTTCAGGGCTCCGGCGGCACGCCCTCGCTCTTCACCACAATCATTGCCGATACTGTCATATTGCTGATATGGCTGCTGCTGTGGGTGCCTGCGCAGAATTTCTTCCTGGATCTTGCACAGGCCGTCATTGCAATAGCTCTCGGAGGTGCCGCTGCCGGGAAGAAGGGCACGACGAATAGCATTGTCATATGCTTCGTCATTATTCTTTCAAGCCACGTCTTCAGATTCAGGCCTCTCCGGCAACACATCGTCCACTTCCTTTGGACGGGGCTCGCCCGGGGAGGCCTTGAATTCTTGACGAGCCCGCCGAGTACGCCAACATATTTGGAAAGCTTCTCGACCCCCCACGGATGGCCCCGCAGCCTCCTGGGTATTCATATTTTGGCCCAAGGCGTCGTTCGTATCATCCGACGCTCTCTTTCTCGAAGAGAACATGCAACCTTGCCCACTGGTAAGAAGACAGATCCTGAGTCTGGGACATTACAACGTTCCAATTCGACCAACCTCGACCCCACCGCCGACGTGCCCAATTCTTCGAGTACCGATGGCCGCCCACCGGGACCATCACCCGCAGTTCTCAAGGATAAAGCGAGCACGGGTAGAAGGAAGAGGAAGCAAGCTACTCATGTTCGCAGTCAGCAGCCGTTCTGGGCTGCACTTGCCAGTACAAAAGTTACAGTTTTAAAAGAGATGGAAAGTAGCCGGGCGGCCAACGATGCCGACGAGGCTAATGCAAAAGACGCAAATCACATTGGAAACGCTGTTTGGAGATCGGAGGACGATCGTGTTTGGATTTCAGAAGTCGGCTTTTCCGACATTTCATTTCGTGTTAGTTTATCTGGTGGAGCTGGCCTTCAAGAGCAGGATGAGGAAGACTCTAGTGTCGGATCTGGGATAGACAAGTCAAAGCCATTCTACATCCGTGTCAACGGTGCTGATTGGAGTTCAACCCGCATCCGACAAAGCGAGCCGATAGGTTTCCAGGGACAAGAGGGAACGGGCTACTGGGTTGGAGAGATATTTGGTCTAACGGCTCTCTCAAACTACTACTGCGAGTTTGTTCGGACCAACGACAACGAAGTATTCTACTCAGCGAGCCTTATTACCTCGGCCAGTCCAGTGACCGAACTTGGTAAGTCCGTCCATTCTAGTAGCCTTTCCATGCTAATGCGTACTCCAGCCTCAGCTTCTATCGCCTCTCCGCCAGCGCATCAGACCCTACGACCTTCTTCGCCGACGACAACCTTGAAGAATTCGATTGCCGCGGCCGACCAGCAACTGCAGGAGCAGCGCAACCGCCTGAAGCGAAACAAAAAGGACCACAAAACAGCCATTACCAACATCAAGAAAGAGGTGGACACGCTGGGCAACCGCCTTGCCAACGCCGGAGGTAGTGACGAGCGCCAACGCCAGCGCGTCCTTCAATTCACGCAGAACATCCGCCAGGCTGAAGACGCGGCCGCCGAGTTCGCTGTTCAAGCAGAAAACCTGGGAAGCATTCCCGAGGATGAGGCTAAAGAGGCGGCAGCCAAGAAGGCAGAGTGGAAGAAGGAGCGTAACAACAAAAACACCGTTGCTAGCGAATTCGACAAGACCAAGGAGGAGATTGAGCGACAAGTGCAAAGTGTGGAGTCCGATATCTCTACTGCCTTCCAGAAGCGGGAGCGTCTTCAGCAGCGTCAAACCAGGCTCAACGAGCAGCACGACCGTCTCGTAACCGCCAACGCAGAGGGCTTTACTGCGAAGCAACGAAGAGAACAGGAGCGCACGGCATTGCGAGCACAGCGCGCTGAAGTTGAGCACCAGTATCGGAGTAACATTAACGGCTACGAAAGACGCACTGAAGAGCAGAATGTCGCCACCAGTCAAATTTTGGTGACCGTCCAGCAGTACGAAGAGCTTCTCCTTCAGCAAGCGCACCAGCATATGTCCGTTCCTACCACTCCTGAAGGCAATCTCCCAGGCACGACCATGTCTCCCTATAGCAACGGTCTCTCCAACTTCACATTCCCCTCCATGCACTCGCACATGAACGGCACTCCTGGTTCTATGCGTGGCGGTCGCGGTCGATCTTCATCAATGCTCTCCAACGTCTCTGGATTCACCGATGCTTTCGACGAGCCCACAGCTTCAGGTACATATATTCTCGGCAATCCCTTCAGTACTCCGGGTCCAGTCAACGGTCGCAACCGCAGTCACGGCAGCGGCAGTCTGAGCTCAGGCACTTCCAGCCAGAGTTCGAGCCAACGAGATCCGTTAAGTCCTGTTCAAAGTATCAAGCCGATGATGGTACGCAGCACCACGAGCGGTAGTGGCAATGGTCTGATGAGTCCGATTGGCACGGGCAGATGAAAACGTACACGATTTGCTCTTTACGTATCTTTAGGTAGCTTTCCAATGTGATACTCGCGTTCTTTTGGTGTTCTCAACTTAATTTTTGCTTTCTTCCAACTGAATTGATACCCGTGAACTGATCTTTAACTTGGGGAACATCTGCCTATCGAAGATCTGATACGAGAAGCTTCTATATTTCTTCTGTGATAGACTCCAATCGCGGGCTCCAGCCGCCCTTGCCGGTGTCCTCCAATTCGTCGCTCTCATCGTCTCTCTTACCGTCTTCGTTGTCCTGTTCGATACTGTCCTGATCTTCCTCGTAGTCCTCTTCATTCTCGCATTCCTTTAGCTCTACTTCGCCCACTCCCGGAACAACATTGGGAATTCTCCCATGTGTTGTCGTCCAATTACCCGTCTGCATACAAACACCTATTTTCACCATGTCATCAGCTAACCAGTATGGCAGTGTTTTTCTCCCCATGTCCTCTGGAATACTCGAAGCTTACGAACAACAAAAGACTAAGAAGAATAGAGGTGGAAAGACATACCAATAACTCCACCCATCCCCCTCCTCAAATCTGCCAACAAACGATTTGCCCCAGTGATTATATCAGTTTGGTTCTCCATATGGCTGATTAGTGTCCAAGATGTGAAGGGTGATGCTGGAGGCCCTGTGTAGAGGATTATTGCTACACCGAAACTTAGCTGTGATGGTTGCTCTTCGACATTGTCATTGTCGTAAGGCCTGCTGTAAGAAACCACATCGTAGACCTTTGATGCATCTTCGGAACGTGTACTGTAGAGTGGGGTGGAAAGACTAGTGATTTGGGATTTCAGCGCTGAGAAAAGTTCCTGTTCGCGAAGCTGATCGGCGTACGCTGACATTGTTGATTTGTTGAATTGCAGGCTTGCTTTGGTTGCTTTGCAATGACTGGGAAGAGTTATATGCCTAAGGCTAGAAAGTGGATTTGGGTTTGGGGCGTTTGAAAAGTGCGAATGATCAGAGCGGAGGTGAATGTGAAGGTACGCATGATAACACACAAACGTGTAGTTTCAAAATCACTTTGACCACAGACCAGTTCAACATATGGGAACGCCCATCCATAAACTCGTTTGTTCATACCTCTGGCTAGAAGGATACAATACACGCAAAATCACCCGACCTAGCCAGTGAGGGAAAATGAAACAAATACCAATAGCTGCTGAAGATCATGATCTAGCTAAGCCTCATCATATGTCCTCACTATAGAAAGTAGAGAGGCGGGGCATTGCTTCTCTTTCCAAGAACGGTTTTGCGACCAACCTTGACCTTGTCATGTACCTTATGGCAGCGCTTACTCAAGCAGAAAGCGAGATCGCGAAAGAGATCGGGATGTCCAGTATCGAGGATACTTTCAAGCGATCGTTGTTGGCCGTAGCGGAATAATGATTGTACAAATATGGCACGAGCAGGGTCGTGTTCTGGTGTCCCACTGTAAATGATTTGTGCTGCTGCAACGGGAAACGGCCTTTCCCATGAGAAAATCTTAAAGGCTTCTAACAAGATGTTTTTGGTAGACTCGTCTATTATCTTTTCCACGAACACGTATAGCTCAGCTAAGAGAATACACTCTTGCTCAGAGAGCTCGCTGTTTCGTTTTATTTCGGTGGACAACAGGTCGGGACGATAGAGTAGCTGAACGTAAAGCGCAAAGACTTTGGAATCGTCCCCTGGCATGGATATTCGGCGCTCAAAGCCTTCTTTGAAACGATTGGGTTTTAGGGCGTTGTTGAAGAATGCAGAATGGTCTTTGAGCAGACCTTCGTGGACGCTGAAGTCTTTTGTGTTCCCCACCTCAGAACCGACAGACACCGTGACGACTGGGGTATCTAGGAAGCTATTACATGTTAGCTTTTAGTAAGTTCATAAGAAGGAATAATGGGCTAACCTAGTGGCGGCATCAAGTGCTGTGCGGAAGCCGTTTGAGTCCATGTCGGATTTGGGAAGAGCTGAGTCGAAAGATGGAGTTGTGGAGGTTCGGCCAGATTAATGTAGAGGACAGAATTCTGTTGCTTCTAAATCTTCAAGCCCATAGTGTGAACAATAGGGTTAGGCTTGACTTTGTCAATTCACACTGACGGTGCCCTATTTCCCTTCTGGTGAGTCGTGACGGAAGCAAAGTCTTGCGTTAGCAGCTTGCAAAAGGAGATCGACACGCACTGTAAGATTAGTAGGTGGTCGTCCTAAATGAGGAGAAGCGTTAGGAGAAGATAGAGAGAATGAAGCATCTGAAACCTCAATTTTGATGACAGGTTGAAGGAGAGATATTGGTAGGAGGTCGGGTATTGTACTTGTTGCTAATTCTGGAGCAAGGGGTATGTCTATATGTAGCGCCCTTGTGGATCCAGCTTATCCATGAACTCCATGGACTTTTCGTACATGGTGAAGACGATGCCGCCACTGAGGATAAGTCGACCCAATCTTGGAAGCGCTCCCGACCAGAAGGTGAGGAGACCCTCATCCCTGAAAATCTTTGCCGCACAGTCGAAGCTGTTCTTGTAGGCGCTCCGTGCCTCTATTGATTGCATGCGTGTCTTGACTGTGTCAATAGGCATCGTCGTGTAAACAGTGATTATGCCAGCCAGGCCTCCGAGTCCGAATGTGCTGACGGCGCCGAGCTTCTCGCCTGGTTTGACGTATGACTGTGCTAGTTGCTTGAGCGATGTGTAACTCGAGAAACGAACAGCTGAGTTGGCGGCTTGACGTGCTGTGGTTGGGAGGAAACCCTGGAAGAAACCACGGATACCCTTTTCTTGTGCGATTATCCTTGATCCATGTAAGAAGCCTCGCATGCGTGGGTTTGCCGACTTGCGGTCGTCGATACTAGGCGGATGAGTGAGTAACGGCACATGCATGCGTCCAATTTCACCTACAGTTGCGTCTTTATGCTCTCAAATGGTGTGACAGCCAGCAGTGACTCTGTAGCTCCTGCACCGAATCCAGCTATTACTGTCGCTGGACCGGAGACTTTGCCTTCGGCGTCCGCCAGCATGTTCTTGTACATGTCGAATGCGACAAATCCTACACGACCTGTCAGACGGTCGCTTTTCCGTGTTGATTCTGTTCCACATACTTATGCCAGCCTTCAACGAGTTGCCAATGATCAAGGTTGTGCATCCAGCATACCACTGCTTGCCGAACGGCGGCCATGGCAGCTTCTTTCCGTCTGGCAATCTTCGGTTGAGTTGCGATCGTGTTTTCGCGACTATGCTTGGGTCAGGCTCGGTGTCGTTGTACAAGTAGATGTTATTCAGTGCCTACACTCAGCAGGGTATGTGATTGCTGGCGTGGAGTCAGTACTTAGTATACGCCATGACGGGGGAGCAAGCGTTACAGATTTCCACGGCTCCTGCACTTGCACCAGCCAGGATTGAGCGCATTGCGCTTGCCTTTTTCTTCTCTGTCGGTGCGGCCGCCATGTTGACCTGGCTCAAGTGTGTTTAGGTGATGACAAGAATGGGTTTGCGCGCGCTGCAATGACGGAAAGTTTTGGCGTATCTACGTCGCGTGCGGCAGTAGCGATTCAGAATAATGACGTAGTAGTAAATTCACACTGAAACCCCAGGTAGCACACTCAGAGAACAATGCGATTGTCAATTGGTAGAAAGTCTAACGCGCCAGTATATACTTGATTTCCTAGAGACGGCAAAATATTAAAGCTACCAGGCCGAGGACGGAGGTGAGCAATCGGGCCCGCATTTCGGCGCCAAGCATCCCGCCTGACATCAGCCCGCTTGAGCTTGGGCCATCGAAAAGTCCACGCCTTCGATAGCCATCTATCGCATTGCCATCGTACTGGAATTTGTCGTCGCTCAGTACCCCAAATCCATATACCCTTTTTATTCACGATGATGTCCCTAAGGAACCTCGCCCGCAGCGCCCCGCGGTCTGCTGCTCGTTTCTCCACCAAAGCCGTTCGCCCGCAATCGTCACTGCGACAGGCTTTCCAGCCAGCAGCATGGGCTGCTCCAATTCCTCGTCTCACAGCATCTTTCTCCATGTCGGCAGCAAGGAGAGAGGACTCTGGTAGTATGCATTGAGTAAATTACAATTGGATGTATATAACTAACATGAATCAGTCAATGAGGAACTCGTCGCGAAGCTTCAGAGCGAGATCTCCATGGAAGAGGGCATGAAGGAGGACGAGGACCTCTCTCACAACATCAAGGAGTACCTTGAGAACAGCCCCTTTGAGGTAAATACTTGCGTCATTTTGGTTTTGCTGGCTCAATGCTGACAACTACAAGATTGAGGACAAAGCCGGCAACCAGGAAGTAGTCCTTACCCGCACATTCAACGACGAGAAGATCCGAATCACCTTCACCACCGCCGACCTCAACAGCAACCTGCCCGGCGAGGACATGGCCGAAGACAGCGCCATGTATGACGACGCCGACATGGACGTACAGTCTGGTGGCGCCAACACCAAGGGTGCCATCAACCAGGGCAGGACACAGGATGGAAACATTCGCGTAGCCCCCGAGGACCGCATTGCTCCCGCCGACCGTGAGGAGCTCGAGGACGACTACGAGAATGATGGCGAACAGCAGGGCTTCCCTGCTCATGCCAGCATCCGCATCGAGCGTCCCGGAAAGGGTGCTCTTGCCATTGAGGCTACCGCTCAGGACGGTGACTTCCTCATCGAGGACCTCTACTACTTCCCGTCCGCTGACCTAGCCGACCCTGCCACCGCTGAGAAGGACTGGTCAAGACGCGCTCTCTACACTGTATGTGGAAACCTTGCATATAATATACAACACTTCTAACTTGCAGCAGGGCCCTCCTTTCAGCAACCTCGACGAGGACCTCCAGATCCTCCTTGAGAAGTACCTTGAGGAGCGTGGCATCAACACCCGCCTCGCATTGTTCATCCCCGACTACATTGACCACAAGGAGCAGAAGGAGTACATCAAGTGGCTCAACAACGTCAAGAACTTTGTCGCATAGGTGCATAATTTTCAAAAGCTCTCTTGTATGAACCTGTAACGTACCTCAACCTTTGAGCGATCTGGGGGCGTTTGCAGGAGTGTAAAATAGTTGGTGAGATTTCTCTCCCTAAACCGTTCTCGGCCGTATGTAGTACCGTCTTGCAGGCAGTCTACAGAACGCGAGACCAACGAACAGAGTACTCAGTGCTCCAGGTTGATCATCTCGAACGGTCCTTACCAGTTCCACGATTCCAGCCATGTAGTTGCACGCTACGAGAACCACGACCCAGATATTATCAAAATATTAAATAGACGCATAACGCGCTTTTCCACTCCAACATTACAAGGACTTTCTTCCTGTTCTCTCGCTCATTGTACGATGTTGTTTGTCTTGCTCGATTTCAAAGCATCTTGCTGAGACAACAAAGACCTGCTTGTGGCGTGGCGTTTGCTGTTATAGACAACAACAACAAAGCCGATTTTCGTCATCTGCGCGCGCCCACAACGTGATTGTTTGCTGAACGAAATCCTATACCGAGGTTTGTTCGTTGTCCACTGCTAAGTTTTACGGATATACTCAAGGATACGTTTTGAAACAACATTCCTTTACTCAATGATAGCCTGCATGCGCTGACTGAACCTCCGCCTTCAAAGCTCGAAGCTACAGTCTCCAGGCCAAGTTTACCTAAAGGCTCTCCATCTTCATCTGAATATTGGTTTACATTAATCAGCGCACTGTATAGGCCGCAGATAGCAAAATCACAGGGCCTTGGCTTGTAGAATCCGGTCAGAAAACATGATGCGCAAAGTTGTACCACGCAGCGTTGGTGTTGACACAGATCGTGGTTTCTTACCAAATCTCCCATCACCATATACATTTACAGGTGCACGATCTGAGCAGACAAGGTACGTTAAACATGAAAGTGAGCCAAATCATCAGCCAGAATGGTTGCATAATAGCTCACGTTTTATCCCGCCCGACCTCGACGTACGCCGGAAAAGCATACAAACTCATGTCTGACAGGACAAAGACCTCCGACTTCACAACGACCAGCACAATTCTAGTTGGCTCCGATCTCACACCCTTCCAAATTCACACTAGCCTCCTTACATCGAAATCCTCCTACTTCCGCGCCGCACTCAACGGCCCGTTGGTATTCATAGAATCAGAAACCAACAGTATAACACTTGACGATGTCTCCGTTGAGCACTTCCAAATCCTCGTCACCTGGCTCTACACCTCCATTCTATCCACGCCTTTCAAAGACGAAAAACCAGCATACTATACTCTCCTCCATGTCTACGCTCTGGCCGATCGACTAGCTCTAGAAGGCGCCAGGAATGCTGTCGTGGACGTGATTAGCGATCTAGCTGATGAGACGAATAGCGTTCTGACGCCTTGTGATACTCGTATTCTGTACGAAGAAATTCGTGATTCGTCACCTTTACGCACCCTCGTTCTCGATCTCTTCGCGTTCAAGAAAACAGATCGATTGATAGACTCGCATGGGGATTGGTGGCACGAAGACTTTCTTCGCGATCTGACTGTGCATTTGAAGAGGCCATGTGCGCAGGCTATGCAGAGGCATCGGTTGCGGATGTGGTGCCCGGTATCGTGGCATACCACTCGTGCTTGCGACTATTGTGGGATTGTGCTGCCACCTAGGTTTGGGGCGGTGGCTTGTGAAGACTGTTGTGTAGCGTTTTGTACACGGTGTGTGGAGGGGAGTGTTGCAATGGCAAGGTGGGAGGATGGGAGAGGGAGACTTGAGGTTTTAGAGGAGCAGGAAGATATTGCAGGTGGTGTAACCGGGGAGGTAAAGAGATGGGAGGCATGTAAGCCGTGGAGGGGAGCAAGGTGTGCGCTTTATCATGAGCATGCTCAGACAGAGAGATGCGCAGATGTCTTTCTGGGGAGATGAGGGATTGTGACGGAAGGGTTCTTATTAGAAATTATTATGGTGTAGTACCGCACTTCTTTGATCGGATATGCTCCGTGGCACCGGCTTCCCTGAATTTTACATGCCAAAGATGTGCATGAACATAAACTTTTCGAACTCCAAAGAAGTCTGGACTGTAAAAGGTCTGCATTCTTCTCTGAACGGCCGTTGAATGCTCATAACAGAAGGCACTCTACTTGCCACCTTGATTGAGCCGTGTCGATCGACGCCGAGTCGTCGCCCCAGCGCTCTCCATGTAGCTGCCGGCCTGCACAGTCTCTATCCTAGGAGAGGGCTTGATTGATGCGGCCGTTGGCTTCCTAATACCTTTCTTGACTTTCTGTGCGACGCCTCGTGTTGTAGGTTTCCGCTCGGGTGCATCGACATCGTCTTGCTCGAACATCTCATCGACAGGCTTTTTTGCAATCGTCTTTGGTCTTGACATCTGGGGTTGCCATTAGTTATTGTGCTGTATAATGGGACAAGAACCACAGATCTCGGCCCATTCACTTGGACTTACTGGTCTCCCCACGTCCCATTCGGATATATCTGAAGGACATTCTGATAGTTCTGAGGGTGAAGCAAAGTCTCGTAGACCCGCTGCGATGGTTTTCGAAGGTGTCGCAGGGCTGGCATCCTCCATCTTACCGATAGTATGCTTTGTATCAGTGCGATCACGAAGCAGCTCATCACGCTGCATTGCAACTACCTCCCTGTGTTTAACATTTGTTGCGGATAGAAGACTGTTGGTCTCGTCCCCCAGCATATGGAATGCGGACTCTTCGCGTTCTACAGTCCCGCCGTCTGCTTCATCATCGCTCAAGCACATCGGAGGTAAGGGTGTGGGAGCTCGGGCTCCAGAATCATAGCAATCAAATTCATGATACTCTGGGCTAGTCAGTCACGAAGATAGCGGTAGTCTGGCCGTAAATTAACCCACTTCCAGTTTCGTCAGTGAAGCCCTCCGAATCCCACTTGTACGTCCCATCGTAGAACTTGCGCGAGTACTCAGTGAGAGCTACATCCGCTGGGAGATGAGTGCGATACGTCGCAGAACCGACCATGCTGCCTTAGAGATACAGTGTGAGGCTGAGTTGAATAAGTTGTGAGAGTAGCACTGCGCGATAGTCGTGTATCTTGAGGAATTGTCAATTGTATTGTGAGTCTGTACGTGAGGTAACAGCAATTGTTGATAATGCAGTGTGCGAGTTGATATACGCGAGCGTGACGTAGAAATATCTCAGAAAGTAAGAGTGGTTGTGAAAGAGGTAGGAGCTGCACTTACTACTTCAGGTAAAACAAACACAGTTGTGCACTACTGAGACAGGTCCACTGAGACATTCTACTACCTAAGTACGAAGGTCAATAGGAAGATACTACCTGTTCGAACCATCCCGTCAGTTGACCGATATGTTTGGCGTGTACATGAACGCGCGAAAATCACCGTCGTCGAATTTGTCATCGAACATAATTCCAGGCACAAGAGACAGAAAGGCAGGAAAGACTTGACTGAAGTAATGGTTCTATGTTCTTGAGAACGACTATACGCCGTATGAGGACAACGCCTACTGAAGTCATGCATACACTAACACCACCCGACTTTACATCCTGCCTAGCGAAGTGGCTATCGCAACGTCCGCTAAGGGTATCGTACAGATAACAAAAGGAATACTGAAGAATCGAACATGAAATAAAGAACCGTGCCAGAGTTCCGATGCCAATAATAAGAAGAAAAGGTTATTTGCGGCTGTAGTGGCTTGATCCCTTTGGCGGACGGGGTCGGAGAGTTCGAAGTGGTCTCTTCTCTCGGTCAAGTCCTGTGTGCTACATAGCACTAGCCTGGCCGGCATGAGTAGACATGTTAGTCAGCGTCTTAGCCATGGATTCTCGAGCTGCCTTCTCCTGTTCCATTTGCGCACGATCAGCCTTAGTAACGCGAGGCTTGCGGACAGTAGAACCACCACGAGAGCCAGGACCTCCGCCACGTCCTCTGCCGCGACCTGAAGCCTCTCCTCGTACAGTGCCGCCACGTCCGCGTCCTCGTCCGCGTCTAACGGTGCCGTCGGCCCTACTTGGTGTTAGCTTAATTCGATCTAGAGACATGATAGTTACGTACCTCTCTACAGTTGGCTTCTCCTCGGTCACGAGTGGGCCGCTGTAAACAAAGAAACCGTCTTTCGCCATGAGAGCTTGCTGTTCCCAGGCCAGCTCTGTATCATCGATGAAGTCATCCTCCTTGTCATAATCTTCTTGTTTGCGCTTGCGTCGCTTCTTGCCTCCGTTCTCCTTGGCCGATGTCTCGTCGTCCATGCCGCCCATTTCGACATTACTCTCGTTCTCGGACAAATCAACAGACTGATCGTCATTTGAGCCACCGCCTGCAGCTCGCTCAAGTGCGGTACCTGCCGCTGCAATCTGGCGCTGACGCTCTTTGCGAGCAGCGATGCGAGGATGCAGGGCAGCGAAACCGTACTTTTTCTCGACCTCCTGTGCAAAGTTGATTGTAACATTTTCCTTTCCCTTCAGATCAAATGTCAGGTAGATGTTGGTGCCTTGTGTCTCGGATGCACCATTGGCGTTTGCAACTGGGCCAAACGGCGTTCCCGACAAGAGGCCACTTCCAGTAGGCAACGGCGGCGGGGCCTCTTTTTGGCGAGCTGCTTTAGTAGGTGGGGTTGGTGCATTCGATTGCGAGGGTGTACCCGAGTTTGTCGAATTTTCCTTTGCCATGGGAACTGATGTTGGCTTGCTGGGCTCGGTGTCAATGTCCATAGGAGTCGGTCCCGATGAGGCAGTGGGGTACGGTTGAGCTTGAGTTTGGAGGGGTGCCTGCGGCTGCTGCTGCTGTTGTTGAAGCTGAGGTGAGTAGTCTTGAGAAGGAAGGACCGAGGCTGGTCGCGTGGAGAAGGCGGCAGGTGACACGGGTGCTGATGTGATGGATGCCTGTTGCTGGAGTTTGGGAGGGTGCGAATAGAATGAATTACTGGCAGATGGCGGGTCGATAAGACTTGTGATGGAAGGTGAGGCACTAGCACGGTGGTTGATCGGGGGTGAAACGGGCGGCGGCGGTGCACTTGCTGGAGGTTGTGGTTTTGACTCAAAGGTGTCGCCGCGAATGGGATCATATCGTTGGCCTGAACTAGATGGCCGCGGTGTTGAGGGCGCGACGCTGATGTGTGAAAGGTTTGGGTTACTATGAAGGGTGGGTTCGGGATTGCTCAAGACGCGAGCAGGCTGTGAGACAACGGGCGGCTGCTCGGTTTGCAAGACAGCGACGGGCTCACTGGGTGCAGCTTGAGGTGTAGGCGACTGCTGCACAGGCGGTTTCTCGTCCACGGCTTGTGCGACTGGCTGTGCCTGTGCCTCCAGCGATGCCTTTGTCCTTCTCTTACGTTGAGCGGGTGCAGCATTTGGGTCCTTGGGCTCCGACTTGCGGGGCTTTCGTGTCTTCTTCTCTGGCTCAGGTGCACTGGGATCTTTTGCTTTTGGTTTGGGACCTGGCTTCTTACGAGGAAGGCCGCTCGCAGTAAGACCGCGTGGAGCTGGTGATGCAGTTGCAGGGGTTGGTGTGCTAGTTCCAACACCAACACCACCTGCAGGAGTGCGGATAGTCGATGTCGGAGTGCCCTGCTCAGGCGAGTGCGGGGGCGAGCTTAGACTGCCCGGCGAAGATGCATCGTCTACGTCCATGGCGCAGAACACTAAATCGCTGCAGTCCCTAGAAAGATGGCAGAATGCTTCTAGCGCGTGTGGACGGCAAATTAAATGGACAACAGAATGTTCGATTTGAGCGGCGAAGGGGCGCAGGTAGATTCAGGGCCCTGGTGCTGGCCGAACGGGTTTGCAGATTCAACACCAGAAAAAGTGTGGATAGCAGACTACTGCAATGGCTTGCGAGAACACCAAAGTCGAGGTGCAGCCGAGAGCCGGACCGGGAGATGTCTAAAGAGCGTCTGATGCACGGCAAGGAACACCAAGTTTCGATGTCTAACGAGATCTTGATGACAACCGCCTCCGCAAGAGCTGTATCGATGGAAAGGTAGTTGCAGCGTTAGAAAATTGTACAGAAAAGAGAGAGGACAATAGAGGAAGAGAAAGTGCGAAGGAAGTCTCCAGACCTTCTCGGGGGGTTCAGGGCTTCAAGTAGGCATTCGAGCGATTTGGGACAGCAGCGGGCCAAAGCTTGGGTTACGACGAGCCCTAGAACAGAAAAACAGTTTACGCCAGAGCAGTGGACGAGTCCGGGGCGCTGCGCACTGTGAATGAACCCTGGGTCTATGCCGGCTGCTGTGTTAGGTCTTAGGCGTATCAAACATGACATGTTGACGTTTTCACCAACGTTCCCCTTCGTCATATGCTTGCCGGAACAGCCCCTTTGTAGCTACCTAGCTCAACGATATTGCGATGACCGATTACTTTGCTCTCTAGTAATAGTCCCGAACAAACAGGTGATGTATCTCTTCCATTGCACCATAAACATGCGACATACAAAGAGGCGCATTAGCCGCTGCCTGACGTTAATTGCCGTGCATACATGCGAATGGCCGCAAACACCACATGCAGCCGTCGAAAAAGTCACTCGGTACTGGCGAACTACTAATGCGCCAGCATTTGCAGCTTGTATCACCGTTCATCGTGAATTATTCTATAGATAGTTGTCTGGTGGTTCGCAGCTTGCATGTGGCCTAAGCGTCTTGGCGCTCCGATCTCTTGCAGGGGTCTCTGATTGGGCCGGAATTCAGGCACGCTCCACATGTGCACCAATCTAGCCTGGTTGCGATACCCGCGCACTTCATCATCGCCATGTCAAGTTGTGGAAGAATCATGCTTTTGTAACTTTGATAACAGCTCGAGGTATACAGAACCATCCACCATTCGTGAACAGCGTGCGGAAACTCATAGCCCAGATCCAGTCCTCTCTAACTAGCACAGAAAACAACTCCAAAAACACCGACACATCGTAAAACGCCGATCCAGAATGCGAGAAGGGTATGAATACAGCTGGTTAGGGCAGGTCATCACGCCTTGCTCTTCTTCTTCTTCTTCTTCTCACCATCCTCCTCGTCACCAGCCTTTCGCTTCTTCTCCTTCTTGGACTTCTTGTCAGAGACCTCGTCATCGCCTGACTTCTTGGACTTCTTCTTGTCCTTCTTCTCCTTGCGTACAGCCTGCTCAGTAGCAGCGGCAGTGACGCCATCGGCCATCTCAACATCCTCAGTGGCGGTCGCAGTAGGGTCCTCGACACCAATGTCATTCAGGACCAAGTTCATGGCAGCCTGCATGACCGCCGCGTTCTTCGCAGGAGGAGCACCAGATGCGTAGAACTCAATGCGCTCGTCGACCTGACGCTTGAGGGCCTCACCGAACTTCGATGTTGGTGTGTCGGAGAAGTTGTCAATCCTGGAGGCAATGGAGCACTTGTTGGCAAGGAAACGCGAGATTCTTCCCTTTGACTTCTGGCCAGTGCGGCCGATGAACGAACTGTGGTAGATAAGACCATACTTGGGAGTGTTTCCCTTGGTCTTGAGGGCTCGGAAGAGCGCCTTCTCGGCACCGAGAATCTGGACGGTACTGGCAGGGTATTTGGAAAGGTTGGTCAAAGAACCAGCCTTAGAGATAAGGCGCGCACCAACGGTGTCACCGATCAAAGCAGCCAGGTTAGGAGCGACTTGGTTCATGCGGCTTCCGAGGTAGTTGCTGAGCTGCTTGCGGTATGCAGCCAGGGAAGCGGTCCTCTTTGCGAAAGCCATGACAATCTCCATGTCTGCTGCAGAAAGATCACGACCCATAGAGGTCCTCGCAGCGTTGATGATTGCTTGCGCAATGCTCTCGTCGTCATCAACGACAGCAGCGAGCTCGTGAAGATCCTCGTCGCTCAGACGCGACTTGTCACCAATCTGCAAGACCACCTTGGCGTATTGTTCATTGCTGTTGACGATTTTGGCGAGCTCGGGAAAGTGCCAGCCTAAGGAGCACCAAGTCAGCAGCTGTTCCAAGTCTCCAGAAATGGAGGGAAAATACCATAGTTCTCGCGAAGCCTCATGCAGAAGGTGTTCAGGTCCTTGTCGATCTGATCGAGCGTCGCGATGGCCTGGATGATGTGGTTGTCCTGCTTCTGGACGCTGGAATAGATGTT